CAACCTTCAGTGTCGGGTGTTACATCTTGTTTAATTTATATAGTTTAGAACAGCAGCTCCCAACTGAATATCAACTATACAATAATCATGAGCAACAAAGCCTAACAGTCCAATAAGTACAGTTGCGGAAATAATCGGCTGAGAGAGGTCGGTGAGTGAGTAACTGAAAGTATCTAAACCTTAGGAAAGATCATTTCAACATGACCGATCAAATTGTTGTATTTCGATATTGCTGTACGCGGTTTGTGTGAGTTTGCATGAGAGGGTTGACCATTCCGACACATTGTTATCAGTAAGTTCAAATGTTTGGAAATCAATTCGTTGATTGTTCACTTATAGTGGGGAAGTTGCGATTAGTTAAGCTATTCTGTTGATTATTAATTTCTGTTGGTTTTGGTGAGTTAAAAGTCAAATAATTTATCAGTAGTTAACGCTGACACGACCTACTGTACCTTTCGAAACGATATTGCAGGAATGTTTGAAGAACTGGTCGTAGGCTTATCACTTCGCCAAGGTCCAGAATGTGTGATTGCAAGTGCTGTCAAAGCTGGGGAAACTGCTGTCGGTATACATGCAGACTGCTAGTGGGAATTCTTTGTGTACCTTTCCTCCTGGTCATCAGTCTACTTGCCCTGATTGTAGCGATCATTCTTTGCCCATGTAAGTCACGATCACGAGGTCTGAAAACGGTGACTCTACAGAAGGTATTTGTTGCACTATAAACATTAATGTGACGTCATCACAGGACAAAAACTGACTGATGTAAAAATATTTGTGCCCAAAGGTAGATCTCCTTTCACCGACCAGGGCTTCGACAGGGCTCACATGTCTTGCCTTTTGGGGGAAGAAAAAAAAAGCATATATCCAATTGTAAATGGAGTAAGTTTTTAAACTCATGGCTGGGGCTATAATGATCGTGGAATAACGATACATGCTATTTTTTTTAAAAGATGACTGACTGCGATTCTTTCTGGCGTTGCAGTAAAATGCTGTAGTCCTTGTTGCGCACCCTGTCTGGAAGCACTACAAAAAGGTTTGGTCTTCTTGCTGAAAGCGCCGTTCCTGTTCGTTATGTGGTGTGTTGGCAAGGTAACGACTGAAGATGACGAAGAGAAACAAGAGCTTCCCAAAAACGCTGCTGAGTACGGCACCAGTAAGGCCGAGGAACCAGCAGCGGACGGGAAGGAAACGGACACTAGCACTACCTGATTTGAAAACGGAAATAGGCAACGGAATAACGAACAAGTACTGGTACTTTTGCCATAGACCATGCATGAATCTTTGACTTGTATTGTTTGCATGCAACTGGGATTACGTAAGAACGTGGCAAGAAAGGCCAACAAGTCCTGAAAACCCACCCCTCAGCAACATCTGAATATGATTATTACACGCGTAAATCCATTTTTTCGTTTTTTGAAAACTGTTGAACACGTCAGGTGAGATAAAAAGGGCCCCAATTTTCGTGATGCCTATTAGATAGAGTGCTGAAGACTGTGTGGCGTATGACGTTTTGCGCAGTGTGTTATGGAGCCATGCAAAACAGCTGGCCTCATCTCGTCTGTCTACTTCTCTGTGACCACCGAAAATACGGCCATTACAAAAAGAAGTCAGCTTAGGCGTCTAGTGGCGAAACTGGGGGCATGGGAGGCGTGACGCCCTCTACTATTCGAGTTCTCAGCTCCCCGTGTGTCCCCTATTGGGAATTACAGAAGGAAAACATGTGGTGATAGTCCGCCTTGGTCAATTGGTCAAATGCACCCCAGTTACGCCACTATACGAGTCTTTACACCCAGAACTAAACATGCAGTTGCTTTGTTTTTGCAACCTGACAGTTCCATGCCACCGTACTGAACACGTGGAACATGGCACATAGATATGTATTCATGTTTGAAGTTAAAGTCATTTTCAATTTTTGTTTCACTATTTCAAATGGTGTTTTGCTGGGTTTTTTGGGTTGTCTTAGTAATATTTCCATATTCATGAGTAAAACTGTGATGTCATCATCCGAGAAGAAAAACCATAATGTTACAAGGATTTGTGCAAAGAAAATCGCATTTAAAAGAATTTTGCTGGCATAAATTTTCTCTTCGCTTTGGTGATTCACTGTTGTGTGGGTACATAGTGACAAGAAAGTCATCAATCCTTTTCTCACAAATATTTTCAGTGAGTAAATTCTTGGTTCATATATAATTTGAACAGAAAAACAGAAGCACTGGGCCATTGTCTTTCCCGGTGATTACAGCAACACCGCCTTAGGCCAGAAAAGTACTGATAATTTTAAATGTTTAAAAGAGTGTACTTTTCAGTATATTTAACCTAATACGTGTAGATATCAATAAGTTTCATTAAATGAAAATCCATGTCTAAGAAAAAAATCATTGCAGATACACTTTAACCATGGCATAAGTTACACTGTACATATGTACATGTACCGACAAACGTTCAAGTCAGACAGAAAGTCACGTATCTCCTTCTCATGTCAAGGCTTCCGCGTTGATTTTAATGATATGAAAAAGCAAACGAAAATGCAGCTGTTAATTGAAATATGAGTTTAAATCGGTTGTATCAATATGGCATAATACTTCCGTAGGCTTCTCGGTCCGTGCAGTTTGGCACAATGTATTTTACAATTTTATTGTTGATATACTGCGTCTCATTATTTCAGGCTGAAAGACAATGGAGTATAGACTGGTAGGCCTAACGCAGCAGTGGAGTTCCGTGCAAACTGCAATGATTCCGTTGCAGAAAATGCAGCGTTGATCCTGAATTGATAATTGTACTTCATTCATGAATGCGAAAAGTGTATACAATGTCACCGAGTGGCATACGACAAAACGAGACCGATAATTATTTACATTGACGTTCAGCATTTCTGCTTTGTAAATGAGAAGCTACATTCCGTGCCCCATTGTGTCGTTGAGGGCGTAGGTAGGTGGTGTGGTGTGGCGCAGAAAAAACTCCTCTTTGGGTCAATTCCGAGGGTGGATCACTTATCTCGTGAGTTGTGAGTGGTGTAGCTCTGGGATATCCCCGTCGACTCATTCAGGATCCTGTAATGGCACTAAAGGCACGCCACACATCTAATTGTGGGGGTTCACAAACCCTGTGCGAAGCAGTGGCGTCACTACGGGGGGGGGGCACGTGCCCCCCAACGGAGGCCGGTCCCTCCCCTATTTGAAAATGGAAATGGAAAATATATATATATACCTAGTTCAATTATTTTCAGTGCCCCGTGAAAAAAAATTGTGCACCCCAGGTGCCCCGTCAGCTGTAGCATCCTAGTTACGCCACTGGTGCGAATTAAGTTACAGATTCCTCCCTTTCACGGCGCCCCCTACTGGTGTACTGGTTTCGTTTATGAGTGAAGAAGAACTGAATCAGCTTGCTTTTGTTTTACACAGTTCAGGCGTCCAAAGGTTGTTTATTTCAAGTCACGTTCTGTCTTAGTTACGTCACGAAGCATCGGCCCAATCACGCTCCCCGTGCCCGATACCACAGTCAACGAACCATCTAGGCTGGGACGGTATGGGTGCAGGTGCACCCCAGTGAGAACAAAAATTCTCACAAACATCAGCAGGTGTACTTCACAATTCTTTTAAAAATACCCACAACTCTCACAGGTATTCAGGCTGCATAGAAACACGATGATCAACAAGTCTTTCATTATCCTTTCAGTTTTGCCTGGTTGACTAATGACTTTTTGAAAAAAAAATCTTACCCAAAGTACACCACCCCAAAAACGACGGATATTTCCCTACATGGGAAAATTAGCCATTTTGAAAAAGCGTTCCTTTGCGAAACGGATAAATAGTGCCTCTTCTGGATCTGATTGCATCCAAATTACTCAGAATTGGAAGCCCTAAGTCCAGGCCACAGGTCCAGTGCTAAATTTCTTCAATTCTCCAGTTCCATAGCTCTCGGCCTCTCTGATGTTGAATATCTTGAGTGCATAACTTCTATTGATGAGCTAGGCGGATAGAGTTTAGGCCTACTTAGTGGGTGCAACTGTACATTACATATGAAGCAAACTATGGGACAGAGAGAACCCCCCCCCGCCTTTGTGTTGGTCATTGTTATACTGGTATCTCAGGAATTCTTTTCAGACATCTGGGGTTGTTAAGTGACAATAGGCTGAAGTGTGTATAGGGATTGGACTTGTTGGGGATACCCCTCTGTGCCATTTCATGCCTGGTATACTCCCACCCCAACAGACTCCCTTTTTGTCGCTCAGAGACTTTCTGTGCCGTCCCGTGCAACTGCAGACGAAGGGCCTACTAGGCCAGCTCATGATCACTGATCGGACTTTGGTTCACTGAGTTCACAGAGCACGCCTCATGCTATACCCAGCAAGAAATGAGACCGAGGGGTACCCCCCCAACATGTCCAATCCCTTATACACATTCCAGACTATTGTTACTTAACACACCCCCCCCCCAAGATGTCTGAAAGGAATTCGCCAGATTCCTGCGAGACAATGACCAACACAAAGCAGGGGGGCTTCTCTCCGTCTCATACCCTGCTGCACATGCCTCATACACATAGAGCGAACCGGCTTTGGGATCACTTATAAAGATATAGACCCTTGTGAAACAATCTGGCCCACAATATACGTGCCACACCCTAAGGAGGAGGGCGCCCTCGTCGAGACCACCGCCCCTATGCAGTAACCTCACATTACCGACTCAGCAATTACAATTACTACTCGCAATGCTCTTTTGACTGAAGTCAACGGTGACCATCTTACCTTGCCAAATAGATTATAAACTGAAAAAAATTGCCTGGATTAAAACTACAGCTACCACGAAAATGGGATATGTTCATTTCATTTCGGGGATAAAAATTGATTTCTGGTTCATTTCTGTCACCACAAATGGGTCTCGTTGTCTCCATCTTTACTACACGCAAAGTTTTTTCTCTTTACAAAAGAAGAAGAAATGTCTCATTTTAGTCGAGCACAAAATGGAAGACCAACACGACTTCTTGCGCTCTCTCCGACAAGTTCCAAACACAATAACAGGTACCGACCCTGGCCTTATTTTAACCTTTATTAACCGCGCTGAGGATTGGGGAAATCCCCGACAGTTTCCCGCATGCCACGGGGTATTGTGAACTCGACTCTTTCTGATCAGAGAGGTTGAGAGAGTTGAATTAGCGAGTTAAGTTTAGAGCCACATGTTCTTATTCCCTCCTGACTTAAGACGTACAAAGTTTTCGTATCCATGATGTGGACTTTTCAGATGCTTAATCCTACCCCAAAACACTCGAGCAATCGCTGTCATTCCGCCATGATATAGCGCCTCTTACCGGTGCAGTGCGTAAAAACGATGAACTTGTTATTCCTCATACATTATCCACTTTGAAAAACATGTGAGGGATAGGCAATATACCCCATAAAGACACCATGAAGCGAGTGAATTATGAACCTAAGGTAAACTGTCTGGATCATTTGCACGTTTCATGTCAGGGAGTTCACGTTAGTTACAAAAACAGATGGTGTTGCTGATCTCTGCAATCGGCTTTGCAGTTAAAACTCAGTCTTGCCTACATTGAACCGCAAGCCTTCACCTGGAAATATAGAATAGACAAAAACAAATATGAATTTCAAAAGAAACCAAGAAAATATATTGTTGTAACACTGCCATCATTTTCTCAACAAGTGCATAGGTTCACCTATGTTTCACTTCCATTCGACGTGTGAAATTAACGACTTCGACCGTGCGGGGCATGACCGGACCCTCGTGAACCATACGGAATCATCCTTAGCAACTTGCCAATCGATCCTCCGTCACGGTTGAGCCTTCTTGTTTTGAAGACTTCGTTTGCACAAAGTTAAAAACGATCACACTGAAAGTCTTTGTATGTGCTCTAGAAGGTTTAAACCGAATGAAACAACACAGAATCATGAAAGGAAATGCTACATAAATTTGAAATTTAGCCTTAAAGTGGTTGCTTAGATGATAAACCATTTCCCTCTTCAATAAATCTCCTGGTCTGTTTTTCACTAAATTTCTCAATTTTAGAAGTTTTCCCAGAACAGTGAGATACTGAATACGACAGGCCAGAATCTCAACCACACCGTACAGTCAGTTCTATCTATAGCTAGATTTTTTGTTCGACTTTCTTGAGTTATAATTATTTGATACTTCGCTGCAGCGCGATCTACGTGTTTTACATGCACAAAAATCGCCGGTCCAGCCACGTTCCGTGCACGGTACACTGCAGACTGTGACGCCTACCGCGGCGTACATGTACATGTACATTATGTATGGAAATTCTCACCGGAGCCGGTGTATATCATGTTTTGTGGTTCATGCATGACTTGTATAGTACATGTAAAACTGAGGATATATACAATGAATCTCAATATTTCCTGGCAATGTAATAATGCCAGTTAAACCTCGGTTTCAATAATAAACTTCATGTTAACCTACTGTACTTTCGTGTTTGTCATTCGTTCCCGAGTCACTGAATTTGTACGTTCGCAAGGCCGTAAGATTTTGCGATAAACGGAATCAGTGCTAAGGTAGGTCGATATGCAAACGCGTCCAGTCGGGAAGAGAAAAAATCTAGCGGAAAACCGTCAGCAAATCTAAAACCTTCACACCTTTTCCCACCACGGTCCACTTTTGAAAACTTCGGGAAAACTTGGAATTTTTTGTTTCGAGCCTTCAAAAATTGCATCAGAACGTAAACAACTACTGCTAACAAAAAGAGCTTTTTACAAAAATCACTAGTTTTGAACACTCTGGTACTATTTCTCAGTTTTATTGTCACAAAACACGTTAGGAAAAGGCCTTATCTTACAATATTTTGGGCAGGAATTTTTATTTCCCAAAAGTGAAATAAGACGTAAATTTCATGACATGAAGCAGCTGCTTACCCGGCACGAATTCTCATGGCCCTCTTTACGCATGCAAATTACCCTAAGCTGGGACATGCGCAGTTAAACTTTCCCCTAAAACATATGTAAGTACGGTTGGGATGGGTTCATTTGCGTATGGGGCGCAACTTCAGGTGCTAGCTATGCCTTCCCATTAAAAAAATTAAATAAATTGTTACATGTAACGAGGAAAAAAGCGTTTTCTGTTTTTCCATGGCGTAGTTTGTTCATGCGTGGGTTTTAAGACGATTAACTAAAACTTTTTCGGTAGTTTCATAAAAACAAGTGTCCCTCCTGACCTCTTTGAATGAACACCGTCCCACGGTATCATTGGAACAAGCTGTGGTTTTTCACTACTATTAAAGGTTAAAAGCCATTGTCAACAGTAAGTGGGAAAAGCCCACGCAGGGGGTATAATATAAATCAGGATCACCCGAGGCATTCACCTCTTACGGAGCTTGGCAAGTCCTCCGCCAAACTACCGTTATGTACCTGAAGTTTCATCTACCTAACAAACAGCTTAATGGTAGATTTGCAAAGCATAATATACCAGGATCCGGCTGGTGCCGCATATGAATGCTGGAGACGTAAATTAGGCCTATCAGCGTTGTTTATTTCTGGAGAGGAGAAGTGGTACTACATCGAACTTAGTGGTGAAAGAGAAGGCCTGACTCACTCAAGATGCAGGTCTTCCTTGTCTTAAGTGCAGCATTCCACCTACTTGCTGCTGCACAGGCGTAAGTACACTTCGTACGCCTTTCACTTCCTCTAAGATAAATAGCACAAGATGCTAGCCTCTTGATATTTTCTTCTGTGTTTGTCGGTGGCAAACGCCCAAACACATGTAAGCATCTTCGTAACGAGTGCAATGGTGGACCACCTATTGTTCATATTTTGTTCATATTTGATCCGTCATCATATATTTTCGCGGTCGTCAGTCGTGGACGCTTTTAGTCAACCATGGGCCTATTACCTTCTGTTGTTCAAACGTCCATGGTTTAGATGTACAAAATCTACAAATGAAAATATGGAGGTTTTCACGTGACGTAACACGGCGGGCAAATGGCATTTCAGGAAGTGTACCATGTCCGTGGAGGCGCGTGCATTTTTGAATCTAGGTCATTTTTGAATATTTCTATTGCCAATTTCATGTTCCAAAGAAATGCTGAGAGACTTCGAAGTCTGAATTTGAACGCTGACCGTGACCGCTGCCCTCTTCAGATCATAGGCTGCATCCGAATCTCTTGTCTAGAGCTAGGTCTAGGTCTTCGCTCCAATGGAAATGTGTGGAGACGCGCAGACAGTAGACCTAGCCGTAGCTCTGGAAGCCCGTTTCGGACACGGCCAGAGCCTTTCGCTTGACATCATCTTTGCAACTGCGTATACAACGTCAACAGGTGCGTGTGGGCGCGATGTGCAAAGTGTTCTCAACTCGTGCGTGTGCTGATCGAAATATGTTCGAATTACGGTGCAACCGATGTGCGTCATAAACACTGAAGTACAAAAATGTCGATGCATGCACCAAACTGTAGGAAGCGACGTCGTTCGAGAGAGACTTAAGCGTAATTTGACAACTGAAATTAGAAGCCATTACTGCGGTGGCTTGGCGCTCTTGGGCAGGTGGTGCGCGTGCGTTACATGCCTCTTCGACCAGTAGGGTGTCGTGATTTACCAAAAAAGCACGCGCGCTTCAAGCCAAAGAATGTGCGTGTGAGTGCAGCGGCACTGCAGTTATGGCGTCTAATCGGGTGGTCCATAGTGTAATCTGGGCGTTTCGAAACAGTGCACCTCCAAGAGTTTGCAAGGCGCTGGCCAATTAAATGCGCGAAATCTGTCAACCCAATGCGCGTTTGGAAATGGTCGACAAATTTCGCACGTTGTGATTGGTCAACACGTTGCAAAACTTTTTGAATCGCCCGTATTCGGCGATCAGAAGCCATTATTTCGGTGGTACAAGGCTTGTGGATAGGTAGCGTGCGCGTTGTGGGCCTCTTTGAACAACAAGATGTCAAGTTATCATAAGTAGATTTTTACTATCCACTCCGAGCGGATCAAAGGAGGGCGTGTTTTTGTAGTACTCACCACACAAGTACCGTGTGTCTGTAAAATGCATTCCCGCGAGAACCAGCGCGTGAACCAACACGCGCGCGTACTCCATTCGTTTGTACGGCATTTACTGGTTCTGAATGACGTCGCACTTCGGTACTCTATAATGGGATCAATGGCGTGTTTGACGTGGAGCACGCTGAGAACGCGTAACGAATTTATTCCTAATGTTTGGTCTTTGCGTACACGCAGAACGCGTGCACTTCAACTCAGGGCGGGTAACTTTCGACATTGTATATACTGTTCTAGAGTGCAACGATGTAGGCTACATTTCTGCGATACGCCTATCGGCCCTTCTCTTAAAGACGATTCAGTTCGCATTTAGTAGTGTTTCACAGCTGCATCAGGGTCTTAGTGAATTCACCTTTTGCCACATTTCTAACCACCACAGGTTGACAAATGTACAACGCAACTGTGACGTAAAGGAGCAGGCCCTCTAGCGTGGGCTTGTTTGTTTTCTTAATTACAGTTTACAAGATCTTTCTGTTTAAATGTTTCTTTGGTTTCCAAGTTTCCTTGCTTTTCAAAACCCAGCTGTATCAAGTGGACTTTTTAGTCGCTGATCCAGTTAGCAAGGCAATCACTGTCTCTCCTGCACGGTAACACTCTTCACCGATACACTGAGTAAAAATTGTTGAACAAAATAAGTAATTTTTTCTTCATACTTAATCACCTTTGCAACATTATGTGCCCAAGTAAGAGATAGGCTTTTCTTTCCTTCTATCAAACACGCGTAACTCGAGTAAATTATGGTCTTTTGGCAAATGTCCTGATCACGTTTCGTGTCAACGAGTTCACGTTGGTACAAAAACAGATGTCGATCTCTGCATTGGGCTTCGGTGGTTAAACTGCAGTTCTCCCTACTTGAAATCACAGCCATGAACAGTGACGAAAAAAGTAAACATGAAAAGAGAAAGCAAGGAAAATCGATTGACACAAGTGGACTACGTGACTTGGCCGTGATTTTTTTGCGTTCCTTTTAAAAGCTACATGCAGTGGCGTGGCGTGCCATCGGATGTTACTGATGTTGCACTGAAAGTCAGAAATGGCGGCAACATGAAGAGCGCCACCATCATTTGACGCTATTTGAACAGTGCCGCTAGAATAATACAGATTGTGTCGCTGACTGCTGAAAATACCTGATCTACCTTTTTCGTATCAAATCAATCCAATCAAAATGACCCTACTATACGCCAGTGAAGTGCTTTTATAGATTTCCTGCGTATATCTACAGAACATTTCATGTTATTTTTAGATACTTCGAAGATACACCTGAGCGGCTTCCTGTCACAGGCTTCCAGAAACTTGTCCCCCATGTTCACATAGAACTATGTGCCCCTTCCTTTCCAATAACATTTTCGGTTTTTGGCTCGATCATGCACGGTTTAATTGCCAATTGTAAAGCCTTTGTTCAGTCTAACGTTGTGCAAGTTTAGTCCTAATTTTGCTTTGAAAACTGCAGTCTGCCAACCTGTGAGTCCCGAGCTGGACCAAGAAAGGGCGTGATTTTTCCTAGCAACAGAGCTGCTTCTTTTCTGGGAGCTGCACTCTCTGGTTCACAAACAACTGTGAAATGCGCGCGTTAGGATCGCACTTGACGAGGTAATGAGCTGTTTCGTTATTTCAAAAAGCCAAGGTCTTTGGGGAACATTGTGCGTGCGTGAGTTAGTATATGGTTCCCCTGATAGGACTGACTTTCACGCGCACAGATGGTTGTTCCCGAATAGCCTTGTACTGAGCATGCGCTATTAAAATACCGGACTGGTTCATTAATCAGTTATGGGATCACAGAAAATGTTGATAAAAGCCTTCAAACTCTTGAAGTAAAGCTAAAACTCGTGCCACTTCTTGAAAACAAAACCCACTCGGTTCTGTAAAATACGTGTGCATAGTGTGCACTCAAGTCCACTTGCGCGTGCCACTGTGCGGTGTCGTTTTGACGTATAATGAGAAACAGGCGAGTTTTGAGACTACTTTTTTTCCAAAGCAAATGCCGAAAATACTACAAAAAATGTTGGCTCCACCCCTCAGAGAGGCCATACAACGTCACATAATGAAATTCCGAAGTTTTTTAACAACCCCCCCCCGATTGCAGTTTTGCCCCTTTTCCCTTTAGAGAAGAATTTGGTTCTGGATCCGCCCTTGGTTGGTTAGCCTCGGTTTCATTTGAAGCAAGATATGGGACGGAGAGAACCCCCCCCCGCCTTTCTGTTGGTCATTGTTTGATCGGAATCTCAGGAATTCTTTACAGAGTTCTAGGGGGGATGTGTCAGGTAACAATAGTCTAGAGTGTGTATAGGAATTGGACAGGTAAGGGGGGTACCCCTCCGTCCCATATCTTGCCTGGTATACTCGGTTTTCGGCATGTAAATATGTGCTACAATAGTCGTTATTTTTCGCGAAGGAAAAAAAATGAAATGTTACTTTAACGATTTGGAATGTATTCACACGTACGGTTGTGGTTTCTTATCTGGTAGTAGATTCATTGCCTTGTACCAGGGAAAAAAACATTTTCTAAGGTAAGTGTAAATAGATGTAAATGCCAGGTGAGCTTGAGGAAGATTATGTCTCCCAAGCTTTGATCGCACGATGATGCTGCATTAAATTTTGCGCGAACGAGAAATATCACTTTAACCATTTGGAATGAATTTCCATGTAGGGTTGTGCCTACTTATCTGGTAATAGATCCATTGCCTTGTACCAGGGAAAGAAATATTTCTCAAGGTAAGTGTAAATAGATGTAAATGCCAGGTGTGCATGAGGAAGATTATGTCTCCCAAGCTTTGATCGCACGATGATGCTGCATTAAATTTGGATCATCCCTCACCCGTAGGTCGTGAGACTCCCCCCGAACTTTTTGTACTTTATATTAACCCAAACCCCTACAACGTTTAACGTAGTGTCCAGCAGTAAGTCACTTTTACTGTGAAGATGGTTACTGTAATTGCCGTGATTTTTGTAAATTTGCTCGTATGCAGTGCCCATTATTTCATCGCTGCGCCCAACATCGTCCGCGTGGATGTTAACGAGACCATTTTAGTCAGTGTCCATGGAACCGATGCTGACGAAATACCAGTGACACTTTATTTCCACCTGGCAGGGAGCAACAACAGAATATCAGAGAGGACCGTCATCGTGACTGAAAGTACGTGTAAAATCTGGGTACATACTGGGAAAATAGATATTTCTGGATAGTTTTAGAAATCCCATTGCATTTGAAGTTGCTATTGAAACAGACTATATTAAGCCTAGTTTCCATGGACCTAACGCGTAGACTCATAGACGTCATCGTCGAACAGTCCTCAGTCCCAGGGTGCGTTCGAGCGAGCTATTGCGTTAACGCGAGTATACTCCTGAGCGCTATAGAACGGCTGGAGTACGAGCCAAGGGTTAGGGAGAGTATACTCCTCCTGTACCCGAGTGTAATGCGCACGCATCCTACTCGTGTTAAAACGGGAGTAACCGCGCGAACGCACCCATAATTTTGCAGTCTTGTGGAAACCTTTTTTGTGACAAATACAATCACAAAAGTAGTTACTCAAGGGCAAAGATGAATTTTGGCGAGCTTTTGTCATTCAGAGGACTCTCCCCCCCTGCCCCGAAGAAAAATTTTACAAATCTGAAGGGGGCGGGAGAGAGAGAGGTGGAAGAAACAAAGGAAAAAACGAGATGAGGTGGATTAAAAATCCACCGACATATAAATATACCCTGGTATGGACTCCCTATAAACATGTATCAGTTCGCCGCTGGTGAGTGCTTAACCCTCCCTCCCCTTTAAAAGTGCATGCTCCCCGGGCAAACATTCTAGTGACGCCTAAGAACACTTTCGCTGTTGTGTACCATGCATTTGGCCCATTTTCTCCTTATATATGACTAAGGAATGAAACCAGAATTTTCAACAAAATAACTGACTGCAAATGAATGACATCGAACTGAAGCACCAGTGTAGCTTTTAGAGGCACTTCATAAGAACATTTTTGTGGTTTCGTACGCCATTTTGTTTCAATTTTTGGTCGAATGACGCCATATTCTGTTTCATGTACACAGTCTGTTTTCTTGACATCTAACGTGCTGGCCAAGATCGATCTCGTTCCAAACACATGGAAACTAGGCTTTACATGAAAAAAGTTCTGAACTATAACTTTTAAATATAAGGGTAATTTCACAAGCATTTTTTTCTAAACTAGAAACTGAAATGCAAGGCTAACTGGTGGGGTCAGGCACATTTTGCATTAGAGTACATTTCTTTGATGCAAATTCTGTTGCTTAGCTTCGTTGCATCTGTTTGAAAGGGGAGGCGTGTGGTTTTTGCTTTGGCCGTAATTAGATTCTAGTAATTGACATGATCGCTTGTGAACTTCATAAGCTGAATCAAAAGGCAAAAATCAAAAATAGAGGCGTCGCTCTGAGTTTACATCGCCCTTGTTTCAACGTTGAAACTGACCTCTTAGAGTACCATATTGTGTTGTTAGATGAACCACAGGTGGCTCGACTGAGCATCGAACGGTCACAGTTACCGCAGCGTCCGACACGCGGGCGAGAATTCGTCACATTAGTGGCCAGTTCCAGCTCACCTCTACTCACATTCCAGAACCAACAAGTGATTTTAATGAGCTACCAAGCTTCGTTTGTCTTTATTCAGACGGACAAGCCACTGTACACGCCGAACCAACGAGGTGAGTTTAGAGGATTTGGTTATTCGGTGAGGTATGTGAGTTTATTCCACGTGAACCAGGCCCAGCTGTCCACCGCTGTTGACAAACAGGTGTCAATGAACCAAGCTTTTATAGCAAAATTCCAAAATGCTTATATAAATATATTCCGTGATATTGGTGTTACTGTGTGAGGTTCAAGTCAATAACGCACAGAGATCATCGGTTTTCCAAACGAAACGGAAAAAAGCATGGAGGCTCATTTATGCTTTCAGAATTGATTTTCTGTAACAGGAAACAGTCTGAAAGGGTACGGGGCGCTGAGATTCGAACCATGGACACCCACACTACTTCTCGTGGGTGTCCATTACTAGGGGCGGGTGTATGTATCCCAGCACTTTCTGACCAGGGGGATGGGCTAGTGAATCATCCCCCTTTTCGTGGTAAGAAAATAGCGGATTATAAAGAAATATTTTGACTTCCCAACGACTAAATTGTATTCAAAAGCACTCAAAAAGGCCGGGGAGAACAATTATAAGCCACGAATGAGCCGTTCTGATATAAGAATCTGCAGAAATCTCCCACTCCTTTTCGGTAGGGAAAATGCTTTTCAAAAACTTTTGTAAGGAAATACGTCACTGCTTCTGCCAGACACGAAGTTTTGGGTTATTACTTGCTGTCCTAATCCACGCATGTAAGCGCGTGTCATGCGCAAGCAGAAGTGTTGACCTGTGTTGTTCAGTGCTGAAATGAATTCTATCCAGTCAATTTGCTGCGTTCGATTAGCTCACACAGAACAGTCCTGACCTAGGAATGGTCGTAGTGCTCTGTCAAACGAGCGAGAAGGTGGGGACGAAAGAAGTCGAACGCACCGAATATGGAGTGTTAAAAATTACGTTATGCATTTCCCCTCTCTGCGCCCCACATAAAGAGTAGTAGGGAGCGAGTGAACAGGGCAGCAGTGCGCCCCCTTGGAACAAAGCAAAAACTCTACGTCCGCTCGCCTGCCATCGCCCTTACAGGCCGCTGGGAAGATCAAATGCCTCTCACAAGATTTTGTGAAGGCAATACATCCCAGCCGTGAATTGGCAAAGCACATGATACTTTGTCCTTCCCTAACGCCGGGGGGGATCGAAAAGACTCAGAAATCCATGAGGACGAAGTTAGGCCCTGTTTGGAAAAGTTGTTCAATGAGAACCATTCTTAAAATGAGGCAGCCTATTGCAGGTGAATACACGCAGAAATAAACTCCAGGAACTTCAAAGTTGTGAGAATAAAGCAAATTACCAGATTGCAAAATGAAACGAAAATCGATCGCTTCAGTTTAGTGCGCTAAGTTTGGTTTGGGTTGGGAGCATTGTTTTATCTGTTTTTGGATGCTTCTCAAAAGCAAGAGACATTAAACAATACCGGACAGCAAAGGCCAACGACTTCCTTTCAAGATTGGAGGAAACATCGACTAGAGAATCTAAAAAATTGCCCCATTTCTTTACCAATCACAAAATGCTTCCAAAACCCGACCCCGATTTTCTGCCTACAATAATATGAAACCTTTTCCCCGCTCGTAAAATGTTTTTTAAATGTAGGGGAGGACTTTTAAACATAATTCTTCTTAGTGTGAGAACTGCACAGTCAGGAATACCCCGAGGCCCCGTCACAGCCCCTCCAATTAAGGCAACATTCAGTCATTTATTGGATGCATTATTGAAATTCCAAAACTTGCTTTAAAATTTAGATTTGAAAAAGTCGACCTCTTACCTCCAAACAGACTAAAGAATCAACAAAAGCAAAATGCAGATCTCTAAAATAAAGCATGACTGGACATAAAGTGAGAAAATTAATACCTGCGTCTACAGAGGGCGACATACGATTCGGGAGATTTGTTGGCAGGAATAAGTTTCCAGTATTATAGGAATTCTTTTTTATGAGTTTCGTTAAGTTCTGAAAAGAGCCGTGAGGTAACTCATCGTTTTAGACTGTGTACCCTGTCCATCGTCACTCCTGAACATGCAATACATTGTATCAAAAACCCTTTTCTACTGCAAACCTTCAAATCTTTGCTTTAGTGGTTTACTACTGTCATGTTTATATTTTCCTGTTCTTATTTTATTCGGCGACAGTTGACATTCGTGTTGTGGCTCTAAATCAGGACATGGCTCCTGCAAATCACGAGGTGAGTCTATGACAAGTGCATTTTAGTACAAAATGGAGGTATTAAACATACTTCATATATGAACCAAAATGTCCAAGTAATCACATGTAGACAATGTTCGATTTAACATCTTTGTCTGTAACAGACTAGATTCACAGTGTTAGTTCCCGTGAATTCTATTCAGTTTGTTTCAATTGATCAATAAATAATGTTTTTATTTATGTTCACTTTGGACAAGAGAGACGAGTGGGATGCTTTCTCAGAGGCTATATCGTTTGGAAAAAAAAAGAACCAATCAAAGTGTCTGCAAGACAAGTACATGTAAAAAAGAAAAAAAATGGGAATAAAGCTTATTGTTATTCTTAATTCTCTACAATTTCCCCTGTTCTCCACGTAATTATCCTTGTTTGACTTATAGAATAACCCTCTCAAATACCACCTTGACAACCTCAAGCAGAAGCGCCCACTCATTGGTTGAAAGGATCCACTTTGGTCGGGAGTGTTCCTTTTGTTGGTAGCGATGTGACCGTTACACGTACGTTTCCTAGTCGTACGTGAACCATTAAAGTTCAGTTCTGACCAAACGAGCCTCTGGCCCTGTCCGAAACGGGCCTCTAGAGCTACGGCTAGGTCTATTGTCTGCGCGTCTCTACGCATTTCCAATGGAGCGAAGACCTAGACCTAGCTCTAGACAAGAGATTCGGATGCAGCCTCTGTTGCTAAGAAAATAGCGCCATCTCTTGGTCCAGCTCAAGGCCCATCGTCGTTTTTACGACTGTATGCCAAAATGGTGGATTGAGCAGTATTCTAATTGGTTAAAGCCCGAGTTGATAAGGTATTTGGAAATCAAAACAACTGTTGCAAACATTTCAGATACTATCGTTAAACAGGCCCAATGGCAGAAAACACTTGTTGCAAATGAACGCGTTGATCAGATAAACAGTACATGTACAGTATATTTACATCTGCATAACTGCGCTCTGCGAAAAATTAAACAAACAACCATGATAGTACGAAAACCCAAACAAAGCCCAAAACAGCTCCTTTGCTTTACTGTTTTTTTCTGTCGGCTCTCTTTCGTTGTCGAATAGTTGCAAGTCGACATTATGAGCCCAGACAAAATTACTGTGTATCGAAAACAACAGAGACCCGATAATGGATTTCTGATCCTCCAATTTGACGTCCCTGAGCACCCAGTGCTTGGAAACTGGACAGTGACTACCCGTTACGGCCATCTGGTAAGAAAGTTTGCATTTCAGCCTTCATAGTTGTAATTTTTGTATTCCATTTTCAACCCTAGTGCAAATTTTTAAACGAATTTGCAAGTGACTCAAAGCGCTGAGACATTTTACAATCAAATAATGTTTTCGTTCGATAACAGTCTGTGATGTATTCTCTGAATACTAATCACGTCGATCGTACAAATGGTACATATTAAAACATTTCGATCAACTTGCTGGAGAAGGTTTATTCTTACTGCGTTAAGCACCGTTTCTCATACCGTACGTTCAAATCACAGTGTCCAGCATTCACTGTATACCATACAGCTTATTATGCCGGTCCACGTACGCTGATTGGTCAGTCATGATGTGAGTAAAGCTGGTTGAGGGAAGGCAAGCTGGTGTCTAATATACCATTTTATAAATCTTTGTCTTCTTCTTTTTCAAGTTTAATGCCAGCACATCGGTCCAGTTCGAAGTAAAGGAATACGGTGAGTTAAAACAACCCCCTACCTCCAAAATAGGGACGGTTAAAATATTTTCGTGGGTAAAGAAAAATGTCAAGATACATCAGTCAGAAACACTCGTGTAATGCAAAAGGTTGGATTTAAAATAGCAAGATTATGTGGTCTTCTGCCTTTTGATTGTCAGTCATAATGAAATTGATTAGGAACTCCTATGGTGTAGTGCATACAGTGCTGCAAACCGTGCGTGTGTACGTGAGATAGGTATTAAGGAAAATATTTAATACTGTAAATATTTTACCTCACTGGATCCCAGAAGTTCCGTAAATCTTGTTCAGATACCTTGACTTCAACTACGTTAAAATAAGTTGCTGCCACCCTGGTGGCCGCCAAATAATTTCATGTCAAGTGGAGGTTGCATGGGCGTAAATTGGGGGGGGGCGTTATAATCCCCCACTTTCTGAGGCGGGGGATGGGCAACTGAATCATCCTCCACACTTTTTTGTGGTGAGTAAAAAACTGAAGCGTAATGTAAAGAATTTTTCAGACTTCCATCGACTAAAATGCGTTCAATATCTCTCAAAAAGGGGAAACAATTTAAAAAGCCCTAAATATGCCCTTCTGAATACATTTTACAGCTGTTCATCAATCTCACGAACATTGACCTCTATAGAGTCATATGGTGTCACCCCCTTCCCCCGCTTTTCAAGTTTTCATGGCCGGGCAAGTCATCCCCCCACCTTTCCCCAGCCCCCGCCCCCAATTACCGACACAGATTTACACCACTGGACGGCTGCCAGGAAATTTGTGTCAAACATTGCACTATTTTGTCCATGCTTTACGAAAAAGTGGATATCGAATTCCTCGGCACTAAACTGGCTTCCGTACTACGGTAGTGCAAAATACTAGTTAATTTCCTGCACTTTAGTTTTCACTTCACCTTATATTTTGTTTTATTCCTAGTGCTTCCCAAGTTTTATGTTGAAGTCTCAACACAGTCGATGTATATTGTGCCAGGAACACCTTCCCTCGTGTCGAAAGTGAAGGCAAAGTATGATCTGAAACATCACAGAGTGCAATAGTGCATTTCCACCTTCCATTTTCCACTTTGGTTGCTCCTTCTTCAAGGGGGCAACTTACACTTAAGTTTGGGTTGTCTGGCATCATTGTATAACGACATCATTCTGGTATTGAGGCAATGGTTTAGAGGCAGGGGGCGATGTTGTAGCCCCATTTGAAAACAAACATCCATCAAAACGGATCTATCACGACAGGAAAAAATGGGAAAAAGGAAAAGGGGAGTGGAAGGAAAAAAAGGTACCATCAAGGATTCGAACAGCAGACATTCTTTGTGTTGTCTAATTTTCTAGACAGGCAAGCACCACCAACATCCTTTTCATTCCTCTTGTGCCCACGCCTGACTTAACATCCCCCACTTAATTCAAATATCGGGGCTTTGTAATGTGGCGTTTCGCTGCTGGAAAGCCTTGTTTGGCACATGTTGTAAGATATCCGACAAAGGGGACCCCCTCTACCGTGTCTTTTTTTTTTGGTGGACTCTTTGGAATTCCTTTTAAATTTCCGAGGGGGGTACAGTAGGCACAATAGTCCTAAGGCATACAGCTTGTGCATCACAATTAGGGAGGGGGCCCCCGCCGCATATCGTACAGGGTATCTATTTATATGAACAGTGGTGGCTAGTCGGATCGTCATCGCATGTATCCAGCAAGAAATGAGACCGAGGGACACCCCCCATATGTCCAATCACTATACACACTCTAGAATATTGTTACTTAACACATTCCCCTAGATGTCTGAAAATAATTCCTCAAATTATACTGAAACAATGACTAACACAAAGCATTGTCTCCGTCTCATATCTTGCTTCATACGTCATCATATGCCACAGTGTCACTGAAAAGGGATATTGTCCCAGCATCGTAGTAGCTTTTTTCTCCTCATGTTTTCTCCTAATTCCAGATATCTATTTGGCGAACCAGTTGTTGGTAACTATTACGTAAGGTACGGAGTGTTTACAGATGACGGAAGTCTGATGACACTCCAATCGAAAGAAGGACAGGTAGGCCGTCTACATCACGAAATACCTTGGTACATGATGAAGAAATTATCAAAATGATGGGTAGACAGTGCTCTGACTATTAGGGTGGCAGCCATCAACTCCGTGGTGTAACGGAGGTATACACGTGTGCTCCCGTCCTTTGAAACTTTTAGTTAATTAAATGCAATCTCTGTACAACCGTACAAGTCCCAGTTGATATGATTTCGGTACCCCTTGAAGATTGTGTGTACCCCCTAATTACCCATAAGAAATTTCATTCTAGTTACGCTACTGTATCCGACGATCAGCTAATGTGCTTTTTTTTTCAAAATAAGCCGCTTCACGACTGTCCCTCTTGGTGCAAACGTATTCTAATTTGATGAGACCTCGCCCCTCAGAATGTCGGGAAATTCCCAAAACAAGTAGTGCTTAATAGATTTTTAATTTTTTATGTTTATTGGTACGCTTATGTTCTGTAAATAGTTAGATGACGAAGGTCAGCGTCACCAGAGTTTGGATTTAAACAATGTGGCACTGGAGAACTGGACCAAATCGCTGATGGGCAAACGACTGATCATTCAAGCCTTTGTCACAGACTCGGCTTCAGGAGAAACCGTCAATGCCAATAACACAATGGTAACCTTCTGCCGAACCCCTTTCAAGTTCAACTGGGACCTCATCCAAAGGTACTTCAAGAGGAAGCTACCCTTCTCAGCAAAGGCACGTGTACAATCTATCTGTTATCAAATTAAAGCAAAGGCCACGGTAAGAATAGTGCCGGTAATATATCACGACAGGCGCTTAAATTATGCGACGGCTTCTGCGTCATTTGTGGAGACAAATAAATGTATAAAAGAAGTTCGAGTTGCTTTGTGTGGTGTAATGGGAAAGGAAAACGCTTAGTGTTCAGGACGTCTGAAATCTGAATTTCTTTGTTGCTGGTGCTTTTTAGGCCTTTTTATTTCTTTTTCCTTTTGGAAAAGATCAATATTGAAAGGTTTCGAAGTCAGTTCTAAATTTCGTTGATAATTAGGAATGCGCATGTTTACAACGTGTAGGCCTAGTGGAGTTGGGAAATATATCATTGACCAACAAACCGCATCAACAAATATGGCGATTCAAATGGAAACTTCTCGAAACGCATGGGGCAGATTGCTAGACGGAGCTCGGGAGAGATTGGGGTTTGAGTTAAATCATTTTTCTTTCAAATTCCTGCTTGATAAGAAATAAAAGAAACTCAAAGGTGACCTTTGAAACTAAAACATGTCCATGTGTCGGAAGAGGACTCACAAATGATATGGAACCGTTCACCGGGGTGGCAAGATCGCCGGGAACCATAACATCGGGCCTTGAAAATAAATAGGCCTCGATTTTTTTTTCGAGAAATTAAGTACTAGTAGTGCTCGCTGAAGCCAAATTCGTTTCCTTTGTGACTCTGGCTGAAAGATCGGAAAATCACGTTTTGCGTTGTGCTGGCCCGCCATGTTGGATTTATTTAAGTTCGACTGGGCTTTTTGAATTAATGTCAACGTTTGGAACCACTGTTGTGCTTACGCCGTGTTAGCGTCGTGCTCCATTCAAGTTTATTGACACGGCATAAGTACGACATTCGAAACAGGCTTAATGAAAAGAATTGCAGAGTAATCAAAATGGGTGTAACCATTCATCAGTCTCTAGCGATTCAAAATAATTTGTTTCTTCTCTTTTTTCTTGCCTTTGTTCCCTTTAAAGGTCAATGTTCAATTCTTGAATGGCCTCCCGGCTAGAAACATCCCTGTGATCGCCTCACCCAGAGCTCGACTGCAGAATGGTAACTTGGTTGATCTGGTTGTCTCCCGAGCAGGAAATGCTCAAGACACGTTTGAAAAGGTCTCGGGCCCCCAGGGAGAGGTGGACTTCAGGCTGGATGTACCTTCTGATGCCACCCAGATAGAAATAAGAGTAAGTACAGTGGGGAAAAAAGCTGAACCGCAGAAACTGTGTTTAGCCTATGAATACTTTTCCAAATACTTTTTCCGCTCAGTCTGTAAACATGTAAAAATACTGAACATGATTAGAATATGGACAAATACTAGTGTTGAGCATTATTGCTTAGGAATTTGGAATTATGCTTCTAAACGTCTTTAATTAATTAAATAGACTTACTTTCATTCGGCCAAGAGAATTAGAAGCCATTTACGATGACCTGAGATCGTGGTTGGGTGGTACGCACACATTAAATGCCTCTTAGCCATTGAATGTTGTGGTCATAGAAACGACGAGTACAAATTCTGTCCTGAATCCTCTAATATTTTAAATTTGTTTTGCTTACATTATATGGAGTTCTAATTTAAAAAAAAAAACAACGCCAACTGAGTCACACAGTTACTACAAAAATGTAGTTGTCTTATAATGATTTTTGAATGATCAAATGCTCATCAGTACTGTTGCGTGCCTGTACAAGAAAATTTGTATGGCAATCTGAAAGAGCATTCCATTTCACTCAATATTAGGTTACACATTGTTCAAAATTAATCATTGCGGAAATTCCCGGGAAAACCTCTATTAAACATATCAAACGACATGCATGTTGGGTTGTTAATCGTTTGATGACACAGAGTAACTTTATTGTGATTTTCATACGTGTAATGAAAAGAATAATTGAGTAGCGGATGACTATAAGTTCAACTCAGGTATGGGGGAATTGAGACGCTTGGTGGCGGCAAACATACCGGTCTTTTTTCTGGTTCACAGCATGCGGGCGTTCCTTCTAAGCAGGGGCCAATTTTCATAGAGCTTCTTAAGCACAAAATTTGCTTAAGCGCAAAAAAAACCCTTGCTTAAAAAAACAAAGACTACCAGCTTAATATCTATTTAATTGTCATGCCAACCACAAGACAGGTGAATACTATTCCAAAACGATATACATCACTTGGAGTTTCAGTTGGCTGGTAACCTGATTTGTCAAGCAAGTTTTTTTCATGCGTAAGCAAATTTTGTGCTTAAGCAGCTCTATAAAATTGGCCCCAGGCGGTCATAGTTCAGAGCATGCGCAAAACTATGAAAAAAACCCATAGAGATCGTTCTACTTATGATCTCTCTGGTGAAAAAGGACAGGTATATCTGCTACCACCAAGCGCCTCAAAGTCTCCCATAATTTTTTAGTATTGCAATCACTGACATTCTTTCATGGTATACTGATTCGCTCACTATGCATGACCATGGTATGGTAACCACCCAAATCTGCCTCATGAGAACTATGTTAAAATGAACCAGCATTATCGGAAAGTAATGTTTATAAATTGTTGTCGTTTTAGCTGCGAACAAACGACCCGACATTGGTAAATGCCAACTTTGAAGACTCCATCACCATCCAGCCTCAGGATTCAACAAATAATGAATTCATGGCGTTAAGGATTCCACATATAGGCCTCAACGTCCGACGAGCCGAAAAGGTTGTATTTCTGTGCAAGTTGTATATCAATAATTGTAATTATTCTTCAGTACCGATGGAAAGTATTTTAAGGGTATACAATAATACTTAATACTCAAAACAAATCACTGCGCTTGATGCATCTATTACAAAATACGTGAAAGTCAAAGTTACACATAATACTTGGAAGTGGGATAAGTGACGGCTTTTAAATTAAAATTCTGACAATATTCTCTAAATTACCCCCATGCATAAATTGTTAATTGGGGTTCATTATAAAATAATAGTAATTTCCAGCAGGAGGAAACTATTTTTAATCTGCTTTTGTCGTTGCGTTTTTCAGATCGATGCTTTGAGTTCAGTAGAAGTGCAATTGACAAACGAACAAAATGTCGATACACTAAATTTCTTTGTAAGTTGTTCCTGTTTTTTTTTACTTTTCCTTTACTTTTATTCCAACATGTAAACTTGGCTGATTTTAGCTTGTAGACTTAAATATGGACTCTGTCAGTAGTGGAACCTAAGTCAAACTTCTGTTTTCTTTGGTATGCCTTAATGTGATATAAAATGAACTGGTTTTGCGTATGTCAAAATTTATGAGGTCAATCAGTAAAAGTGCATACGTTGTTCTAGATGAACCAACCTTTTGGACTGTTCGCATTTTGGTTCCTCCAGTTTATCCACAAAAAAAAACCTAGGACAGCCTATGTTCAGCCCCAGCTGAACAAGTCGGGACAGAGTGCGCACAATTACGCTGTCACGGCTATCGAGGGCTGGATTGACTATGTTCTATCAAGAAGCAACTAATTTTGGGTAGCCTAGGGAGTTTTAAGCACCGTGCAGGAACACAAGTCTCGAGTAACCAAAATTGTCATTGCATATAGGCCTTACAAGCACACTGGAAATGTTGGCTTGGCTACTTGTACATGTCCAAAAGATGATTTCTTATCTACCTTAAAAGCTCAAGCAAAGAAACGAAAAAAAAAGAAAAAAAAAGAAAAAAAGCTCTATTGCAAAAAGCACTACTTTTACACTCTTTAAAACCCTAACCCCTAGGGTGTATTTAGAATCATATTGAAATCGGAGGATTTGGGGCTGTTAGGGATAACAAACAATATTATTTAGTGAAAAGCCTATTTTTTGTAGGTCATTGCTGGTGGGAGAATTGTTCACAGAGATGTTTCAGAAGTGATTAACCAGAACATAGGCTTGCTCTTCACTGTCACTCACGATATGGCGCCGTCGGCGCGAGTTGTTGCGTACTACATAAGGAATAACGGTCACGTCATCGCGGATGCACTTCTGATTGATGTAGAGAAGAAATGCAAGAATCATGTGAGTACAGTACTGTTTTGAAAGACGACTTGGCAGTTAATTGGTAAAATTATGTGGTTGTCGTCAATCGTTACGGTAATGGTAACCTGGGTTTTGGTGTTTTTTTGTGCTTTTGTTCGAACGAGTTTCTGAGCTGGAACAAGTGTTTTAAATTGTTCTTACGATTGAAGATATCCGTTTTTCTCAGCGAGGACTTGCACTGGCTGAACACATGTACAGAGCAATTACTTTTTATTTGTGTATAAAGCAAGGCAACACTCACTTGTTGATATACTGGCTTGGTGAATGATTGTTTTTGAATTGATGTTACCAAAGAAATTTTGGCTACTCGGTTTATTGGTCAGCTGGTCGGTCGATCTGCTGGCTGGTTTAATTTCTCACGCTCGGTCAGTGTTGCTTCTTTTTCAACTTTCCTACGTCACAAGCCAACTGCCTTTGCTAAGTGCAGATTGCATGCTCTGACTAACCAAGATGGTCTTATTTTGGAATCCTGCCCTTCGTTATCCAAGATTAACATGAGTATCCAGGGCTTACCCGTCCATCACAACACATACCGAGCGAACCGTGCTGGCCAGAATGTGGAACTGGAGATCCAGACGGCATGGAATGAAACAAACGTAGGCCTACTGGCCGTGGATGAAGCAGTCTTCAAGCTCCGCAACTACCACAGACTTACCCAAAAGAAGGTACAGAATGAACAAAAGAAATGTCCAAACACCCACCTTGTCAATTTTTAAAACGCGAATGCAAATATTTTCATTGTCTTCTGAATTCCTTTGCCTTTACTTTGACACCTGGCACCATGTGCTACTATAATACACCTGTAATACAGCGAATCTTTACAGTGTATAGGCCCTACATGATGATCCACTGTGGAACTCTAATTGCCACGTTGTTAATCAAAAATCGCCCAGTCTGCAATAAAATGACTAACTTTGTAAATGAACAAATGCAAGAGACCAAGCTGTCCATTACTGTTTTAAACCCGATACTTCAATAAAGTGTAAATTGACGTGTTGGAACTGGCCTTCGTGACCTTTGGTCCACATTCATTTCAAGTGCACTGGTCCAATGCATCACCTTTATCCATTTGAATTTGGTAAACATGTTTTTGTCTGAATTTCTCTTTGCCAGGTATTCATGAGAATGGTCGGATATGATTTGGGCTGTGGACCAGGCGGTGGTCAGACTACAGCTAGCATTTTAAAGGTTTGACCTCTTGACCCCGTTAAGTTCCAGTTAGCTGCCTTCATCAATGCTCCCCAAGTGCATAGGAACATAATGAGTCTGCAATTAAGCCAGCTCGCAACGCTTTGAGCGCGTATGAGTCCTCGTGTAGCTTACTCTTCGTGATAATGATAGTACATAATGCATGTAGTACTGAAACGTGATTGTACGGTGAAATATGCTCGATTGTTTATAGGGTAAGTGTATACGTAGGGGCCAGGGATCCAGGCACAGCCCACGGTCCATGAAATACCCAGCACTTTTATGCTTTTTCAACCATACTGCGACAATACAGGAACAAGTTTAGGACCTGTTTTTGGTCCCTGTTACTCAAAATCCCCTTTTCCCAATCCTTGATTGTGCGTTTTCGACTTTTTTTTCTGTCAGGATGCTGGACTTGCAGTAATGACTAACGCAAATGTGAATGTTCCGCAGAGAGAAGGTAGGACGTCAGTAATTGAAAATGTACCTGTTCTACCAAGAGAACTGTTATCAAATGTTAATTGTTAAACCGACTGTGTGAAATTATATGCTTGGGATCTTTTTCGAAATTGTGTGCAGCCGAATACCTGCGCTGCTCATTGCCTTTATATTCAATGCCATTCTCACTGTATCTTCCCAATCAAGCCGTCGGGTGTCCCGATGAACACAGTAGAGTCCGTAGAACAGTGAACGACACCGAGAAGGAACGAATTCGTGAGTATACACCAGGCATGGGATAAGTATTTCCCTCGTGACTCTCTTAGTAAACACAAAGACATGTCTCACAATAAATTCACTTTGCCAAACTGCAGGCGAATTTGCTGAGGACAAAGGAACATTGTAATGAAATGCTCAGGCTGCCCCTGGTTGTCAGTGCCTCACTCTGCAGTAATGGGCTTCACCAGGAAAAAGGTGTAGGTCTCCATGCAGGTTTAGCAAAGCCCTAAACACTAGCAGGATGGCAACAGTCCGTTGTGTATGACGACTTTATATCCTCTCTTTGTTTCTTTGTCTCTTCTGTCATACAGTTCTTTTTTTTCCATCCCAATCTTTCCAAAGAGGGACTGTGCATTCTCTTTTCCCCCTTACTAGCGACACCCATGTTCAAGAGGAGCGTGTGCGGTTTTTTACACATTTTGTCTGGGCATGCGCCAGGTACTTTCCTATGGAAAACGTTTATCGACAGTCTTGAGAAGAGACGATTCCTCACGCCTCGTGGAAGCTTCCCCCGTTGGGGATGTCGGAAATCATTCCCCTATGAAAAATTCTTCACCGAGCCACGGTTATAGATAGCCTGTATTCAAGTCGAGTTTTCCCAGCGTATTTCAAAAATAATTCGCGGGGAATATCAAACACTACTTAGAAATAATCATGAATTGCACTAGTGGTATAAGTGTTAGATTGGTGTTGTATAAATGGGTGTATGTGTGCCCTGTGACAGTGTCTGTTCCACTTTATCACCATATACGCCCAACTGGTGAACACAGTTTACGCTCAGTTTGACTAAGGGGCATTTTCTTTAGGGATTGCTCTACTTGTGTGTAAAAGTCATCATTCATAAATACCTCAGACAGTCTCCCTATTCAACAACGTGTAATTTGACCGTGTATTAACATTTGATAATGCCCGCTAAGAAGTGATAATTCCCTGCGTAAATCACGTGCTGCCACCTGGATACAAGCCTTGACCTCCATTGTAAAGACTTTATAATGCCAACTGGACAATTTACACAAGTATTGTTTCATAAAGTAGGCGGGATGCTCCGGAAACTTAAAGTAAAATTATAGCACAAAACCGCTGGAAACCCGTCATATCGCTTCTTTTGACTAAAAGTATGAATGGGAATAAATATGTGCTTGGCCGGTCTTAAACTAACGGTAAAGACAGGCTCGGGAGACTGGACACGACTACTGCCCGGGCCGCACCGGCAAAGCACATATTTATTCCCTGATTAATGTTCCTCAGAGCTCTTCTTGTCGTTTTTCGTTTCAGTGAGTAAATACGATGGTGTTGAGAGGGAGTACTGCCAAAAGGGCCTGAGGAATCTACCTGAGTCTCATAAACTGACATGCGCCCAGAGAGCCAAGCTGATGGCCGCTCGGAAGGGCCTCAACGGAGCCTCGCCAGAGATCACAGCATTTTACGAATGCTGTACAGAATTAGAAAGTGTCTCTAGAGGCAGAGCCGATGCCAGGGATGGAAAAGTCAATCTAGAGAAAATCTTCGTGCGATGGGACTTCCCGGAGAGCTGGTTATTCGACAATGTAACGACAAGGTAGTCTGTACACTTTTACGCACGGATGGCCCAGGCTGGAAGCTTTTACTTTAACTAGGCCCTAATGCTTTTAGTACAAAAACGATTATGGTCTGTCCTGCGCATTTTACATTGGGGCATGTTTTGGAGAAATTTCTATTCGTCTTAAATGGAAGGAAAGTATTTGACATCTTTTATTGGGGAATAGGGTATTCTCATTGAAAATTACCTTTAAAAACATTTAAGATTCTCTATGCTTTTCCTGACAAATGAGGGCGCTCTTGCTGTTCTGAGTGTTTGGGGCTATCTCACAGGCTTTTTGCTCATTTTTGAACTCAAACTTTTCGAGAAAATGTTGCTCAATGGCATACTGAGCTAAAACAAGAAAATCACTCAAATAAACACAACAGCAAAACATCCCAAAGTCTTGCTACTGTTAGGGTAAAATAGCTTTGACACTTAGGTTCCTAGCTTGGGTGACGTCACATTTGCTCAAAAAGATGAAAATTTGCATTGGCATGTAATCAGAAAAGAGCTTGAAATAACAAAACAAAAATTGAAGATAAGATTAAATGTGCGCAAAGAAGCATTCACGAAAACGGCATTAAAATGAATCACATTGCATGGATCCTTTGAGACACGAATACACGCGCGAAGGGGCCGCCATGAATCCTTTATCTAGACAATAGTTGTTTTATAAATTGCCCTTAGAGTTACTTGGCAATAATTGTGTATTGCATATCAAGCTTTTGGTGTGGGGTGGGGGGAATTCAAAAGCGAATGCAGCTTTGGGCTCATTCAACATGACGTTGAGAGACAAAAACCCTAAGACTTACTCGCCGTCCTGACATCCTTGCTTTTATTTCATGGGTTTTGTGTTTATATTGGATAATAAATATACCGATTACTTTCTTACATGAGGAAGTGTTCTTTGTAAAAAATATATATATGTGGGGGGGGGGGCAAGTGCCCCCTGTCGCCCCCTGCTGGATAGGCCACTGAGTGCGAACATAAAGTATTTCAACTCTGACGAAAAATTTTCCCCACACAAAACAAAAACAGGCCCAGGAAAAGTGAGAAATAGGCCCCCCCAAAAATTAACAAAAATATGAGAGTTGATCCATATAAAAAATCCCTAACAGCAAAGGTGAAAGTAAAATGCAAGAATGTGTTATAGAACTTCTTATGCGAGCTCATTGTTGGATTTCATCCATTATTTCTTATACCGTTAATTCATTTTGTAGCTCCTACGGAAATGGAGTCAGGGCACTGTACCCAATTACACTGCCTCATAGCGTGACCACTTGGGTCATTGAAGCCGTCGGGGTCTCTGCATCCGAACTCGGCTTGTGTGTGGCCGACCCCATCAAGGTGGAAGTGCGCCCTCTGTTCTTCCTTGATCTTGGCATGCCCTACTCGGTCCAGCGGTTCGAGCAGATAGAGATCGTAGCGTCTGTGTTCAACTACGCCGACGATGACTTGGAGGCAATCTTCTTTTTTCTTCGTGTGTTTTTAAGATCGACAAAACGAAAATGAGCCACATGGAAAGTGTTCCTTATCGAAACAGAATTATGGTATCCGCTGAACAATCTTTGGGAAGAAATGGTGAACGATTGATGGTGGTTTATCAACGCCATTATATACACACTGGGACATGTTTGGCATTGCACTGATTTGTTGTCCTAAACCCTGCATCATTGTAATGTTTACTGAGGTTTCCTGCATTTCACTGCTCTGATGCCAGTATTGATCCTGTCTTTCCCAGGTGGTGGCAAATTTCCACCAAATGAACTGCTCCTTTTGCTCGTCACCCAGTGCCCGAACCGGGTGCTAGGAAGGGCAGATTGCTTTGCACAGATTTTAGTGAAGGAAATACGTCACACAGAGTCACAGCTTAAGACGCGCAGAGCATTGTGGGTAAATTTCTGCCAGCCGTACGAGCTCGACCGCCAAATGCGTTACACAAGCGGTGGTTATCAATTTGATTTTTTTCTTTTCCTTACTCATTGCTGAAAATGTTATCACCACACTTTGTTCTTGTATCCAAAACTGATCAAGATAACCAATGATTTGAAATATATCGATAGAAGACACGTGATCAGTGATATTTAGTGAGAAGATAAATTACCGTACTGCGGTCGTACCAAGGCCATGTTTTTATCATATAGCCAACACTTTGCCCGTGCCAAAGCATTGCGATTGGAGAACCAAAAAAAAATTAAAAAACGCCCTGTTCGGGCCGCCGTTTGTTGGCTGATATCCCCCTGCAACTTCGACTCCATGGGCTGAATGCACGCCGTTCCTTCACAAGCAAGGCATCGTGGGAACCAACATGGCGTAGCAATATCGTCCCAATGGAACGAGGTTGCCCTCCTTTTGTCTGGGTAGCCGCTCATCCTTCCTCATGGTTATAAACATATTTGTGCAGCTGGGCCAGGTCAATTCCATCTCCGATTAGACTGGTGTACTGGGTCTGTCAGAAGAGGTGTCAGTTTCCGCCACAATAAATATTCACTAAGTATAAGCGACGCTTGTTAGCAAGCAGCTTTTCCGTAAACTAAGAGACAGGAGGTTGTAACGTCTCCTTCTTAAAGGATTATTTTATTTCATCTCTTTTTGTGTGAATTCAGGTCACTATTTATTTGGCTGGTAAGGAGGGACTGTGCTCAGTTGCACAGCCGGGAGAATATTCAGAGGGGATAACATTCACGGTTGCTTCGAAGAAGCCTGCCTCCGTCAAGTATGTTATTGTCCCCATGGAGGTTAAGGACATCCCTATAGAAGTTGTTGCCGAGTCTGGGCAGTACAGCGATGCCGTTAAAAAGACGCTGATTGTTAGAGTGAGTTGACAATACTTTTAAGATTTGGGAGGGTTTGTATTACCTCTTGTTTGCAAAGCTTTAAAGGAACCAGGAAATAGAAATATTTTTATAAATTTTACTAAAAACCATTGAAATTGCATCTTTGGGTTTCAGTTAACTTGATTTTAATTTTTTTTTGCAATTGTAATCCATATTTTGATGCTTTTTGGTTTTTATGCTAATGTTATTTGCATATTTGTGCGCAGAACTATGATGTCATCCAAGGCACTGAATCTCAATGTTGCACTGATTTGTGCACAAGAAATTTCGAGATTTTTTAACAAGTGCTTATGGCAAATTTTATTTTCTTTGGCAATTTACTGTTGTGTAAGTATGTGGCAGTAATCCAGCAAAAATCCTTTTCACGGAAATGTTCCCAGATAGCAAATTTGGGGTTCGCAATTTGAACATGTAAACATGCAACCTGAACCATGTCTTCCTGGATTTACTTCAAAGCAAAAGCGCCCTCACTTGTCCAGAAATGCTTGGTCAATTTTTAATGTTGGAAAAAGTGCACCGTTCAGTTCCCGTAACTCAAAACAGATGTCAAACAGTCTTCACACGTGGAAGAAGAGTACAGAGATATACAAAAAGTGATTCTCAGAAAAATTCATTTCCTGGTTCCTTTAAATTAAACTTGCCTCGGGTGTGAACATTACCCGATCATAACCGTGTGGGCCATGACGCCATGTGCACATGTCATCTTATGTTTGATTCATACAGCCAGAGGGATACGAGACAAAGGTTCATGTGCCAGTAACGCTAGATCCTGTCAACACCCGGGAACTGGGGAGAGATGAAAGGAGGGGACCAGATCGCTTCTATCGTCACACACGTAAGATAAGCCATTAATGGAGTTAACACTATTACGTACAGGTATAAGACTGTTTTCGAATTCACCATTTCCTTAAAACGCTGCTTGAATTAATTTAGTCATGACTCTTGCAGTCGACGTCATGACACCTTGACGTTGGAAAACGAATTAATTTGTCCATGTGTGGCAAATAAGATATAAACATTATGACTGGTTTTGAAATAAACGATTTCTTTGCTTTGTAATGTAGGCCTACCGATATAATCTCAAAATTGATTGGATTATTTGATTGGATTAATTTATTTTCCTATTTACTGAGGACTGATTTATTTTCCTCTTTAATACAGGCGATTCACAATAGTGCGCTACTAAGAGTTTACCACGCGAAATTTGTCGACCCTTTCCAACCGCGCATGGGATCGACAGATTTCGGGCATTGTGACTGGCCAACGCGTTGCAAACTCTTAGTGGCGCACTATTGTGAAACGCCCGTATTAGAAGGATTTATTGGTGATGGGTCCATGTTACAAGCAGGCCTTTACAATAAAGTTATAGTAGAAGCACCGTAAACTAAACATATGATCTGTGCCAGGTTGTGAGTAAATCCAATGAAAGCTACCCACTCTATGGCCGGTTAAAAAGTGCATACCGTAGAAACAATGGAAGCTTCGCTAGTCACCCAGCTCCCACACAGGGCGCTGGGAAAGGCGGATACGCTTCGGTATCGTAATTCTTGTTAGCTGCATGCAAAATGTTTAGGTCATTTTCATCAAAAAGAGAGGGTGATGAGTAAAAGATCTGATTTAAAAAAATGAAATAGTCAGTCGCATGGTCTTAAAAGAATACTCATCAGATTTCAAGAGATACGCATCAATTTCGACGGCTTTTGAGGAGGAGATGTGATTGAGCAAGTGGGACTTGGTTTAAGTAAAATGTACCCGATTTGACTTAAACTGGGCTGCATTCTAAAACAGAGCGTTACGAACCCATAAAAAGCCCTACGGCTGAAAGTCACACGGAGTAGTGGCTTGCAGTTCAGTTGGTAGTCTAGATCGACACTTGCTTCACTTGAATTGCCGCAAAAGTTGCACATAGGCCTAGCCTACACATTTTCACACGTGGAAACCATCACTTAAAATATTACGATAATAACTGACCAGCACTGTAAATAAATAATTCAACAGCAATTTTGATTAAATAAATCTTGGGACTATGATGAGTCTGAGGACGATTACAGTACAGCGTCAAATGGCAAAATATAGTTAGACTCCTCTCAAGCCGGACTGGCACATTAAACGTTGCTCGTGATTTTTCTTTCAAGACGTGAAATGAATTCCAATTGTAATCATATACAGAAGTCGGAGAAATTACTCTGTAGAGCACATTTTGAGTCCTTCCGTATACTGAAATGCGTTAGATCAAAAACATAGTAAATGTATGAGTTTGGAAACATTCACACTAACAGACGTTTCATAATTCGAACATAAAACGAACGCAAACGCGATTTTGTGAAGTTAGAATAACACATTCGCGCTGCGAATTCGTTAAAGTTGAACACGTTTTAAGTCGAGCGAAATTTTGCTGCAAATCTTTGGTGACGTCAAAATTCGTTTCGCTTTCGCATTCAAAAATTATGAACCAGCCTTTTGTCTGTTTTACCCACATGCGCATAGTGTGACAGAGACCCGTGCACCCTAATTTTCCACAGTTTCTGAATACATTGAGGGAGTAAGAAGTTATAACGTCTTTCCAAATTGGGCAAAATTACTGCAGAGTTAACCAGTAACACAAAATGTTTCATTGTTATTATTCGATTGTTATTGCTAAAAATTGTTGTTTGTATTTTTTACTGTTTAGAACAATGGGGCAACGCTGGAGAGGCCAATCAAGTGGATACCATCGAATATAAAATCAACAGAGATGCTATCCCTGGTACCCACAGAGCTCGAATGAGTGTCATTGGTAAATGTTTTTCAATCGGTGTTGTGAAACAACCTGAAATCAAACACTCGCAATTTTTGCTCTGTAGTAGACCTAAGTACTAAAACGTGGTGTTTGTTCAATAATATGCATGATAAGGTAAAGATAAGGTTGTTTATAAATATATAGAATACAGTTCGTTATTTTTGAACCGTTTGGGGTTTGTAGTCCCTACTGATGGATATTTCAACATTCACAGAACTTACAATAGTGTTAGTATCACAGCTACCACAGGAATTACAATTGAGGGCGGTGTTTATGCCGTTACGTTATATTTGGCCGTGTCCGAAACGGGCTTTCAGAGCTACTGCTAGGTCTATTGTCTTTGCATTTCCGCACATTTCAAATGGAGGGAAGACCTAGACCTAGCTCTAGACAAGAGATTCGAATGCAGCCTTTGCTTCCTTAGTCTTTTCGTTACATTTGGTTTTTGTATTTGTTTCGGGTATTTGTTACAGGCCTACTGTTAGTGTTATTTACGATTCTATTTTGACATTTCAACAGAAATCTTGGACCAGGAATGGGTTTTAAGAGACACAGCACCTCTGGTGTTCTTTAGAGCAGTAAAAATGCGCTGTTTCAAAAAAATGTTCTTTAGACAAATATAACAGTGACCGGTAGCCTTGTTATACAGTGTGGGACGTAGGTATTTGCTGCGTTTAGGTGTGAAATTCACGTATACCCCCCCTTCACTTGACATGACCAATGGCCCAATATTATGCTGACTGTAATCACTTTCCTAAACAGGTACCGTGATGGGCAATGCCGTTGACACGGTTATAACCGGCCTGGAGAGACTTCTGAGGATCCCATCGGGATGCGGGGAACAGACCATTAGCAAGTTTGCGCCCAATGTTTACATCTACACCTACCTGAAACACTCGAATCAGTTTACACCCAACCTAGAGGCTTCTATCCAGAAATATATCAGGGATGGTGAGACGCTTTAACATTGAAATATCCTCAGTTCGCCGACTAGGTTCAAACCATTCGCGAAGTAACATCCTTGAATGAATAACGTGCTTTGATGTCAGCAATCACTTCTGCTTGTGCAAATACATGTACAGTGATAGATGACGCCATTTTTCTAAGCATGCAAATTTTGGGGGGTATTTTCTACTTGGTAAATCGATAAAAATAGATCCGGTTTTGCGCCAGCTAAGTCACGTTAATTAAAGTGGGTATGAAACATCAACAAACATGGCGTCCTTCCCTAGGAAAGTGTGTCATAAGTGTTGTTTACCCAAAATAATGTCGATTTTCGGTATAGTGTTTAGCACATCAGTAGTGTGAGTACTGTAGGCTACCGACCGTCCGATTTATTTTTGGAAAACGAAAGTGTGACTCACTTTGCTATGGGAGGACGCTTTGTTCGCTTATGTTTGATACCCGCTATCCGGCACGTGTTCATGATGGAGATCAATGGCGTGTTTGACGCAGAGCACGCTGAGTACGCATAACGAATATATTCCTTATGTATGGTCTCGGAGAACGCGTGCAAGAACCCGCTTGGAAAACTTTCAACCAGCTGAGTTTCTTTTGCTGCTTGGGGGTGCACTTCAACTCGGGGTGGATGGGACTAGGTCACGCGACTTTGTGGGCACAATCAATCTATTGTTCCTAGCGTAAGACTGGCCAACACTTTCATCTTTAAATAAGTGGTGCAAGGGAAATTGTTGAGAATGGATGAATTCAACGCAAGTTCATTAGAATTGGGTTTTGTTCCCTCCATTCGGAGGCCTGGGAAAGATATAATTGACACAATGTTCACAATGATGTAAGACGTGCTGGGCCATCCGCCTCCAGCGGAAACACCCCCTCATCAGTTGAAAAGACCCGTACTGGTGGGGAATGTTCGTTTTCCTGGTAGCGACGCTTGTAACACATGCATTTCATAGTCGTTGTGAAAGTACCGGCGGCTTGCAAAGGAGCCACAGTAGCTCTCTTGGTTTTGCTTGGGGCTCATGATAAAGTTGAGATTGGCGTCAGGGAAGAGTTGGTTTTCTTCATGCCGCATTTGAATGACACTTAAAAAAAACCCTCAGTGCAAGAATATTTACATGCATTTTACCATATACACGATCTTATACCCGTGAGATCGTTTATACTTAGTGTGCTTAAATTCCGTTTGTAATTCATTCTAGGTATCACAAACGAACTAAGATTTAGAAGGCCGGATGGGTCCTTTTCTCTTTGGGGAACAGACGAAAGCAAGAGCACTTGGTAAGCACTGCTATATAAACGTACCAGAATCGAGAAAAGCATTCTTGCTACTGGACAAGAAAAGTTTACAACTAAGGGCTGAGGCTTCGAATTCGAGAAAAAGGACATGGTTGATAGATTGACATGCTTCGGTTCTTTTGACTAATTATAATTAGTCATGGAAAGTTTCTCATTTGTCAAAATTAATTAGTAATGCAGGAAAACCAATAAGTAATGCAAGAAAATTAATTTTTCATTTTGATGGATTTAAATTATCATGTGACTGTTGATTGGTCACATTACATGCCACTTTCAAGGTAATCACACTTGAAATAAAATCTGAAAACCAGATTGCATTTTAGTTGAAGTCTATATCACTGATTAAACCACCAGCCTGCATCGCTGCTAGCCGTGTTTTGGTGCAGAGGTACCAATAGATTCCCTCCCGCACCGACGGTAACAAAACGAAGGTCAAGTTCGCCAGAATTAGGCCTACATTAACTTCACACATTTTAACTAAAACAGGCCAAATAAACGTTAGGTCCCCAGCGACATCCCATGCTCAAAATCAAATGATAGTGTCACCTATAATGTCTACAGCTCTTCAGACTTTGCTTATTATTTTCAAACTTCAAGTAACATTTTCTTATGCAGACCTAGTTGGAAATCTTCCGAAGAAACTGAACACTGGTACAGTCATACGCAAATGTGGTAGGCTGAATGTAAAATTGGCGTCCATTCGTGTCGCGCGCGCTTTTCAGCAGGGCGAGGGTAGGAAACCCGGTAACTGAAATTTGTCCAGCCAAAAGCAGTCACACCCTATGAAAAGTTCGTTTGGTAAAAGTAATGCTCTAGAAAATTTGTCGAAGACTTTTCCCCGACAAATTAATTCGTCTTTTGCCTTTTAACTGACGACGCCTATCTGTCAATTGACGATTGGTAGATTAGTGCATCATTGCAATTAGTCCTTCACTGATTTTAATCCGTCCAGCAACTTCACCGATTCGTAACACATCTTTTTTAATTTGTTATTCCCCTCAAAAAATTCGTCAACTGACCAATTACTTGCAGTACTAACAATTTTCCTCATTTTAGACGGCTTTTTCACCCCGATAAGGAGAAATGCCAGCCCGTATGTAAAAATAATTGGAAGTTGGTGGAGAACCATATGTCTGCAGTACATTTATATGAATATTTGTAAAAGCAATAGCTATTTGAATATTGTTTTTCAAATCATTTAATTAAGCATTTATCAAATATCCAGATCAAAGGTCTAGACAAGTTAAATAATCGTGCCGTTTGTGCAGTTGAGGGGGCACCCGATGTTGTCTGAATGATTTCTTATGCAGTGTTTGTGGTTTTGTGGCGCAGGTTGACCGCGTTCGTTGCTAGAATCCTCTGTAAGGCTAAGGAGTTTGCCGCGGTGGATAACAACCTAATATGTGAAGCGATGATCTGGCTGGCAACCCAAATACAACCTGACCAGAATGGTGGCTTTTTCAGAGAACTGTACGAAGTAAACAAGCGTGGATTGGGTGTAAGTATTTCAGATAGCAACTTTTATAAATACGCTTTAAACTGAGTGGAAGCGTAGGACATGTATTTCAGAGAAGTTTTCGTAATTTAGGTAGGGTCCGTATGGGAGGTTACCGCTAGGACCTCGGGTCTAGGCTTTATATGCATGCTACTACACTGTTACTGTTTTAGGGAAAAAATCAAATTATTTAAGTTCAGCACAGCAACACAGCATGGCGTATATAACCTAGGCCTAAGTTTTGGTAATACATGTCCATGACAGAGAAATCAATCCGACGAACACTTGAGCCATCGAATAAACATGCATGCAAACTGAACAATGTCCAGACTGTCACTGAAAAGCCTTATTGCCGATCCTAATTTTTTCCCACAGGGAGGAGTGCACGACGGAACCCCATTGACTGCATTCATCCTCCTCTCCTTCTTGGAATGCGAATGCGATACGTTTGTAAATCATTCTCTTTTCACAGTAATGGAAGTTCTTGACACGCTGCAATTCAAAGAAGCAGCAGTTAGCGAATAACACAATCGTCTCAGTACGGTGTCCTTTAATACGGGTATTTCCCTATAGTGTGCCTCCGAGAGTTTGCGACGCGGTGAACATTCACAACCCGCGAAATCTGTAGATCCTTTCCAAACCACGGACGTACGTTTATAATAAAATCTGGACTCGCAAGGCCCTTAATCAGCTTATAGAGTCATTGAATCCACTAGCGGCCATTTTACCGAGCCGAATACAAAGCTGTCCTGGCAATGCCCTCCTTTGTTCTTCCTGACGTCAATAGAAGGGAGCCAACCCACGCTTTGTATTCGGCTCGGTAAAATGGCCGCTGGTTGGCTTCTTTTTCATACAAAGGCGTTGCAAGTCCAGGTTTTGTATATACGTCTTTGTTCCAAACGTGCATTGGTCCTGGGTAGATAGATTTCGTGGATTGTGATTGGTCAACGCGTTGTAAACTCTTGGAGGCGCGCTATTGTGAATCGCCCGTATTACCCGTCTGACATTTTATGCGCGTCATGGGATGGGTTGACTAAGAGTGATGCACTTTATGCACAAACCTTAAAGGAATTGCATCAGTCAAAATGTTAATCAGTTTGAACCTTGTCAAAAACTCAAAAATATTGACCTTTTATCATCGCACTTCCAAGTTGTCTTATGTAATGATTTTGAATATACTGTGAATATCAGAATAAGCTTTTTGCGAATTAAATTTAAATAAAATTTGGCACACTGAATTATCTGAATTCATAAAATATAACAATTTGAATTTCCTGGACTAAAGACTGTTGAGACCACGGTATCTGAAAAGGACTGGTTCCTCTGTGTCCTTCTTATTCACTGAAAACAGTGTATTAGTGCAAGGCATTTCTTACTAAGCAAATGTTTGCCCCAAATCACGAGGTATAGTAACAGTGTCTTTAGTATGGAGAGTTGAAATTATGTTCACGTGAATTCAAAGAACTCAGTGTACCATGTTTTATTCAAACTGAACTCACAAAAGGCTTATTTTGTGACTTGACCGCATTTTGAGTTTATAAAATGTTATCTTATTTTCGGTTTTAATCCTCAGAATAAGATAAATATTGTGCGTGGTGCAACTGATTTCCTCGAAGATGAACTGCCAGGGTTAACTCGTCCATATGCGATTGCTATCACGGCATATGCCTTAGCTCTCGCTGATAGCGATAGAGCACAGGATGCTATAGAAACCCTCAAAGGCATTGCTACATACGATGCAGGTAAACTTGTCAAAGACGCATACCAAAGAAAGAGCCACATCAGGCATTTATTTACAACGACGTATGCTTGAAACATAAACCCTTTTTTTACCCAATTAATTCAGTTAATAATGAATGGAAATCATGCAATGTATTCTGAATATATAATTTGAAGTGCAAGGATAAACATACAAAGATGGCACGGGCAAACACACAGGCTCGCTTAACGGCAAGGCAAATTGTAAACGTAAACAAATATTTTCATTAGCCTGGTTTCTTCAGTTAGCTATTAACACGGTGGCTGCCGTAGCATGAGACAGCTTTAGGGGGTTAATGTGAAGTTTCCACTTTTTAGCATTCGCATCTCGTAGGCTGCTCTCATTTCATCCTGAAAATACATGTACAACACTTCAGCTTGCTTGCAGTTTTACTAACGCCAGAATGTCAGGTTTGAAGGTCGGCAAGCAAGTAAGGCAGTCCACTGGATGGTATATTGACGTTGGCTGGCCGCACCCACAGCATCGGCTGCCGACAACTGCAGCATCAGCTTCCGACCCGTAAATTCGCACGTCTATTCTGTATTCATACTTCTGCGAATAAAGTATTTTAATACAGGCCATCCATAATCAAAGAAAAGAGACTTGCCGAAAAGGTTTCGAAAATGATTTTGAACTGAGCAAAGGTTTTAGGTGTTTAGACTAGTAACGATGCGAAGAGTCGCATATAAGATGCATATAAACTAAAATCGCCAATAGCTAAACATATCTATTTCCAAGGATGGTTTGCGCCGAGGAGATGTTTTTTTGTTTTGTTTTGTTGTTTTGGTTTTTTTTTGCCCTGCCTGACATGTATTTTTACATTGTCTACTTAGTGTTTGCCCCCGAAGGCTTGTGAAAAACCACAAGTGTACTCTGGTGGGACTCGAACCCACGACTTTCTGCTTAGTACAGACGTCTTAACCAGTCTACCTCCGAGCTTGGTTCGAGTCAGATGTAGCAGCGGGTATCGCGAACAACTATTCCCAATGATGGTTTGCGCCGGGGAGATGTTAATTAATTAATTAAATATATCTAAGTAAAAACAATGAAATTTTTTTGGGGTGCACTTTCAGACTCTCGTTACTGGGCAGCTGATGACTCGTCGTTTGGTGCCGGACGAAAACCTTACTGGTACGTCGGCCGACCAAAAGCCATTGAAGTTGAGACCACCAGCTACGCATTACTTGCCCTGCTGACAGTCGGGGATATCCCCTACACACACGCCATTGTCAACTGGCTAACCAATCAGGAAAATTACGATGGAGGATTCGCGTCCACGCAGGTATTATTTGAAAAAAAAAAGTGCAACCCTAGCCGCCAGGGCCTCTGACAGTCACTGATTAAAGGCATATACAGTTATTTTTATGTTAAAAATAAAGGAGCTTTGTGATGAGTTTGAGTTCTTGCGAGAAAACTGTAAGTGAAATTTGTCCTTATAATTGCAGGACACGGTTGTTGCGTTGCACGCCTTGTCGGTATATTCGGATGCGGTTCAACAAGACAACACCGACATTAGATGCCACGTCACGTGTGACAAAAGTGGATTCAATGAAAGGTTCAAACTAAATCCGGGCAGTGCGCTCGTACGCCAACAAAAAAGCATCAACGTGAGTCGGGCTGTCTGTCTGTCTGTCTGTCGGTCGGGCGGTCTTTGTGCCAAGCAATAACATGCAACAAAGAAACAGAAATAAACGGTATAAATCAATTATAAAACAGCCTAAAAGTTAGTATTGGTTTCAGAGAATATATAGAATGACGGGCGAGGAGGATGTTACCGTGCGAGTATTGTAATCCCTTTACAATTTGAAAGACTTTTGAACAATCCGAATTTTGTTGGTCACTTCAGTTAGCATCGATTTCAGAAGCCAACCATTTTAAAAGTCCTTTTAAGGGTCATGTTATTGTACATTTCACCCAATGGGCGTTCCATTTTCGGTTAACCACAGCACTATACATGGCGATAGTACAAGAGGAATTTCATGGCATCGGAAAAAAGCACAGATCCTACGAAACCCAATTTTAATGCGGAGGGGGCTGAGGGCATTAGGCATATATTCAAGACACCTCATCTGTACTCCTTACCATTTACCTATTTGGCCCACCATTACATTTCTAAACGCACCGTCCGGTATGAGGTCTATGGACGTGCTCAACCCCCCCCCGAGAGCTGTGCCCCATTGGACAAAAAAACCATAAAACCAATAACTATTTGCCTTGAGCGCATTCTCCCTTGAATATTTGGTTTTGTGAAACTAAAATTACAAACACGGCATTCTTTTCAATAGTTACAGTCACTATTGACGTCTGTTATATCGTCGCAAAGATATTACTTCAGTTTTTTGTTTTGTACGGCGTAACGCGGATTGGCATAAATTAATGCGGATTGAAATGGTTCTTTTTATGTGCGAACTTGTTTATTTTTAGGTACCAGAAATAAGCGAAGATATGACTGTTGTCATTAACTCAGGAGGATCGGGCTTGGGTCGCTTCCAAGTGAGTTCTAATTCAAAACCAAGACTGTCTTTTGCTCAAAAAAGTGAGCTTTTGCCGATGTTAATTCCTTGGATTCTTCTGAATCAACCTGCTTTTCACAGTGCTAAATTTTGATTTGATTTGATTCGATTTTAAAATTCTTCCAAAAACATTAGAACACTCAAGCACAACGTTTATCCACTATAAAATTGGTTTTCCAAATTATAAACCTTAGTATTTATATTGTTTTAAAGAATACTCAGTCAGATATTCCTTTTAATAATAGTTTGAGGCTACCTACTACCTTCCCGAGCCTAACAGGAATGACAGTTGTGACTTTGAGCTGCAGATCAATCAGGGCGATACCCCGCAAGCTGATCATCTCGAGGACAACGATGAGGAATATTTCTCTTACGATGTACAAGTAAGGTATGAATGTTTGCAGTCCAGGGCAAGTAAATCATGATATCGCCTTTCTATGTTTAAGGTATATGTAATGTATGTGTCAACTGCGTTTCACCCTATAAAATTGTTTTAGTCTGCGTATGGAAACTTACACGCCGAAAACGCGACTAGGGAAAACACGCTAAAGCATGCCACCTGTCCAGCTCACATATTAAAAAAGACTTGTCGATAAGGTCATGCGCTCGGCATCCTTGCTTAAAGGTACACAGGGTTTTTTCTTCGGTCACGTGACCTTCATAAAAATCATAAGTGGGTCGGGTAGACTGGAGTATTCAAAATTGTATTATTGAACCCTTGTGAAGGAATAACCCTTTAATTGGAAAATATTGGATTTGTTATATTGAAAACAATGTGCACTTGGAAAATCTACTTTATCCGTCGGACACACTTTCACATTGTAGTTATCTCCGTGGAGAACGAACCGGTATGGCTATTTTAGACGTGGGACTGTTCACCGGATATGTTGCTGTTGAAGAAGACTTGAAACAAGTAAGCGGTCGATATTATTAGGTATCAAGAATTCTTAAGACTCTGATGATCAGTTTAACAACATGCCATGCAGCTAAGAGTAAAAAAAAATGATACACCAAAACTAAGGGATAAGAATGAAATCAAATATAAGCTCATCAGTTATCCATTTTAAGTTTAATTACTTTAATTGAACCCTTTAACTTAATTGAACTAGGACGTTTGTTCCAGGACATTTGCACTTTTTTATTTTCCCGATTTTCTTTCCCTTGCGGAAAAAAAAGTTTTGGCCTCTACGCGAGCATTAATTCTAATGGCTATGACGATGTGTCCCATTCTGTAATGGATCCTTTTGTTTTTCCACAGAATATTGATCCTTATGGATTTGTATTCAATCCTTGGCCTGATAAGCCATGAGTCAATTTATTTGGCTGCGACTTAAAAGTAAACACAAGACTATGACAGTGACTGCAGCCACTTCCCACAGAGTCGTGTCTAATTTCAAGACGGGCAAATCATTCGTTCTTGGGTTTAGGGCCTTACTTGAGAAAAAGGTCATCACCCTTTTACTTTCGTCTTCATCTGCTGATCGTATGTTGATAACACATATCAAGTATTATCGTCTTGGGCAACGATTAAACTGAATCAAAAAAGATGAAACTTTTTTAATTGACTGATATTATCCAGTTTGTAAATTGGCATGTACCTCATTATGCTCTGTGATGGCTGTGGGATGAGTGGAATTTGAAGCGATAATGTTTAAGACTCTTAGGAAAACATCATAGGTTATATCACGAATGATTGATTATTTTACATTTAATATTGCAAGACCTCAGTTGGTCAGGAAACTTGATGACATTTTAATTCCTGATTACAAACTTCAGAATGTATGAAGCACCCTTTTCAAAGCCCAAATCACAGCGACCTCTTGAGTTTTAGAGGGCACGTTTCGAGACTGATGTTGGCCACAATGAAAACTCATTATTTGAGAAGGGATGTTAATATTATCATCTTGATCCAGTTAATTTAATTGGGTGAGACTTACCGAGTTTGAATTAGTGGTTTTTTTCATGATTCAGGTGATGGAAAACAGCAATGGAACTGTCCAGCAGTATGAGGCCACTGATCGCGCGGCCATTTTTTATCTCGCAGAAGTAAGTCAAATTCAAGTCACTTAGTGATCTTCCTTCATTTTCAACCGCCCACAAACCAAATGATATTTTAAAAACTAAAAATCCATTGTAGCTTGCAGTAGTCTGAATTGCTATGTGGTCTTTCTCTGCCTTTCTGTTGTGAAGATCTCTGGACAAGAAGCAACGCGAATCCAATTCCGAGCAAGACGTAAATTTAAAGTCGGTAAGATCCAGCCCGTCGCAGTACGTGTATACGACTACTACAACCCTAGTAAGTACCAAGAATCCGTCCTTTTAGACAGAAGTCGCACTCACATTTTCGTTAGTGTGGACATTCCTTTCTTCTGGTGCATTTCCGAAAACCTCGGTAAAGTTACTCATTTTCCTTGAGCTGTGAGCACTATTTTTAGATTTTTGCCGATGGTTTCCTTAACTGATTCCCATCATTTTGCTATGGAAAGCCCTGACCTCAAAATGGGTTGTAACTGTGCTTCATCGCCAAGGGGTAAACCTTGTGTAAACCTGGCTGAGTTCACACAATGCTGTCACAGCGTGCATTTTGTAAACTGGTTTTGTTTTCATGCCCAGGCAAGGATTACAAGGTTCACACACATTGGTTTAGTAAATTGGTAAGAAGCAGGTTTGGAAATCACCTCTCCTGGAGCACTGGAGATGTATCATTTTAAAATTATTTATTTTTTTACTTTGTATCTCTGCATTGTTGACAAAAAGTTGGTAAGCTCGAATTAACAAAGGGGAAGGCTTGTCAGACCATGTAATACTGTGGGCTCCGACGTCTACCCCGCTCGTGGGAGCGGGGCAAACGTTGGATACCCCACATTTCCATTTTTTGGTAGACCTTAAGAGCTTCTTCTCAATTTAATTATCTGACAATAGCCGAGGACTGTGTTAGGTTCTTGGGTCCCAAGGAAGGCTCCAGCATGCTTGCCAAGCTGTGCGATGACAACACTTGCATTTGTGCTGAAGGCAAGTATGCTGTTATTGTAATAATTTCATCAAGGAGGAAGGAAAGCTGTTTTCCTGCTTTTAAAGGCATGTAATAAGTGGCTGCTGTATTTCTTATAATTTTGGAATCGTGCGTGACCTAGCCACGAAACGGGGATCGCTCAAAGATGGTGCAGTGCTCTTAACACTTCATCGTATACCCAGCAAGAAATGAGACCAAGGGGTACCCCCCACCATGTCCAATCCCTATACACATTCCAGACTATTGTTACTTAACACATCCCCCCCAAGATGTCTGAAAGGAATTCCCCAGATTCCAGCGAGACAATGACCAACACAAAGCAGGGGGGGTTCTCTCCGTCTCATATCTTGACGCATAGGCTTCATCGTGTACCACTGTGAATTTCCAGGCTTGCAACACCAGAAGTGTTGCTTTTATATGTTGACTTTCTGTTGTAATCCCTGGCTCCATGCTGTACAGGCTCTATGGTTTTTGACAAACGCATTTACAAATGGGGATATCCACCCAAACGGAGCTGCATGACTTAATGGAGTGCCGAAGTCAATGGGCTAGTTCAAGGACTGGCTTTTTGTCAAACGCTGGCAGATTTTGGATGGTAACCAGTGCATATTTCGCGAACAGAGCAGGAAAAATCAACCAAAGGTCGACAAATGGTCATGACTCGAATCTGTCCCATTCTGTCGCTGAGGACCTGTGGCCTTATCACGCTCCAGGCTATCATTTTTCACCTTCATCCCTTATTCTTATGCATGAGCGTGTACCTATAAGGGGGCGGGGCAGGGACAACACATTCAAAGTCTCATAGGACAACTGACATAATCATTCGTCCATAGGCCTATTTTTGTGTGACGCCAAAAAAATCTCAAAATGTACCATGGCCCTAGAGGATCAATAAATGACCAGTTTAAATAAAATTGAATGTTGTTCGGTTCCTATTTTTCCACAGGAAACTGTTCAGGTACCCCGAAGAAAACAGGAAGGGACTATAATGTTTATGAATTGAAGACGAAGGCTTGTGTAACAAAATCTCATTTTGGTACGGTTAAGTAAAGAATTACATTTTTAATTCTTACCTTTCGAATAAATGTGTTTGTTAGTTTTTAAAACGGGAAGCGAGGAGATCACACAATAGTCAATAAGTCTTCATAAGTTGCGCTTCTTTATCCACTGTCAGAGGTTTAAACAACTCTGAAAGAGAGACACGTAGGCCTGCATAAGAAAATAAAAAGTTGCCATGAAGACAACTTTTATATGGATGTCTAAAAATGGCACGATTTCAGGTCATTCTTACAAGATACGTGCATATACTACGCCACGCTATAGCGCAACGGCATGTTAAATCCCTTATTTCCATGACAACCATCTTTGATATTGTGTGTTCACACAGCATTCAAAGTACGTGTAAATGGCGAGGAGGAGAAGGGCAACTTCCAGCTCTACACCTTGAAGATTCTCACCCCTCTCAAGAAAGGTATAAATATGATAAATGAATACGATGTCATATTTGGATGCCATATTGAGAATGCCCGGTCGTTTATGGGAAATTACTGACAAAGGACAATGACACGTATAGCTTACCTTTGGAGTATCTCATTTAGAATCCTTAAATATGGATCATGTTACAGTGCGCATTGCCAAAAGAAAAGGTCACGTGGGCAAAATGCTATCCAATGAGGGCTCGAAGAAATTACTTCTAACATCTTGAAGTAGGTCTAATCAACCCATCCCAGGCCCTGTGACCAACGAGACCTAATCCGGTGGAAGTGTGTAAATCAATGTGTTTTATTACTTGGTCCGTAGACAGAAACTCCGGAAAACGTTGCCACAAGGTTAAAAATTACCCCTTTTAAAAACATTTTAACCCATTTTTGTTCGCACAGGATGTAAAAATTCAGTGTCTTAGCTCCCCAAATACGTGGGTTTCAACTTATGACCAAGTACGGTCAAAATCATAAATATCCAAACTCCAAAACTCTTTTGTCGTTGGATTTTTTCCCGTTTTGCGAGCGTCGTGTTTTATATACATGGCAACGTGCATGTGAAGCCGTGTCAGCCCACCGCTGTCCGAGTTGACGGAATGTCTCAGCTTATATCATGACTATAAACCTTTTCTTCCGTAAATTTTATTCTGTGTTTATGATCGTACTATATGGGTGTCTCATACAGTACGGGACGACCAATACTCTTCGGTTCAGGCCTGTACACCGTGGTCAGTTTTTACCTGGAAACAGGCGTCACCGTCAAAATAGCAATGTTTTCACCGGAAAGAAAGTAAACAAGCTATTGTTAACTGGTATGCCGTAAGCCCGTAACATGACATCTTGCAAACGCAAAGTGAAAGGTGAGCAGAGTACAAAAAGCGCAACCATTACAGGGCGTTGTTTACAACAGTATTGTAATTATTCAATTTAAACTGAATCTGCACCGACTATAAGGCTTGAGCTGGACCAAGAAAGGATGCTCCTTTGGTTGGAACTGAACTTTGCTGGTTCACAAAGGACTAGGAAATGCTACACCAATCAAATGAACACTCCCGACCAGCACAGCTCTTGGCAACCGATGTGGGGGTGCTTCTGCTCTAGCCAGATAACAAAAGCGTAGTAGTATCCGCCCAGAGCAGGAACACCCCTTATCGGTTGAAAAGAGCCATGTTGGTGGGAGCGTACATTTGATTGGTAGTGATGCGACCTTAACTCGTGCATTTCATAATCGTTTGTGAACCAGCGAAGTGCAGTTCCCACCAACTTGAAAGAGCCTCTATATTGCTAGGAAAATCTCTCCCATTCTTAGTCGAGCTCGGGGCTCATAGAAGCGCTTCCCTATAGTTGCGCACTAATTTAATTCAAATTAGTAATAACCGGTAATACCAAATAATGAAGTGGCGCTGAAAATATTTTTTTATCTAGGTGTAACACGTATAACTAATTCGAGGTCATAGGTGAGAAGGATCCACGTCTGTGTCATTTGAGTTTATTTAATACTCTATAGAATAAACGCCCCAATTGTCAAGGTTTGGTGCTTAATCCTATCACAGACCTAATAATCTAATTCATATTTTCATTGAAGGATTGGATAATGTTGAAGCTGGTGACAAGCGAATCTTCATGAAGACTAAAACCTGCGATACTCCACACCTGAAGAACATAAGGGATTACTTGGTGATCGGCAGCAGGGGACTGCCGATGAAGGGCGATGGGGAATCAATCACGTGAGTGTACGCTTTAATATTCTTCCGCATACAAGCTTTTTATTACGTCTTGACTGATGTGATCATATGACTCTTTACAATTATGCATAAATCCTTAAATAAAGTGAGAAGGTTCTTTCGTTCAAAATGGAAACCTAAACTGGCCTAATATATGACTCGCTGGAAGTCCATATTTTAAACGTGCCTTATGCTAAGACATTCGATGTAGCAGCCCATAAGCTATGGAATGCGCAGCTATGGCGTATGTGAATGGAAACGTGTGTCTTTTGAATATAAGATAAAACCTTTCTATTTAACAGTGTAATCTTCAATACGGGCGATTCACAATAGTGCGCCACCAAGAGTCTGCAACGCCATGGCCAATCACATTGCGCGAAATCTGTCGACCCAAAGCACGTTCGGAAAGGGTCGACAAATTTCGTGCGTTGGATTGTGATTTATCGGACAACTGCATAGTACCGTAAACAAGAAAGCTTCATTCATTAAGCTGTTTTCTTATTTTGTGCCACAGGTACAAGTACTATATCGATGAGAAAATGGTGTTTTACGAGTGGCCGGTTTTGAGGGATCTCCAGATCAGGAAATGGGAACGGATCAGCCAAAAACTCCAGAATCTTCAGGCTGAATTGGAAGATAACATCGGATGCGCCACTTAAACGACCACCAAACAATTTATCATAGGCACAAAGGACATAGGGCTGTGTATTCTGATAAATCGGTGCAGAGGGATTGAACGACAAATAAGCTGCATTATTATGCACAATCCTATTAATGGGTTTCTACCAATGGCTAATACTGGAAATCAAGCCACCCTTTTTTCAGGGCTGCATTGAGTATTTGATTTGAAGTTATTCGCAAAAATATTTTAAAGCCTCCTACAGAAAGAAGGTTTGGGGCGTCCCATCCCCGAACACCAGTTTATGTCTTGACCAATGATTGCGTATGTCACTGAGCTGGTATTGGCTAATCAAAGTAAGGATTTGAGGCTCATTTAAATTGCATTGTCCAATCAAATCAATTTTATACCCTTTCGTGACTGGTGGCATTTAAAGCTTTCGGAAAAGAATTTTTCAACTTGATACTTTCAAGTATTTCTTGCTTTAATACTATATATGCATGTCCTTGATTTGATGAACTGGTACTCATTCTTCTAAAAAAATACTCTATGTTTAACCAGTTCACTTCCTCCACAGGCTCCTGTATAAAATCCACGATTTGTTTGTCGTCCAATCCCATGATTCAAGGAGAATCATCTGGAAATTTGACTCAAAGCTTGTGTTTATCATACCACAGGTGTATTTTCCCATTTTGTAGCATAAAGACTTGCCGGCAAAAGTATAATGAGCATTAATTGTCAAGCTGATTCTCTAATCTGTAGTATATACAGGTATAACTAATGATAAGCGTCAGATTATTTTCCTCTAGAAGAACAGAGAAAAGAATTATTTCTGGTTATTCAAGGCCAAAGCTTTTAGTCGGTAGCTGCATTTGCTTGTTTTTTTTATCCAATGATTGATTTTATTTTCTTTAAACGTTTTGTGATGCTCATTAATATGTATGAATTTAACCCTTATTCGCGGTTAGGGATGTATGCATTTCCATCTTGTTCAAATATCTTATTCATTAGCTATATTATAGGTTTCTTATTCCATTCAATATTTCTCAATAGAACCCCTGGTATTTGATTTTGTTTCCTTCAGCGCGGCTCACTGAAAGTGATTTAGGACATGGTGTAATCTACTGGCTAAATCGCTGGTCTAATTTCCTGCCACGTGCTTCACATTTTGGCGACATGCAGAGGACTGCATTGAATTTGCGGGACATGAACATCATAAGGACGAATTTTAATAACTGGTCTCAAGCTGTACTTTGGCTGGTTTTAAAGGGTTTGCTGTCGGGCTTCCTAGGCCATTGTAGTAGTCTAAGTGTTAATGTTAGCCTGACTAAAGTTGAATTTACAAGGTCCACTTTTGAAATTTGGTTTTCAAATTACTTTGGCTTTTGAAAAATCTGTTACTGGAATAGAAGTTAATGATTACTTAAATTAAGCGTTTGCCAATTCGAAAGTAGACTGCATTCTCCATATGAAAATAATGATATCCATCATACCGCAAATACCAATTTCCATGACATGTAATCGACTTCTTGGGCGTATCTTGTTTAGAGGTACATGAATTATGATCATATTATTGTGCCCACGAATGTAGCCTGTGCTTGTGAACACATTGCAGTTTATCCATATGTATGCGCTTATTGGCATGCATGGGTGTACCAATGTGTGCAACAGCATTTGGGCTCATTCATCTCAGGCATGCAGTCTAGACTAAGAAAAGACGTGGTGTTTAGAGCCAAGTTATTCAGACTTGCTTAGTCAGGTAGCTGCAACGAAACCCCGTTATTGCAACATGTCCAACGTGCTGTTTCATCTACGTTTAACCCAAAATATATGAAAAATTGTATCTATTGTAAGACCCAATCACCAAAATAGATTAGAACCTAATTACGTATATACCAATACCTAGCCTATGTATTCACAACAGTGTAAAGTTCTAAACACTCTCTAAAGTACCTACGAACACAAAGTATATGTACAAGGTATATTTTAAGTAGTATATAGACAGATATGTTGCCTTGCTACCCGGAATGGAGCCGAAGGACAGTGTGTTTCTCTATCAAAAGCCTTGTCTTGCCGCTATCAAAACTTACTGTGTTGAAATATCGTTTTTCTTTATTCTCACAAATTTAGGTTGCTATTTTTTCTTCAGACTTACTTCTTTTTATGTACCCAACGCCTGAAGCGCACATACGTATTGATTACATTTAAATATGTTTTTAGTAAAAGGAAGGAGATTTGGGAAAAATTTTATTCCCCTATATGGTAAGTGAGTGCCATCCGACTTGTTCAGATACTGAGATAATTTATCTTTGTAAGGCGACTTATAAAGCGTATTTAGTCGATTTAACGAGATAAAAGATGTAGTTAAGTTGACTTCCTAAGTATAATAAGTCGACATCACGAGATATTTTATGACATCAAGGCTGCTTCCAGGGTTCCCTATATCGACTTGGCAAGATAATTTACGTTATTAAGTCGACTTCCTAATTCAAGTAAGTTGACTTGGTGAGATAATTTATGTCATCAAGTCTACTTTCAGAACTCGGTTTGTGGTCTCAGAGAGATGATTTTGTTGTCAAGTCTACTTACGGATTTTGGTTGTGTCAAGTTGGCGAGATAAGTTAAATACTCAAGTCGAATTCCTAATTCTAGTAAGTCGACTTGGCGAGAAAATACGCTGCGGGTCACGTTCACTTGTGAGTAGTCAGTTCATGCCTGCATGTTGTACACTTGATGACATGGATTATCTCGCCAGGTTGACTTACTAGAATTATGAAGTCAACTTGCAACATTATTTATATCGCCAAGTCCTCACAGTGAATTTTAGAAGCAGACTTGATGACATAAATTATCTCGCCAAGTCGACTTATTAGAACTAGGAAGTCGACTCACTGACATAGATTATCTTTTCAAGTCGACCTACCAGAATTAGGAAGTTGGATTGACTATATAAATTTTCTTGCCAAGTCGTCTTCCCACAATTGTAAAGTCTACTTGCCAACATAAATTATCTCGCCGAGTTGACATCGCAAATTCCAAAAGCAGACTTGATGACATAAGTTATCTCGCCAAGTCGTCTCACCAAATAGGGGAGTCAACTTAACTACATAAATTATCTCGCCAAGTCGATATAAGGAACTCTGGAATCAGGCTTGATGCCATGAAATATCTCGCGATGTCGACTTACTATAGTTAGGAAGTCGACTTGACTACATAATTTATCTCGTTAAATCGACTAAATACGCTTGATAAGCCGACTTACTAAGATAAATTATCTCGGTATCTGAACAAGTCGGATGGCACTCACAGAGCGCCGTAGAAAACAGAGACAAACTACAGAAGTTTCCAAAACTATTTATGCTCAATGTGAGCAAACGACGGTTAGATCGCAACTTGGCATTTAAACTTTAGACAAAGCTGAAAAAAGTTTATGAACTTCCCCCGATAGAAAAACACCCGTCTGTCAATAGTTACTGATAGAACAAAGTAAAGAACATCTCTACAAATTATCTTTCTGAATGTACAAGCCAAAAACTTATCAGCACCAGTAGGCCTAGGAGATCCAGTGGTCCCCCCCCCAGCGCGAAAGCTCAAGTCCTTCATATTATTAAGGTGTTTGTTTTTTTACTATGTCCCACTTGTATGATCCGATCTCAAGTCCATCTGCTTCTCTCTCATTTAATCACAAAATTTAAAACAAAAGGTCACTGGAAAAATGACGGCGTATCCAGCGGGGAGGGGAAACTGGGGTACTTTGCCCCCCCCACCACCACCACCCACTACCACCCACGGATTTTTTTAAACAATTTACATCATAAAAAAGAAACACGAAATAAAAGCGAGGATGTTGGGACCACGAGCAAGGCTTTCGATATTTTTTTTTCTCCCAACCATAATGTTGAATGAGCCCAAAGCCACATTTGCCTTTGAATTCCCCCCCCCCCGACGCTTAAAGCTGGATACGCCGCTGAAATATGATAAATGTAATCGGTTACTTGTTTATTGCATTTATGGTAATTTACGGTCAGCACATATATTTTTTGTAATACCTGACATTCGTTGAGATGGGAGGTTTCCCAGTTGTTTACTAATGTTATGATGTAGTAAATAGGATCAAAAATGATACCGTAAACGCCAACATTTCTAATTTCATATATTGACAGATTACACGTACCAGAAAGCATTAAAAATTCAGTTTTCCATTGACCTTTCCCCGGCCTCAAAGCCTCTTTCCCTAAACTTCAGCCCCTACCCTATCGACCTGCTTTTCCCGTTCCCTAACGGCTATGCACCCTTGGAGCCCTAGTAGGCCCGATCCCCACAGAATAATCACCTGTTATAAATTGAAAAGAGTGCCCTCTATTCCGCCTCGTCCAGCAGATACCAAAACGCCAATGCTCTGGTTCAGAAAAAAATTTCCCAAAGATGCCACTGTGCTCGAAAAAAGAGTTTCTACCTAACCTTATGCAAAATTCTTACACAACAGGTAGGCATGGGGTTTTTCGTTTTTGATCTCTTAAATCCCAAATAATCCATAGTGACCAATGTAGATGCAATGCAAATTGATTGAAAATGGTCGCAAAAGACATAAGTAAATCCAGCAGCATTCATAAGGATATTTCAAGGATCAAGTCATTTTTCCTGGACCGATGCTTCCATTCTAGGTAGGCTTAGGCGTGTAATTCATAAAAATCGACTGCGACAGACTTGGCAACATCATCATTGACTCAGACAGGTTGGAATGTTCCACGTTGACAATGTCAATTGATCAGCTGTTCCACGGTTCAGCAATCTTTTCCCCAAATGGCTCCGGAGAGACAATTGATCAATCTATTTATGGAACGGTTTTGTCGAAAAATTGTATCGGGTACCGGAGGCCCAGTTCCATGTTGCTTATGTAAGTGTAAAGTACATGGTCTGTGGTGCATTGTGAAAAACATAAAAATTCCTAACGGTACCTCTTGAGAAAATCTGAACGTTTCTGTGGGAGTGTGTGCTAACAATTTTAGGTAAAGGAGTTTCAAACACTTTTTGAAATGAAAAATGTAAAATTATACTAAAATCGCTGGATTGGAGACTGTCAGGGTTAATGATCTGTTTCTCTCTCTCTCTCTCTCTCTCTCTCTCTCTCTCTCTCTCTCTCTCTCTCTCTCTCATGTCCTCCCCCCTCCCCACTTTTTCACCTGTCTGTATAAAGCAGTTGTCTTATTTTGTCTGCATAATACAGCTTTTGAGTGTAATAATCTTGTTAATTGTCGAATATTGGAATTTTATCAACAAAACACTTGGATTTTTATTACCCAAACTAGATCCTTTAAAAAAAAAGCATTCTGCAAAAGTGAGAGCAATTTTAACATTTGTGCAGGCGTACGTTTTACTCAAGACTTATCAGCCTGATCTTATTCGGCGTCAGTGTTTTGTGACCCTCCTTCCAATTTCTCCTTTTATTTGGCTCGTCTTTCAGCTGTCTTGTTTGTACTCTTTTAGCTTCTGCTAATCCCCTTGATACTTAACGGCTGGTTGACTCCCTTGTTTGCTCCTGGTACTTGGAAGGTTACGTTAGAGGGCCATCGATTCGATCCTGTCAACGAAGCGAAGCGGGCACTTCATACTGTGACAGCAGAGCCCGAAGTTGGTCCCTCAGTCTGTTTTGAAACTGTCTCTTCGTTACCGCGGCAGTGGAGCATTTTTATCTGCTAATACTTTACTTTGCGTACAGGAAAAGTAGGTAAGGGTCGCTTACTTTTGTATGTCTTTCTAAAGCTATAGTAAATATGAACAGATGGCGCAGGGGGCTGATAAAGTTTGGTTCAGTCTCTTCAAGTGATTGAGATTTTCAGTTCTGTCGTTTTGTTGAGCAGGAAACACAGACGGTTATTGTAGAGTGTATTAGTATCAGTAAACACGCTAGAAATAAAGCTAAATAATAGCTGCTGATTTTTCTTTGATTTGGGGGGCAGAAATCAATGCTGTGGCAGAAATTCTAGCAGAATTCCGTGATTTTTTCTTAATATCCAGTGACCATTTTCTGAATCAACAGTACAACACGACATAGTGATTGCCTTTTGAAAATCACTACTCAATATACGAATATTTTGTCTTTCATATATTGAAAGCTGTAGTAGGCAAGTTCTTTGGAATCACCGTCTTTTTCACAGTGAGGCATACACATTAAACACTTCTTCCCCTTGGTGTTAATGTCACTACAATTTTGATTTCTGTTATAGGTTGTACTGGTACAAATTCACTTTGTATATAATGCATGTTAGTGTTGTGTTTTAAAATTAGAACATAAATAAGAGGTCGGTATATTGCAGGATGATTTGTGATTTTGCGGCACAGCAACTTGTCAACTTTTGACCCATAGGATAGACTTTCAGCCCGGGTGGTCGGGGCTTGGCTAGACATGTTCTGGTTGATTTCCCCCAGCCTGTCGGCGTGCAGGGGGAAGACATCTAGGAATCTGGGTCAGAATGTTGATGGAAACTGAATTTTTTCCACAAGGTTCCTTGAGATGCAGCTATACATGTATTTATTTTGAAGGTGATTTGGGGAGTGCAAGACATAAAAAGGAAAATTGTGTTGAGATAAACATTGTGAGGAAGTCAGGGAAAAACAAAAACTTAGTTTTAATGAATTTCTTGAGAGGTTCTCTCAAACGTTGTTGTTCAGTGTTGCTATTTTACTTAGTATTTGTCATGGTTCTTTGAACAAATCGTCGTCCCTTTGATTACTTTTTGGATGTGAAGAAGAGAATGCTTGTTGTGAACAAAGTTAATGTTGTTATAAATCCTGTAGTCTGTTTCATTTTTACCAGGTAGATTAAAAATATCCGGTAATAACCTCAGGCCAATATCACCAGAAATATTTTAGTAGGAAAATTGGGTTCCAGCCCAAATCGTAGGCAATTTATTTGCTTGTGTCTTGCTCTCGCCTCATTTTTGCTGAGAACCAAATCTTTGCTGAACAAGGCCTTCTGCTTACTACTGTATGAGTTCTTTGAGCCATGGTTACCACCAACTTAGCATGCATTGGGCAGGTAGTTAAGATGGCCAATGATTCTAACTCCCAAAAAGTCCATTTAGGGAAAAATGGAATTATTCTAAAGAGTTTGAAAGTGTGACTAAATGATAAGTTAAAGCCATCTTTATTTATGATGCTCACATAAGATAGTTCAATGAGGTTGTACATTGTACGTAACGAGGGATTCACTTAGTGCCTAAGTTTTAGTCCATTTTAAATTTTCTCCATGAATACCTGTGTTAAGATGTGAAATTAATTTCCAGTTTCTTTCATTTCATTAGGTACAGAAATTTCTGTGTTTCTAAATTGATACTGACATTTCCATACTCTTCCCTAAGATGTGAACTAAAAGGATTCACTGTCACTTTTTGGGCATAATTAGGAGTTAGGCATCACTAATCATATATGGCATTTTCCAGCCATTTGCCCTATTCGAAGTAGTCACCAGCACTTAAACAACAAAGTGGGGATTCGTTTTGCATGGTTGCTACGGAATGCCGGAGAAAAATTGAAAAGTATGACTGTCTTGATTTATTATCTGGAATGCGAAAAGGCTGCAGGCTATTTTCCACATCACTGAAGAAGGTCTTTGAAAGAATCTTGCAAGAGGGAATATTGAGCAGGAAAGACAAGTTTGTCCAAAATACTTACTTGTAAATAGAATTTAGAAAATACTGTTTTCAGTCAGTGTGGGATTTGTATTCAAATCAACAAAAGGTAAACAAGAAAATGAGACCAAAAATGAAGGTTGATCAAAAATTGCTGAGACATTTTATGTGTTATTTCAAACGAGGTTGTGGTATTCATGTTCCCCTAGACATGAAGCCCATAGCTGATAACTTTTCACAAAATGAAATGATTAAAAACACACCGATGCAATGATCAGGAGAACCTGTCTCATTTCAAGTTGATTCCCCCATGGTAATTTTTGGAAGCAAGCATTTGAACCCTTCATGTTTTGTAGTATCAAAGATCAGTGAATATAACGGTTGACTGAATGTGGTTAACCATGAGGTATGTGAAAACACAGACAGAATGAAAAAGCTTGCCAAAGCCATTCCAACTACCCAGTTGTTTCATGTGTAAGTTTTGGCAGGGGAACATTGAGTCTGCAGTACCATCTGCTCTTGATGCATCACACAAGTGAAAACTAGTACTGTGGGTCAGATGGCTGTGTGAGAAACATTGTGGTTTTGGATGTTGCAATCAACATGGATCTTAAGAAAGGTAAGGCCTTATGCGCTGATTCACTCTATAGCTGTCTGTAAGTCTGAAAAAAAAGCATGACTCTAGGTCTGTGCCATTACAAAAATGATGTGGGTTGATTAACTTCCGCATCGTGGGTGACATACACATGTACACTTCAGAAAGCATGAGTTTTACTACAGTAATAGCGACAGGTGCATGTATGTATGTGTATTCTCTTAGTAACTGGCAGGGGATTTGTTCGGAGGTAAGTCTTAAATCTGCAAAATTTGGGTTTTTATTTTAATAAAACTCAAACGGGAAACATTCTGTGATATAAAAATAGTGTTTCTCAGCTAAAAAGCACAGTTACTGTGTCCAGACACAGCTAACATACACTTAAACATAATGATTAAAATAATAACAAATTTCTCTTCATAGGATTTTATTTATACCTTTATGGGTCCTTTGACAGTTCTTATATTAACCAAGGTTTTATTTGTTCTATAGGAGCAGAATATAAAGGGGAGTTTGGGGAACAAATGTCTCAGGTAAGTTGAAAACTTAAGCTTGTTTCATGAAACCTATAAGTACTTACAGTTATATTTTAAACAAAATTGTAAAAAATTCTGATAATGGAGGCATTTTTCGATCTTCCCTGACCAAGGGAATATTGCCATTGATTTGTGTTTATGACCTTGTAATTTTGATTTCAGTGACCAATCCTTTTTAAGGCCTGAAATTCTAATATCTTGGTGGAGAGTTGAATCAAAAATACATTCAGACATTTACATGTACCTTGAGATACATGTACTTTTCATTAATTTTAACAGAATAAGGGTTGGGTGTGAAATTTCCTTGCCTTCAATACTTGATCAGTGATGGATAGTGACAGACGAAACCTATAGAATTGCCACCCTCTATATAAGCCACTAGCTCACCACCCTGGGGTGTTAAGTTAGGTCCCACAAGACCCATCAATGACTCTCTCTGCTTAATGACCTGTTATCCCAACAAAGCTCCATTTTGGGGGTTAGGCAAGTCACAGTGGATGGGATAGGAGGATGGCTTGTGTGCCCTTCAAAATGGGGTCTTTGTAAGTCTTCCTAAAGAGTGAGGGCGGTTGGGATTGTTTGCTTCTGGTCTTAAGCCATGTCTATTTGCGCTGTCATTGTCAATTGGATGTGCACATATTCAGTGGATTCAATGAATAACAAGCTTAGCCCCGTTAGCAGAGTTTGCTCCTGGGTCAAGCAGTGAATTTTCTTTTACTCTGAATGTTCTGCATTCCTCATCTTCTTGAGTAACAGGAGTTGAGTTGTTGGCATGTCATGTACATTGTTTGCATTGGGAGTAAAGGCTTGGCAAATAATGGAGGAGAAATTTAAGTGGAAGTGAATTGTAAATTGTCTTCAGATTTTTGTTGTTGAAGTCAGGAGAACTTAATAAACTACAATTTTTATCTTCGAAGTTTCGATTTGTGAAAGACAAAGATATAAATCAAAGACACATTTCAAAGCTCAAGGTTCAGTATAAATTATTTTCCACGAAACAAAATCATCTGAGAGGCTCCCCGAAATCTGAGAAAAGATCAAACAACTCAAGCCCAAATTCGTTAATGTAAACCCTCCTATGTGCCCTTCGAATTCCACCAATACATTTTGTTCGTCTTGTGACATTGTAGTGTCCTGGATAGTTCTCCCTGTCAGGCTGGCGTTCTGTTGAGAAGGTTTCTGTTATCAGAATTGGGACAGAGCCTCCATATTTTTATTTTTAAAATTGGGTTCCTAGTAATAACTGGTGTACAGCATGTGTGAGGTCTCCAACTGCAGAAGGAGCACATAAAAAAGGTGGTATCACCAAGAAATTTCATTCATTCTAGAGCTTTTTTTACGTCTTTATAACAATGTCAGCCCTTTTTATGTGATTACACAGTATTCCTTTTTTTGAGGGGGATACGCGCTATAAAGTGTTGATGCACAGTGCTTTTTTGTGGGGATTTTTGCTTATTAATTGTTTTTCTTGTTATCAAGAGAGACATTTGTTTGTTTTGTACCAGACAAGCCGAGGTTTGTCTTTCTAAACCCACCCCAGATTGAAAGGGGGAGGAGCAATGTTTTTGTAACAAAGTAAATCGAAGAGGTCTGCATTTGAAAGACAAGTAGGAAAAAACTTACAGTGATAGCTATTTAAATGTCAAGCAACTGCAGCTTTGCTCTCTAACCGAGGGCCCAAGGAATGTTGGGATAGCTGAGGAGGCTTTTGATATTTTGAGCATCAAAAGCTAAATACGCCACTCTTCCTAACTTTGTCAAATCATAGCTGTGTAAACATTTGATTTCTGTATGCCTCGCAGTGAATTGTTAAGAATAATGGTGTGGCATATTTACTTCCAGCTCCAGAACTTGGTAGACCAGATGAAGGAAGGTTTCATTCAGGCTATGGAGGAGCTGTCCCGTGTCCAAGATGGTGACCGACTCCTCCAACAGGAAGTGAAAGACCACAAACAGGAGACAGACAAGAAGGTTGAGGAACTCACTACATGTGTGCATCAAATTAGGGTAAAAGGAGATGTTATTGTGGGCAAATATGTCATTAAGATGAACACATGTAGGCCTGTGTAATTACGGAAATTTGATTAAGAGCTAACCCATCATATTGCTTAGGTGCTGCAAATAAATGCAATGATGGAAAGATGGACATATCATGCCCAAACATCATGTATTAGAACCAGTTTTTATTAGCCTTCACAAAAAATCACAAAAATATTACAGTGGAGCAAAGAAATATAGAGAAGTAACATTTCAACTATTCATTTAGGAACTAACAAGCACTCATAGAAACTTAACCAACTTGAAGTAGATCTTGAAACACTGTCACAGGGAAGACAGACCTTCACATGTAGATTATTTTAAAGACACTAAAGAACAAAATCTATATCTTACAATTGAGCGTGTGTTGTTTATTCTGTTGATGTTTTGAGAATTCTGATGTATAAAAAGGCCATTTGCAGAACGATTTTCTTTTTGGGGGAGGGGTCAAATCTATTTTGGGGAGTGTAAAACTTGATGATTTTTCATATGTAACCTTTTATGTCTTTTCTTAGGGGAGAAAGTACAGTTTAGGGCTAATCTTGCTTTCAGAAAGAAGGGAAAATGGTGTTAACCAAACATTGCCTTTATTCCATTTTTGAAAAAAAAGATTCTTACTTTTTTTGGAGGGGTTCGTGGCTTCTGATAGAGTTCAATATTTTGGGTTGCACTGAACATTGTAAGTGGCCTAAAGCAAGGTGTTTCAGTATATGTGAGGAGTAACAAGTTAAAGATTAAATCAAACACACCACTCCTATTTTTTAATCATTGTCTGTTGCAGCAAGTGATTGTATACTGGATAGAGTTATCTCCCTTTGTTTAATCCACTCAATATTTTCCAGGCGGATCTGAGCTCTGTCCTGAAAGAAGTGCAGAAGAGCAACAAAGAGACCGGTCGACTAGCGGAGCAGTTCGAGAGCTTGAGACGGGAGCATGGACGCATGCGACGGAAGCTGAAACAAAATGAACGGAATATAGAAAACCAAAGGTACATCTGTGTTTTATTGTCTCTGTGTCATATTCACATAAAATAAATACTGAGACTGAAAACCTTATGAAAGCTTTTGAAGTGATTGTGTATAATTCCTACTCTAAATTCACTGGCAGGCAAAAAGAACAAAGGCCAAGCATCTCGCAGTCAACCAAGTCGGAGGGAGATGCCAACAAGAGCGACACCAACCATAAGACTGCACCTAATGACAATCTCCTTCGTCGTCGCAAGAGCACACCTGCTGCCTACTCCAACCTGAAAGGTGCACGGGAATGTAGAAGTGTCCTGCCGTTGGAGGCACAGACACCAATGGCTCCTATGATGCAACCCTTCATTGATTCTCTGCCAGACCCTGGTGACTTGAACAACAACGGTGAGCAAAGAAGCAAAATGAATCTGTCTTGTGGATTGAGGACAGTATGTTTGTATGGAATTCACGGCCTCGATGCTTTGCTCAATGTGTCATTTTTTGTTGGCAACAACTTTTTATCCCTTATGCTTGGCCAGCAAGGGGTATGATTGGTAACTTCACAGCTGTTGAAGTAAAGGCAGAAGGTCTGCTTTCTTTGAGTTCAAGTTTATCTGAAAATTAGCTGTAGAACTGTAACATTGGAACACATTAAAATGATTTCTTAAATCTGTAAGCATAACCATCTCGTCACATTTCATGGGAATTTCCTAAATCGAATACAATCCGAAAAATAGATATTTTTCTGCTCAAAATCAATGCAGTCTAGTAGACATTCCCAACTTGGATATTGTAGGATGTGGTTACATTAGATTTTTGAGAATAAGCTCACTTGAATCACGCGAGAACTGGTGAGGTCGATTCACCTAGCATAATTGACCACACTTTTTGCTTTTTGTTCAGATGGGAATACTTCGTTTGACTTACTGGAGGGAGATGACAGTAGGCAGTACACAACGCAGCGTAGTGGAGGTTCATCAAACTCCAGTGGAAATGACACAAAGGAAAGGGAACAGACGAGCAAGGTGCAGTGGATTGAATGGAATCACATTTAATTGGGACTTGATTCCATCCATTTTCATACTGTTGCAATTTACATGCACCATGGTATCTAAGAATGTGATTTCAGGCCATTGAGAGCTTGTAAAACATGACAGAATGTACAACGGAAAACAAAGACACAAAGTATGAAATGTAACTGGGAAATGTTCAAAGCGCATTTCATTTTAAATAGTAACAAAAATTAGTTGATGAAAATGATATCTTGTAATTTATGCGCTCCTTTGAATGGTATGTTGACTTCCAGTTAGTCATGTTGTTTGGTTTACTTTGACATCTGTTTACAGTTAGGCCTGCAAAATTTGGACGAATTCTGGTGAGAGATATTGAATTCAAATTTCCTATTTTTGACTTAGGCATTCAGCCCGGGCAGGAGAGTTTCATTCAGCACTGTAGATCAGACACACAGCTCCAGTGACGATCCTGAAGGTGAGAACTTCATACTTTGTTGAATTTGACAAAAATTTTTTTATCTAAATTTATGTGTCTTATTTTTTTCCAAGAGGTCTTAACATGGGGACATGACATCATCACCAATATGGATGCATGTTTACAATTGATGTACAGGAGACAGATATTCAGACAGGTTTCTCTCCACATGCCCATAATGTAAATTTTTCACATTCGTGTAGATTTTACTTCCAAAATCAGGAGTGTACATTTTTGAGAAATACATCTTTGCAATGAAATAAGCTTTGAAAATGCTAACTCGTCAAACTCAGACTCTCGAACGGCAAGTATCCTTTAAACATCCTCAAAACACTGAATACGTCGTTTCACAATAGTGCGCCACCAAGAGTTTACAACGCGTTGGCCAATCACGATGCGCAAAATTTGTCGAACCAGTGCGCGTTTGGAAAGGGTTGACAAAATTTCGCGCATTATGATTGGCCAACGCATTGCAAACTCTTGGTGGCGCACTATTGTGAATCGCCCGTATTCCCCTCAGTGAGCAAGAAGACTTGATAATAATAATGAATTTTTGACGTGCCAGCTTCAGCAACATGCTGTTCGAAGGCGCAGTTTAATTGTAACATTCTGACTAAAACATGTGTACATAAATACATATAAAATCACTGAAAACAGTACATCAAAACAAGTAAAATTACTAGATTTGCAAAGTCATAAAAACACACGTTAAGACAAAGGAAAATTCAAATTAAGAAAAAAAAATTACAAACAAAACAAAACAAAACCACCAGCCGTCCATGTTTTTGTCTGCTGCATGATACAGAGCAGACTTATGTCTATAGACATACAAGTACCTAACAGTGCCAGCAAGTATTGATTTGGGGGGTACATGTCACTGTTTGATTGTTCATTTCCTGGGAAGCAGGAGCTGTTTCAGATCTTTCAACCTTTCCTTTTGTTCCCAGGATACAAATCTTGTCTACTTGAGCCTAATGAGGCCCATCGATCGCTGTGCGCCCACCATGTCTAATACTTTAATCCAAGGACATTCCAATTGTCAGTGCTTGGGGGGGGGCACCACTATAACAATACGGGTGTTTCACAATAGCGCGTGCGCCTCCAAGAGTTTGCAACACATTGGCCGATCACAGTGCACGAAATCTGTCAACCCACTGCACATTTGGAAAGGGTCACAGATTTCGCGCATTGTGATTGGTCACAATCTTGGAGGCACAATGTTGTGAATTGCCCATATTTGAAATGACACTTGCCAATTTGTTTTTGAAGATTCTTTAGGGTAAAACCCTGTCAGTTGCATGCTTTTTCGTTGTGGAAAAATCCATCACTGAAATGAAAGTGTGCCATGGATAGCTTCTCTCACCTTACTAGATGTTTTCTTTTCCGGGGAGAGAAAATAAAATTTGATGTTTTGTTTTAGAGAGGACCAATAAACTTCAGAAATGAAAACTTTTTATTTGGATCGGCAGGGTTGGTTAAATTTACTATCTGTCAAATTCAAATCCTTTTTCATTTAGATTCGAATTCTAATTTTTAGCCGGGTCGAATTCTTCGGGAATAATCAACTTTCAAATTACAAGTAAATATAAAGGAAGCACTTCCTTTTTTTCATGAATATCTTTTTATCATTTGCACTATTTTTTCCCAAGTAAAATATGTCATTAATGCATAATTATCAGCCATGTTTGTGCCTACAGAATCTGGTCAGCTGTCTCAATCCTCCTTCATGGTTAGACTGTTAATGAGCCAGTGACATGCATAGTCACCCATGATTTTTTTCGACATCACTAGTGTTTTACCTACAGATTTTCACTCTTCAAGCAAAACATATTTACGATGAGACCAAAATATTTAGTGGGACTCTCTAGGCTGCGACTTTTGTAATCCAAATTGTTAAACCAATTAATTTAGATGGTAAATAAATACAAATCTTGCCCTTGTTTTTACTTTGTTTTACAACAACATGAAACAGGTGGTTCTAAGACCTTTGACACAAGGCCTGTTTTTGCAAATTTATTTCTTGCAGGTCAGAGGATACAGGTAGCTGAAGAATTTCTCTCATCAGAGCGGAAGTATGTCGGTCAGCTCAATGCTCTCCTCGACAACATCATGTTACCCTTAGTCACCGAGTCACTAATCCACCCTTCTGATATCAAGTAAGAACTCCTGTTATTAGCAGCTTGTGAATTAAGTGGACTTATACACGTATTTCTGCTGGTTAATTAAGTCTTTGGAATTGACTATCTCTTTCAATATTTGTGTTGTCGATCGATGTAACTGCTTGCTGGTGCCATTTTGTGTGTGAGAACAGTTAACGTTTTCAGTTCAATCTTTAAAATGCACCAGTTAAAACAATATTCTATCAACAAAAACCTTCAGTTTTCATTACAATTTTCATTTTGTACAGTATTTGAAAAGCATATAAAGGTAGTACCAGACTCACAGAATGTAAACCCTATTTAATATTTTTGCCCCATTGAGTAATAATCTTTGAAAAGCCATTTTGAAAAGTTTGTAAAAAGGCAGATCACGTTTTTTGGCTATCAACAGTAAGTACAGCTGATAATGCAGAAAGAATGCCAGTCTTATTCTAATTTGGAGCTCCTTTTTGCATCTCCTGTCTAGCGTCATATTCCCTCCATCCCTTGCTAAGATGTTTGACCGACATTGCTGTCTGCTGTGTGCCCTGGAGACAAGGCTCAGTGATGCATTGTGGCAAGGAATGCACGGGGATATCTTTGCCAAATTTGCTGGTCCTGAAAGTGTAAGTGTAATGCAAAGGCAATTTTTTTTTCAAAATCATTTCCCATTCTGATGCCTTTTATTTCTTTGAGTTTGTTCTGTATGAATATTCATTTTAGGGTCTTTTCTAGCTAGTGTTCAGTCATGGGAGATATATGTAGTCCCCTCCCTGCCACAAAATTACTGATATTTTGAAAATCAGTCCTCAAAACATTTGTGGATGGTATTGTTTTTGGCCAAAATGTTTGACTTTTGAAAAAGCAAGGTACAGTGGATAACTTTTGGTATTCAGCCAAATGCCACAAATGCTGATATTTGCTTCCAAAATAGGTCCGACTTACTCAGTGACCAATTTCAACCTAGTTTTCCTTCAAAGACTTTTCAGACTTCGAACCATATGTACAGAACAAATGGGAGATCAGCATGTTCAAACATCAGACATTGAAGAGTCAAGGCATTCTTGGTGTTTTAACCTGTCAGTCCTGCCTGCTTTTTTTGACTGCCAGATGTTGACATATCCTTCATTAGGAAGTGGTTAAAATGCGTTTCTAAAAAATGTAACTTTAGTTTCCCAGAACTTGTGATTTAAAATTGGATCCATCCTTTGCCAAAAAGTGGTAATATGTTCCTCAGAAAAAGTGTTCCTCGCCATATGCTAAAATCTTCTTTTTGGTAACATGAATAGGTGTGGGAAATCTTGCAACTGCTGTTTTTATCTTGCTTTGAATACAGTCTAGTTTCCTGTCCCAGTATGGGTCCTACATCAGTTCCTTTCCAGAAAGTTTGTCTTTGCTGTCACACCATACAAGAAAATCGGCCAAACTGACCAACTTTCTGAAGGTAAAATGTGCAGAACAGTAAAACAGTTTCCTCCAATTCATTGGAATGTCGTGGGTTGAATATTTGAAAAAGGAATATTGTTTTAAACTATCGGGTTAGCCATTTTGAAGTGTTATCACAAGCTCCCTAGGTGATGCACCAACGAACACATCACTGAGAGTAGTCTGAAACAGTTTTTCAACCATTGTAAATTAGTGTTTACTGACTACTTTAGACATTGGTTTGCTAAACTATTTTTGAACCTTGGCTGTAAATGAGAAACATTTTCCATTTTTAGAGCACTTTTAGACTGTTTGGATAAGTTAAGATGTTTAACAAAATCTATGATAAATTTCATCTGCAGAAGCAGCTAGCCGACATCGAAGATGAACAAGCAGATCTCTTGGGCTACCTCCTGGCTCCAATTCAGAGAATACCAGCCTATGTTCTTCACCTTAAGGTAAGAGATTTTTCCTGGTGTTTAGAGTCTGACATTTCCCTGAGATTGGCCAGCATTGGCCAGATCTGGTTTTTATCCAAAAGCAGATTTGTCAATTTTTTTCTAAGTTTCACATAACCTCCCACTCTTGATGGGAATATTGGGGGGGGGAGGAACTTCTCTGAGAGGGGATGTGAGGTGTGTGACAAACCAGACACATGCTATTGCCCCCTGTCATCCAAACTTCATGGGAAAAAGGTCAAAGTTGAATACCCCTCAAAGAATCCACAGTACAAATACGGAATCATTGCAAGGTCTACTTAATGGATGACAGGTTTTCCAAGGTGGCAAACAATCAATATTGGCTATACTGTGTAATGTATAAAGGACAAATAACACTGGATTACAAAATGGCCAGAAGTCACAAATTGATGAGCCAGGTCCCGATACAAAGGCCTAATCTTCTGCTTGGTAGAATATTGCAGCTGATTGAGCTTGAAACATTTTCCCTCACAAATTCTCAGAAAAAGCATCGAGTGCTTTTTATGTCAACACTCAAATTTAGCAAGATTGCCCACTTTCTAGACATGAGTTTCATTTCCACCCTAATTCTGAAATCTAAGATATGCTGAAAATCCAGCCTTTATAAATTCAAGTTGGTGACCTCTTAAAAGAATAGATATTTGAAAATTGTCAAGGACCTTGAATTGGTCTCGTATACTGAACAATGTTAAGCTTCCAAACTTCTTTGGTTTGTTTCTTGCAGACTGTCCTGGAGGTTACAGACTCGGACCACCCTGATCACTTCCATATGGAGTCTTGCCTGACACACCTAGGCAGCTTCTTAGCAACGATGAACCCAGCCATTGAGCAAGCCGTGGAGGCTGCACGGACCCACATACTCTTCCTCTCAGAAACGTACGATTTTAAAAGTCACTTACTCAGTAATGATATTGAAAAGCAAAATTTGGAACCTTTTTTTAGGACACTTGTAGGAGACTTTTATGAAGTAAGACTGAGAGGATTCTGTTTATTTAAATTTAAAACAAAAGAAGAAGAAAAATGCACTTATCTAAGCATGCACAGTCCACTGGCATATTTATTGAATGGACCTCATCAGTGATATCCTCTTGAGCACATTTTCCTAAAGCATGTCTCACATTAGTGAATAGGCTGATCAGTGTAACTCAAGATTTTGGGGGCCAGTTGAATGACCGTTGGCTACTTACACTTCAGACTAACTCTGAATTTCTATCAATAGTAGTGCCCTTTAGGGTAAGTTCAAGCAGCAACTATAGTTGACTATAGACCAACTGATGACAGCGCTCCAACGGTGCATGGTAGGACATGTCTAGTCGACCATTTGGGACCAGGCTAAGGGGCATGGTTGCACCGCTGGTTACCAGTAACATATTTCATTTATCATTACAGAGGGAACCATTCAAATGAAAATAATTGTACGAGATTTCAGTGACCTTGTACGCTACGAGAATCACAGCCTGTGCTGAAATTTGAGTAACAGTGAGATTTTTTTAAAAATAGGCAGATTGGGGTCGTTCAAGTGTAACTTAATAGCACAAACGCATTTTTACAAAGCAACTGACTACTGGTCAAACTATAGTTTGACTTGCCCTTGTGCATTTTGGCTCTTTTTGGCTGTGTGGGTTTGAACCCCACAGACAGATATCAGAGGAATTGTGTCCCTGAGCAAGCTACTTTGAATTCATCACAATAAAGCTGCCCGCCCAGAGGTAAAATGTGCACATTTAAAGGAAAAGATGCTAATGGTTAAGTTGATATAAAACTGACCTATTAACATGTTACAAATTTTATACTATGAACTGATGATTACGTTGTGAAGTAGGCCCCCCCCCACTGTGACACAGTGGTAGACACTGTATTAAATTCACGTATCACATCATCTTTGTTAATATTCAAGAGTTTCTTGTCTGACAGAAAAGGAAGTCTGGCATTCTCCCCTCATGTGTCAATGAGTAGTCAGTCCTCGTCACTCACCAAGGATAGTGGGGTGCAGTCTATGGAGAATGTCTCACCTTATAACAGATTAACTCATCATGGGTAAGCCACACAAAGACATTTTGTTCAAACTTACGATTTTAAAAATGCCACAAAACTGAAAGAACTTCCTGTAATCAGTATCAGGAGTTTTGCAAATACATGTACTGGGTTCAACTCCCTCATTGGGCTTCACTTTGGTTTTATGAGTTTAAATTTCTGGATTGATCACCGCAGCTTCATTTTATGTTGCAGAAAAATTCATTTGTCTCATGTTAGGCCCAATTTGAGACTGTACATGACTTTTAATTGGATCAACCAGTTAATGCTTGGTGAATTCAAAATTGGGGACAGAGCCAACATTTTGCAAAAGGCCATTGTTGAACGGGTGAGGATGGTTGGCCAACTGCATTATCCAGCATCATGTTGATCTGCTCCAAATTTGTTAATGTCTTGGTTCAAAGGGCTGTAGTCGGTCTTGTGGTCAGGCATCACACTTACAGTGATGATACTAGAGAAATTAGTAATGCTGCAAAACCAGAGAAGTAGCGGTTTGGATTGTTCAAAGAGAAACAAAAATATTTAGTAAAACATAAGGGAATCAGACAAGGTTTGTTTGTCTGGTTCATTCCTCTATCAAGGAATTTTTTTCAGAAAATAAAGTTGGATTTTACTTGTTGGTACAGATCTAGTGAGAAAGATGTGCCGAGAGCAGTGCATGACAGTGTGACTGGTGGTCAGTGGCACAGTAGCCCAATACGTCAACAGAAAGCTCCAAGTCACAGTTACACACTCCCTAATGGTTACCGTAGAGATCGACGGGCATCCTTCCCCGGATTCAGCCTTATCGAAAATCAGAGGGCTGGGGCTAGGGAGGCCATGGCCCAGTCTAGTCCGAGGATGCCCCAAAAGCACCGAGCGCATATGGCAAGGCGCGGAAGCTATGATCAGAGGATGCTGACTGAGACTAACCAGGGAATATCGAGGGACATCCCAGGCATGATGTACATCCCGGAGCAAGCCAGCGACGAGGCAGAATCCCTGTACAGGACCCGCGATCTCAACAAGCATAGGAGGAATTCCAGATTGCAGAATGACCTTCCAGAACTGCCAAGGTATGGAATTTATGGTGAAGATGACGACAGCGAAGAGATCGGATATGAACCATCCTCCCCTTCCAGTGCACTGCCTAGAGCTACACAAACAGGGGTAATCCAACACCAGCAGAGTCCTAGACACAGGAGACAGTTTGATACACCTCTATCCAGCTCCACATCTTCTAGGACCTCAACACCAAGAGATTATGTCTATCACACCGAGGCTGCAGGATCTAACATCATGTTTGAAGAAACTGACATTCATCAGTATCAACAACTGAGGAATCGACAGCGAAGTGCGTCCGGCTCAAACAAGGTTCTCCGTGTCAGGGATTTGAGCTCAGAACCGAGGGGAGGGAGTACGCTGCAACTTCAGCACAGCAGCAGCAGTTCCGAACATCGAAAACGCTCCCACTCTATCCCTCACCTGAGCCGGGTCAGGATGCCCGAGTCGGCAAAACCTGGAATCCTGAAAGATGTGTGGAACGAAAGAAAACAAGTAAACGGGTCGGCGGAAAAGATATCAACGCCGAGAACAACTAAGAAAAATAATCTGAACAAAAGTCCAGGGGCCGGGGCTACTCCAGTCAGCAAGTCTGCCAAGAAGTCCAATTTCTTAACAGGGTCCCTGAGAAATATTTTCTTTGGAAAGAGGTAATTTTCAACTTTTGCGTACAATGGCTTTAAAGTTGCATTTACAGATAACTTGAGTTATACCCTTACATGTATTCACGCTGCTTATTTGTTGGGTTTGGTGTGATATTCACTTCCATTGTTTATTAACCGTATACTTTGGTACTTCTACTGTTCATTTGTTTCAGTCGGATGCATCTCTTGACATTCACAGCCAATTATTTTGCAGTTGACTGTACTACTTTAGTTTGCCAGTGTAGAGCACATAACAGCTCTCTGAACTGCTTGTGTAAAATTGAATTTCATTTTCCCTTCTTGTTTGCACCCTGGGCTTTGCACCCTGGACTTTGCACCCTGCATCTTGGTACCCTGGGCTCTGTCAAACTGCACGTCCTCTGTTAATAGCTCTGGCCGTAGGTGAGTTTATGAAAACTTACATTTTCTCCTTTGCTGTCATGATTCTTACAATTGGAAACTTTTTAAGTTTGCTCAAATTCAACTCAGTATGTTCTCCAGAGAAACCTTTCATGTCAGATGTTGGAATTAAATTTTGTCAAAGAAATGAACTTTCTGCAAGGACTAGATTATGTTTGGCTTCTTGTATGGGGGTGTGTGTGTGTAGGGTATGGACTGCATCTAACAAATTTCAACAGAATGTACACAATTCTGGTGCTTGAGCATATTCACAGAATTGGTGCTTGGTTGTCCTTTAATAAAATCATTGGTGTGCTCCTGTTCAGTAGTTTTGCAGACAGGTATACTTCTGTGCACACATGCAGAGTTTTGAAGCCTCTAGATAAAACTTCCATTCACAAACTTATGGGTTGCAAGTACAAATTGTGCCCGATAGATGTGAAATAATATGAGTGTTCTGAATGCTAATTTTTTTTTTCTGGATTCAGTCGGAAGCGAGGCAGTCAAGTGGTTGAACTTGATGGAGCCCCAAGCCAATCGGCTGTGAACAGCAGCACAGATGAATTGGCAGCATCATCACGGCTGAAGGCAGACACATACCACGATGAGGACGGGCAACCTTGCAGTGATGTCTAGACTAAAGCTCACAAGAGTCAGAAATGCTTTTGAAGACCATGTATAGTGGAAAGTACAAATCCAAGTGGTTTGTGGATATAACTTCTGAAGTGAATAACGTTTAAACAGGCGCTCAGTTGTGAGAAGAGGTGTTAACTTTTGGATCACTATCTATGCCTTGTCATCAATTCACCCCAGTCAAGTTCAGCCAAATTAGTGGGTGTCTGAACACATGGAGAGCATACTAAATCCTTTTAGCATTCAGCACATTTTGGCACAAGTTTGTGGCTTGAATAGACTGTTACCAACTGACATGTAGTTCCAATTCATTAGCAAGCTTTCCTACAATTGAGTCAAGAAGTGCAGTTTCTAGCTAAATCTAAATCGTGTCTCTTGTGGTATGGTCATTGTATGCAAAAGAAAAGTGGATTTTTGCAAGCTGAACACTAAATTATTTGGTTTTGATCAGACTAAGCACATTTGAAATGCATTATATTTAATAATGAATGCTACAGTATTTATTGAAAGGGTATTTTGATGATGCAAGTTGGTCACACTTTTTAGAGAGAATTTAAAATTCAGGTCCCCTTTATCGGTCCATGGAAACAGCCATGAGTTATAAACACTGATTTTGTTTACAAGAAATATTGTCCCAAATAAGTGTTCCAATTGTTGCTATGACGCCTGTTAAAAAGAAGTTGTTGTCCACAGTGGAGAAGAGTTTGGAGAGGCATAAAAATGGACATGTGCAATAAAGTCAAGATCGTTATGACGATGGGCAAGTGGAAATTGCTTTGAAGGTTATCAACTTTCTCATTTACAGATTTTGATTTTGCTTCTTTGTAGTATCAAAACTTATGTCAACTGCATTTTGTTGGCGCAGTCAGTCTTGAGCTGGACACAGAGAGGGCGCAATGTTCCTAGCAACACAGGCTCCTTCGGTCACTGGTTCACAAACCACTATGAAATGTGCATGTTGTGCCAGCAAAATGAACACTCCCAACCAACATGGCTCTTTTCAACTGCGCGATGAGGGGATGCCTCTGCTTAAGGAAGATTACAATTGCTGGTTTAAAAGTTGCATTTTGAAATAGGCACGCTTGGAAGAGAAGAAATGTCTCTACATTCACGATGAGTAAACAGCAATTTATTGCAAAAACCTGCTCAAGAAAAATTGAGTTTCCAAATATACAATAAATAATTGATAAAAATTTGGTAAAAAACCACCTGTCTGGTCTCTTCATTAAGAAAAGAATTTGTTGCTTAGTAGTAAATTTTGCAACATTCCAAGTGAAATTGTTCTATTTTTTACATGGTTAAAAATACTCCCAGTAGTTTTGAAGTTGAAAAACCCAAAATTATCTTGCATAAGACTAGAAGCAATAGGATTCTATGGTGAAATCTCTGTTAATATAGACTCAGCCATTAACCTATAATAAACCCATTTCAATTACCTGCTCTTTCAAGTAAACCTTGAGAAAAAAACTGAATGATTTCAGCAAACAATTGTTGTTTTAGGTGAAATATAGAAAACAACTAATCCCTGCTGTGCTAAATGCTACTGATGTGATGTGATAAGTATGGGAACCCGTTAAGTTAGAGACCGTAAGGCATTTTTAGAAGCCGGTTTGACGGGTAAGTAAACGAACGAACAAGGATTAATGAAGTTAGTATAAATCTTGCCACTTCTATTTTAATTTTTGTGTGTAGCTTTTTTAAAGAATCATTTTTAAGACAATTATTTAACTTTAAAACTACCACGAGTATTTTTAACAACCTGCATTTGGCACGATGTAAATTTCAGATAACTGAAATCTTTCCCTGTTCAAATTTCAAAAAAAAATCTGGGGAATATGCAGTACAAAGACAACAGTGAAGAGGAGCTTTGTGAAAGTCAACAGGTTCAAGCAAGAATCATGGGTTAACAGGTGGCTGATTGGTGGTAACGTGCGCTTCAGCTGTGAATTCACATTCAACAAGATGCTTGTCTGAATGGGGTCAAATGTCGTCACAGATCTCGTAGGTCTTGCTCTCTCCTGTGGCCTGCTACATATGCATGGCCATCATTACTAATGATGAACGAGACCCACTGTTGGTAGGTTAGTTCCAAAGTTCAATGTTCGACTGTTCTTGACTATCACAGAGCCGATCCAAGCTGGTTGAAATGTGGATGGTCTCTGCACTGATTCCTTGGAATGTAAATGCTGATTGATGTAAAAATAAAACTATTTGGAGAGCACGCCGTGCACCTTCTACTATGGTCATCCGTTCCCTCCTCTGCCAGGGAGGTTCACATCGAGCTCCGGCGTCAAGTCCAGATCAGACGGTGCGTGCCGAGAGCTCAACAGTGAGGAGCTCTTCTGCTGAGATCGTAGGAAATCGACCTCTTGGCTCAACATCTGTCTCTCTTGCATCAGGTTGGTCTGCTTTTCCAGAAGCTCATAAATCTGAAAGACAAATCTCGTGAATGTTCACACGTTATTTCCAAGATTCTTTATAATGAGGCACCTTATGGTGAATCCTTGCCTTTTAAAACCAGTCACCAGTTACCATGGTTACATGTAAATTCCCTTGAGATATAAAGCACACAGATTTGTCCTCCATAGACCTGAACAAGTGTCCTACGTAATCTGCAGACAGACATGTACACAAGCAAGCTCACGGAGAGAGCATCATACCAAGGGAGATCATTGCTTGGGAAAAAAAAGCTTTTCCAACTCGGGGATGAGACACGTCCTTAGGCAAGTTCAAGCAATGACAATAAAGTTAACCAGAGTTTGACCAATGTCACACCAACAATGGATGGCTGTACTATCTAGCATGTGGAGCCAGGCCCTCAAACATGCTTGCACCACTTGTCATTAACAGCTAATTTCATTCATCAATACAGAGGGAAACCAATCACATGAAAATAACTGTAAGAAACGTCATTGACCAAAAATGCCAGGAGAGTTACAACCAACGGGACACTGTCGTAACAATGACAAAGGTCATTTGAGTGTGACTGTATGGCACATACCCCATGTTCAAGAGCACTTGACCCGCGGTCAAACTGTTGACCCTACCTGCTGTGCACTTCTCTGAGCGTGATCCTCCATCTGCTGTAGTTTATTGGTCATCTTCTTGTGCATCCTGCCGTGATCGACGCACTGGGTTTCCATCTCGGCATGCTGATTAGTCAGTCTCTCCAGCCTGGCAGACATCTCGGCGTTAGTCTGCTTCAACCTTCGGATTTCAGTCCTGTCAGGAAGTGATGATAACAGAGTTCATAATATGCACTTTGGGGAGAAATGTCTGAAAAGAAAAAGCTCTCTCTCTCTATGGGAAGAAGTCTGCTTTATGAAGGTTATCAGTGCAAAGACTGTGACACATTCTATGTCATTTACTGATAAATGGGGTTCCAGACCCGGTAACAGCCTGAAATTTAGCAAATTACACGGCGACATCTTATTCTGGCCTTGAGAATACAAACAGAAATGATCTATTTGGCAAAAAAGACCGAGAAAATACCTGAAGTGTTCTATGTAAAAATGTTCTTTGAGGCAAAATGTGACAGATCTACTTGCTTATTTCTGGAAACAGGCCAAAGACCCTTGATGGAAACATTTTCCTGTATACTTGGTTATTGGACATGGATTCAAGACTCAATCTGGGTGGCAGAAGTTAATCTTGGATTCAAGACTCAATCTGGGTGGCAGACGTTAATCTTGGATTCAAACTCAACCTACTAACTCAACAACTCTGGTCCATATTTACACTCTTTAATTAAATTCTGTGTCCCCCTGTCTTGTGAAATGTATCCTGAAAGTCAAACTTGCAAATTGTTTCTCGTCGCTCACCTGTACTTGTTGCTGAGTTGGTCCAACTGTTCAGTGAGTGTCCTGCCCTCATCTCTGAGTTTACTGATAAGAGTGCTCTGGCTGGCTATCATGTCCTCCAATTCTGCCACTGTTAAAGCTGTTTAAATAACAAAATAACTTCAAGAAGTGCCGAGTAAGACAGGTTTTTTGGGGGGCGGGGAAGAATAAATCCAACACACACCACTCAGGGAAATGTTTTGGTTGTACCGTTATAAAAAGGAACATCTGGATTACATCTGGATTAGAAGAAACAAATTGGATTCTAAGAATGACTCATTTCAAATTCTTAACCAGAAAATTGGTGATTTTCCTATTTGTTTACTTGAAGAAAGCCTTCCAAGATGACAAACTCACTGTGTTTAGATTCTAACTCATGTATAATCTGCTGCAGGTCCATCTCTCGTTGCTGCGCTCTGCGTGTCACTGTCTTCACTTCGTCTTGGCGAGTCTTCTCCAGGTTTCCTCTTGCCATCTTGGCTTGGCTCACCTTAGACAGATCAGACAGGCAAATAGACAGATCACATTACGGGGGACCAACATCTGATGTTATCTTGATAGGAATGGGTTCTCTCTGTAACAAGGGCAGGTTACCAAGGAACAATGCCCCTTGGGCTGATACATCAGCTGAATAAGCATTTAGTTTGTTCATTTATTGGCAAGTTTGAGCGACGACTAAAGTTAACCGTAATTTGACCGACATCACCTGAACGATGGATGGTTTGGACCATCTAGTCAACTGTAGGGAACCAGGCACTAGGGCACTGTCTCCACCACTGGTTATCAACAGCCACTTTTATTTATATGTAAAGAGGGAATCTGTGACAACAATGGCCCAAGGTGTCACTGACCATTAATGCGGTGAGTGTACAGTAGACTCTCGTTATTACGAAATCGGCCATAATGAAATTCCGCTTATAACAAACACAAGTCTGTGGTCCCTGCGAAAACGTGCACATTTCTATGGGGAAAAAATCGGTTACAGCGAAATCGCATTGTAAAAAATTCCTGTTACAACAAATAGTTTCCGTGACTCCATTGCCTGAAAAACCATCGTTGACGACTCATTTATAACGAGCATTTGCAAATCGCAGTGGTGAAAACATGTGCACAGTGCCTCACAAGTAGTCATCACATGTAGTTATGACAAGTATATGACAAGTATACAGCATGATTCAAGAATCAATTATTTTTTACATTGATTACACAAACGTCAAACCAAAAATTCAATTCCCAATTGTGATAAAAATATGCTCAAATAAGTTCACTTGACTACTCTCACATCTCAAGAGCCCAACTAATCGCCCAACACGTTACTGCAAAAAGATCTAGCGTACCCGCCAATAAGACTGTGCGTTTTTCATGACGTACATTTGGCAAGACACAGCTATCCAATCGCAATATTCCTTCATGACATCCTGCTTCTTTAGTGACCATCTCGTGCGCAGGCGGCTGCGCAGCAGTGGGCGAGTAAACTCGGACTATCGATCAATCGTGTCACGCAGCTAGTGTTGAAAATTATAAGACAGACGGAAAATTAAATAAAAATGTCTCTCCATGACACAATTTGTGTTGGAAAGACTACTTCCATGGATGGGGGCTTTAGTTGATGAGCCTTCACATTCTTGCAGGTACATCCAGGCCTACATGTGCATGCAGGTTAGTTACTGTTGGCTTCGTCGTCAACCATGGCGATTGAAAGCCTTTTAAAAATCAGTGGATCAATGCTTTCAAATGTATTTGCTTTTTTTAATCTCACATGCACATTTAATAAACCTGTTGTCATGTGACAATGAAGTTTATTATTCTAAACACATCACAATATATATGTATTTGATTAATTATAACCAAAAGATCTTTTTAATATAACATCAACCACACGTTCACGTGTATGCACATACATGCATACACGTGCATATGCATGTACAGTGTACATGAACACGGCATTGAACAACAATGCACCAAAGCCATTGCACTGCGTTCTGCCTACAATGATTTTTGGATACAACAAACATTTCTACATGTTCCCGCGGATTTCCTAATAACGAGAGTTGACTGTATTGGGCATCAGGCTATCTGTCTTTGCCATCAGTCAGGGAAAACTTGACAGGGCTAGGGACCTGGACTGGGGGTCATCGTTTGGGGTACAAACATGGCAGGCAGAGTTTGATTTCATGACTCTGCTAAGCACAGATTTCCGCACTATGTGATGTGTTGACTCTGTGTTAATGACACCAGCAAAACAATTCCGAGCTAACCAAGTAAGCAGAGAATCTTGTTACTGGATTTATGCAAGTGCATAACCACAGTTTCCCCGCTGTAAAAACTGTGAAATATGCTATTGTTTTACCAACAATTTGTATAAATATTACTAAAGCCATAAAATTGGACTCAGGACAGGAATCAGGGACACCAATTTCAAATCCTTTTCAGGAATCACTTTATTGGCTCTGTTGGTCCCTGTTTTCTTTCATCAATGGTACCTTCGTGTTGCTACTGACCTCTCTCTCAGCTGAGTTGAGGCTCTCGGTCAGTTTGATACACTCCTCCCGGCTGACAGTTGCTTCTTTCTCAGCCGTTTCTAACCGTCTTCTCGTTTCCATTAATACATTGTTCAAACGAACATTTTCCTGTGTGAAAAGGGAGTCAGCCCCAGCAATACAATTAAACATATTGAAACTGTCTTGGAAATTATAGTGAAAATATTGTGTGAATCTTCTGGATTTCTTCAAATGCACAATATCCATGTGTAGGCCCAAGTTTAACGTCGTACCTCTCTTGAAGTCCAGTTGTAAGATCATGTGGTATAGAAGAACAGTTGGAATACCAATATTGTGTTAGTGATGAGTCAATTATTCTCTAGCCTCAGAAGGCAACGGGGTCAGCATTTGTCATGCGCAGTGAATGCAATGACGTAATCCTGTACACAACTCTTTCCAGAAAATAATTTGTCATGAGTGGAAGACAGGGCTGTGGAGGCATTGTTAAATCACTTCCTCGTGGTACATGTATGTGGTGCTGCAATACTAAAAGAAAAGGCTGTCTATGCGAGGAGGGGAGTGTGGCGGTTGAGTGGATCACAAGTTAATTCCCAAGTCTTGTCACCAATCACAGGGGATGAACAATTACAGAGGAATACGGACGCCACACTGATAGACATGTGAAGATTTGCCAGGGACTCAACCTAAAACACTAGAGGATTCCAAATTCTCCAAATTCCCCTGCTCCAGCAATTGTGGTTGCATATCATTAAAGTCAATGTATATGTATTCTTTATGAGACTATGTTCCCAATAAATCCTAGTTCCATATCAGAGTTGGAATAAGTACATGTGTAGCAAGGTTTGCTCCAAAAAGCATCCTACATGCTCCTTATCCCTGAGTTCGTGCTCGGTAGAGTGCCTTAGCCTCTCCAGCTGTCTTAACGCTTCGTCTCTCTGCACCTTAGCAGTGGCTGTCGACAGCTGCACACCATGAGATACCTGAGAGGGAGAGCATCGAGGATGAGATTGGACAACGCTTGGTAGGATGAATTACAGTGTCCGTCTGAAACCACAAGGCACAAACTACCGAAAGGTGGATGTTGTAAGAACTACATCAGGGAATGAAAGCACTGCACTGACAACTTGAGGGGTCTGTTGGATGCTTCAAGACCACCCGAAAATAAGGGCTGATTCCGAAATACTGGGCGCAAACTAGTGGTAACACACATGCCGATGGAGAGAGGATTTAGCCACATCTATCTATGTGAATGTGTAAGCGCAAGACATAATGAGGTATTCAAGATGAAACAAAATTCCTTTTGGTATTTGATAAAGTCATCTCAGGAGAAGAGATTTAAAAATTTGGAGATTTCTAGGGTTCTAAGTTAAGCAAGGTTCCTAATTTCTTCAGCCTCATGTCCAAACTGAAAATCCATCGACTGAATTTGCACTGTAACAAGTTCCGCTGGGTTGGACCATCATAATGGACAAATTTTCCTTTATCATGTTGACTCTAACAGTGTTTTTATTTCCAATAAAAAATATCATTTTTATATAAATAGATGTGCTTTTCTTATTTCAATGTGTATGCTCTATTAATGAACCTAAAAATAAACCAGCCAAACGGTGTATAGCATTTTTTTCTTCCTCTTCTCAGGGTTTTGTTTTTGACTGGAGATTATCTTCTTGTTTCACAGAAAACAGAGGATGTTATGGAAATGAAAGCATGGTTGATGTTATATGCCTTCCATGCCACTAAGTTATAAAATATCATGAATGCCATCATTTTTGCCTGACTGATTTCACTGCTATGTTGCATGATCTGGCTTTTATACTGTTCCATCTCCGATTGGACGGCCACTTTCTCTCTTGTGACTCGGTCTAACTGGTTCTGTGAGGACCCCAGATCCTCTGTCAATTTCGTAATCTGAAAACAAAATAATAACATGACATATAAATCATTTGGAGTTAACCTTAACTCCCGATGTATTTTGGTTTGGGACTTTCCTGAGTCATACACTGTGTAGACAATTACATGGCTGTATTTAATTCAGTGACTTTTCCGAGGTGTCAAGTCCCACGTAAAGTAACTGCAGCCCTATCAGTCTTCCTCATTCCTGCAGAATCTTCCAAACCAATTTCTGGCCTTTGAAAAGTGCGGCCACAGAAGGGTTGGGTTGGAGTAATCAATGAATGAAGAGATAAACAAATAAGCAATGGGGAACTTTTGCTATCATCAATGCACTTGGTGTATGCCCATCACATCACTAATAGATATAAGCAAACATATTCATACAACTAAATGTAAGACACCAAATTATAAGTATCAAATGTTTACTGAGAAGCTTCAAGGTGAAATCAAATTCAACCAAATATTTACTGTCAGAAGTCGAAAGTGTCTTTGGATTTGAATCATCCACTGGACAGTAGCTCAGACAACTACATGAGTTATCGGATCTCAAGACGACAATAAAGGTTTGATCAGGAGTTCCTCTTCCGTTGTCTGTGACTACCTTTTGGCTGAGTTGTTCCATTTCATGTTGGCATTCCTTCCTGGTGAGTTCTCGTTCTTGGAGCAGTTTGCGTTGATGCTCCAGGATCGTCTCCTCCATCCTCTGCTGCAGACGAGCCTGGTCGTCCCTTAGCTGCTCTCTCTGGACAAGGAGCTGGAAGAGGGTCACACAAGTCAGAGCGCAGCAAGCACAACCACTTGCCCATTTCACAGAGAGATAAAGTATGACACGTTCTTTGATAAGTATGCCAATAAACAACTCATGTATTTCATCAAGAAAGTGAAAAGTCCCTGTGCATATATCACCTGTCTTAAGATGTCCTTAGGACAAACTTTGAAGTTACTTTTATTGGCACTTAGGGCACCATCACTCACGTATTTTGAAGGAATGGCTGCCTTAATACTGACATCCATTTTCACAAAAAACATATCAAAATAAATCATTTTTATGGAGAATCCACTTAGGTTTGACACAGAAAAGCAAGAATACCCAAGTGTTTTAATATATCCCTATTTCTGCAGCTTTTTCTTTGCACTTTTAAAATGCTAGAACACTTCACTATTCTCTTTTCAAATCGCAGTTATTTTATGAGACAATTATACTTCGTAAATAATGTGCATTGATTTTTCAATGCCATACATGTAGAAACATTCTTGTTTTCACACTTTTTACATGGCATGGTGTAAATACTGGTTCTCTTTTCCTCAAAAATAAATCCTAAATCATGATTCTTGTACAGGTAATAGAAAATCCAGAGAATATTTGACTGTTTAGAGAAAGGAATGTTGTACCTCAGTCTTCTCCAGCTGCGCTTGTTCCACCATGGTAACACTCTGCTTGACTTGATTGTAAGCATTCAATTCTCTCTGTCTCAAATCATTCGTTGATGCCCTCAGTCTTGTCAACGTTTCCATCAATTCATCGCGCTCACTAGATCAACAGAAACAAAGTCCAAAATTGAGTAATTCATCAGAGTTCTTGCCTTCCATGAAAGAAAGGATGCAATGGTACAGTGAACAAAATAAGGCGTGACAAGGAGTTGAACCTTGGAAGATTTGAAAGTTTAAGTCCAGGTTACATGTAATTGCCTAATTTAACTGGATCAACCGAGTCAGCAGCTATCGTAGTAACATTTAGATTCTGCCTAGACTTTGACTTAAAGACTTGTACATGCTCAGTGTGAAAGTGAACACATGTGCAAATTTATGACGTCAGATCACATGTTCGCACTGCAATTTGCTAAAGTCATGCACATGTAAGCTCAACCGTATCCACACACGTTTTATGACGTCCAATTCTCTTTCCTTTCGTGTTTGCCTGAGGTACAGTATGAGCCTGTCATATTTTTGGTCCATCTGCTCTCTCTCATCTATCGGAATTTTGCCAGTAGTGGTTACTGGGGCATATCTTTACAGATACAAATAGTGTGACTTCCCTTTCTGCGTCAATTTAATATGCAGCGGCCTTAACTGATCCAAGAGTTCCGCCTTTGCAAATGTGAAAAGGAAGAGAAATCCGCATGGTCCTACCTCGTGATTCTCTCCATTGCCTTGACGTGAGCACTGCCATGCGTGGATGCAATGACTGCTTCGTGTTGGGCACACTTGACGCAAAGACCATTCTCCAACTGAGTCTCCTCCCTCGACATCAGATTGATGGACTCTGCCATCCGGAGCTTAGAGCGCAGCTCGTCACACTGCCGCTCGTATTTCTCAAGCTCTGACCTGGAGGAATGCAAAGAGTATGAGAGCGAAGAACTCAGAAAACGGAGTGTGGGCTGAGTGTGTCAAATACAAGATGACGTGGGTGACGTTTTCAACGGTGGGTGGGATTTTGAGTCCACCCCGAGGAATTGTGGGATGTGTGTCCCCAAGCAAGGTAGGTTGCCTTGACTTGCTTTCTACAGTCCAAGTGTTAGTAGGTTCCTCATGGGCAGAGATGGTTGGCATCACTACAGCTGCAGCATGTCTCATCAAACAACTGATAAGAATGCCTTTTAATTTGGGTTGAACGGGAGATGACATTACATCTGAATCACAACGATTGATGAGCATACAGATTTATGGTAATCATTAAGATTTTTCATACGCAACTCTATAGGCAAATCAAGCAAGATGCCATCACTGAGGTGGCATGGAACTCCTAAACATTTTCTGAAACTGGCAGCATGCTGGCATCCTGGCAAGTCAAAATACTCTATTAATTAGCGAGGCATTTAAGGCACCCCCTACCCACGAGCAGTGTCACTGCAGCATTGGCTTCCAAGCCAGATTGCCCGATTAGTCTGTACCAGTGGGTAACGTGATTCATACTTAAATCAGGGTTACTCTATAACTTTGGGGCCAAAAAATGCGCCATTTTTGTGTCCCTGTTACACCTGACCTGTGTAACTTGACATGGAAAGATCACTGAATTTGATCTCAAACGATTTCTTTGTTTGGCAGGTAATTTTCATTATTTTATCACTCTAAACTTACAAAATCACAGAAGTCAGATGTGCACCCCATATTTTAAGAATGATTCCTCACCTCGTGTAGGACAGCTGTGCTTCAAGTCGGTTTGTTTTGGCTTCATGGAGAGCTTTCATCTGTTCCTATCAGGCGGGACAAATGGGACTGCTTGAGCAATTTGTTCACACTGTTTGCATTTCCAAACATTTCTTAACAAGTTCAACCACCAGTCAACTGCTTTCTAACAATGTTCACATGCACAGCACAGGTTACTTCTCTCAGTGAGACTGAGCATGTACCAGTAGTCAGTGACATCTCAGACAATCACTTTCATTTGGATGGGTCCCTTTGTACTAATGACCAAGAACAAATTAAAAACCGGTGATGCAACCATCACGCCTCAGGGCATGGTTCCAAACGGTCAACTGTATGGTCCAAAGCATACATCCTGGGCACAGACATTTTAATTTATGCATGTATTTGAAGAACATAACGAAATGAGACTGAATTCCTTCTGAACGCAACGTGCAATTACAACACACAAAATTAACATAAAAATACATTTTCTATCATTACTCATCTGCATTGCAACACAGACGCATTCGTCGTTTACAGCAAGCTTAACAAAATGTTTATTTATGGACTGCGTGTCTAGATTTAGGGAGTATCAGCTTTGTTGACACGTTACTTCAGAATTACTGACTAAGACATAAAAATACCCGTAGCTGTAAGCTGTATAAGGTTTTTTGATCACAGACGTGGATGTGCCAAGCAGGATTTACCTTTCACAATGAATGAGCACTCTGGCAATGATATAAAAAGCTCTACTGTTTAGGTAAAAAACTGGGCGATTTTCATCACTGCAAGATTTTTGCATTTATGAGAATTCAGGAAGCTTCAAAGGACAAACATCAAGGAAATTAAGGTTAAAGTTGTTGAATTTGCCATTTCACAGCTTGTCACGTTTCCTGACACAACATCTGGAACTCCCAGTCAAACTGCACTGTGAACTTACTTACTTATGCATACGCTGCGTCATTTCCTTATAAAGTGCATGGCGCAACATGCGTCGATGAGTCACTTCTGGTTGTGATGTTCTTTGGACAGTTATAATTATTCCTGAAAAGCACACCTCTATCAGAATTTATATCAGAGTCCAATGCTGCTGACGCCATATGCCACCATATGTACATTGTGTCCAGTGAGCACAGACCAACTCGATCCATGCCCATTCACCAGCCAGCAGAGACAAAGTACAAGATAGAAACCTCACTCTGGCATCACTTCACTGAGAAAAACCCCCTTCTGTGAACACCTACCAATTCCTGTGCCATTCTGCTGAAGGTATTCCTGTTTGCCTGTGTCTCTGGAGTGATATTCAATGGATCGGCAGTCAAGACAGCAGCATCCTTTTTGGCTTCTTCATGACCCTACAATGGTGTATGATGGACAAAACAGATGTAATCCAGGTAAAAAGATAAAAATGATCCCTTGACTTAAAGACTAAAATTTGGAAAACAAAATGCAGGAAAAAAGAATTCAACTTAATTTATCAAATAAAATTACTTCAGTTAGGACAAACCATTTTTTGCTTTAAAGATCATGTTCAATGGCATATTTTCCCGTACTTTATCAATCTTTGATAACAAGCATCACCAAAGAAAGGCTTTCGGAGGACGAACAATCAGTCATTTCAGTCAATCAGTTCCGACTTGAGAGAAATAATTTGCACACATTAACACCAAGGACACAAACTTACAGAGCCTGCAGCCAATCTCATGAAACTTTACACAATGTGGTCTACCGTAGGTGAAGTTACGCCATTGTGATTGGCATGAATTCAACAAGCTGTACAGCAAATTGTGACCACGATAATTTCATGGAAGTTATGCTGTGTATATGTCCGTTACCTGCGCAGTAAATTATGGCACAACTTTTGCAAACATTTTCATGGTGTACGTAAGGTGTGCTGAAAACAATCGGAAATGATCAATTCTACAAAGGAATCATATTCATAAAGGCTCATCACTGTTCAATACGATGGTTTATAGATTTTCTCGCTGCAACTAGACAATAAAACACGCCACAGTAACCCCTTCACGGTGGGATTCTTTTCACTGTGACTGCAGGGTTGCAGTATGCCCAGTCTGCAAAGCCCTGTCCAGCAGCAGGCCCACATTGAAACTGCAGGTAAATGATGAATAGAATGTATATGGTATGCACTATCCTCACACAAAGCCGAGGCTGTCAACATCTCCCGGCTCGAAGGGGTTAAAGAAAAGGTTCCATCTTAGAAAAGGTTTTGGTTTTCAAACCTGATCAGCCTTTCCTTCATCTAAGGCAAGTTTGACAACTGACGTCTTCAGCTCCTCGTGAAGTTGGATGTTGTCATCCACAACACTCTGAATCTTGACTCTCAAGGATGCCAGCTCATCCTGAAAAATCAGCCAACAGAAAACCAATTGGATCAATACAAATGGATCCCGCAATCGGTCAATATCGGTTCAACAGCCTTGTTGGGTAGAGTGGCTGTATTGCCTCTGTGCAAGAACTGATGATGTCATGTCTACTCACAAGAAAGAGACAAGTGGCTAAATGGGTCTGCGGGAGGCAACTTTCAACTTGTGCTTTGGCAGGGAATGGTATGGAATGGGTTTGACTGCTTGCCAGTTCAATTTAATGGTGTAGAATGGGGGAAGTGAGTTAAGGGGCAGTCCATTTACAACCCCCCCCCGTTATGTCGAATCAAGTATCTTATTCATCATCAACGCCCCTGTTTTAATACAAAGATCACAAAGGGAGTCTAGTCATTGTCTTCCACCTCTGGGGGCCCGGGGTCGAATCCGGCTCGGTCCACATGTGGATTTGGTTTTCAGTCCCTACACGCACCTGAGTCCATGGGTTTTCCCTGAAACATTTATCCGGGGGTTTTTCTCCCAGAGCTAAAACTAAAGATTCCTTTGTCTTCTTCACTCATTATCATCCTGTAATCAAAGCTAAATGTGCTGTTTTATGATCAGGTATAAATAAATTTTTAAAAATAATAAATAAAACAAAGTTTGAGCAATAATTATTTGTCAACCAATGGTAACCTGTGTAGAATATATATCCCGAGTACCAGCCAAATTAGATCAATGGCTTTCAAAAATGGTGGAAACTCAAACTTGTTTGTAGATGTCAGTAATGTACTGCTGTGAAGAATCATACCTATTGTCACGTGCTTTGAACAAAAGCACTGCCGTGTAAAGTTGGCACAAAAGTGAGCCTTCCCCCCCTCCTGGAAACCAGAGAGAGAAATGGTACCACTCCCTCCTGTAGACTGAACAGGCATGATAAGAATCGAGATCTATTTTGGTGCCATCTTGTAATGGTTACATTAAAATTTTACCAATGGAAGTTGTGCATGGCAGCCATCTTTCCGGTAACTTGTTTTGTTACAGAGAGATAGCACAAAAGGTTCACTCATGTACAGTACCTTTGGAACAAAAGCTATCATGTACAACGTCTACAGAAAGTCATTTTTTGTACGGAACTGGAGCGACTTGAGTACAAGTCTGAAGCCAACCTTGCTAGTTACCTTACAGAAGGCATTTTCTCCTTCAAGCTGCTGTATGTAAGCACTTTGGCTGATCATGAATGGTAAGACGTCTTCAAGTCTTGGTTCATTCTCACTCATCATGGGTGACGTAGCTCCTATTCCAGCAGAGGCTGCGGGACCTGCATGTGTTGACCTACTCTGCTTCAAAAAAAAAATAAATCTCAAACTTACGAAAACGCATGAGAAACACTACACTTGCATGTAGGTTTTGCCAATGAACTGGATCCATATACCCGCTGCACATGTACTGATATTTCTAATATTAAAACAAATGTGGACACACAGTCACACGAGGCACAAGGGTCATTGATGGAAGACTCCTGTTTGGCAACTGTCAATTTTGCACTGTAATTGTCATCAATTACATGCACTGAATTTTTCACATTTTAACTTTTGTGAAATTGATATCTTCTGTCTTCTCTTTTACTGTAAAAAATGCAGTTTGCAGATGTGGTTACCATATTAGACAGGCATTCACCACATTGAGGGGACATTTCTTTTGTAAGGAAAGTCGGAACTGGCCGGGGACAAAACTGTGTCCCCATAATGTACAGGCGCGGCATACAACGTGTGGATCTCTGCACAAGAGAAGTCCACATAATGTGAAGTGTGATGGCATTGTGTGGACTCACACATGTCCACACAATACATTCCCCTCTCTGAAAAACAGCTTCAGAGGCATTTTGGGGTCAGGGTTATCGTAGCAAAATGAAGAGGAACAGTCCAGGAAATCATCATCAAAAATCTAGCTTGAAGGAGTCATCCTAGTGGGAGTTAAAGGAGCATTTTGCCTGAGTTTTCGTAAACACAGGAGAACAAAGGAATGTCCACACTACATATGTGGAACAAGTGTGGGTGTTTTTGTTCCCACATCTGAATTTCAAAACACATGTAGTGTCCACAACTTCAAAACCAGTGTGTGTGTCTTCCAACAGAGTTATGTACACTGACACAATGTTTCTCCCTAAACTTATCACTTAATTCCCAAACTGAGATTGGTAAATCCAGCTTACTCATTTGCAACAGGTAACAACATACCATGGCGAAACATTTGAAATAACAATGTTAAGTGTTTGGGCCATACATGTACCATATCTAGCTTTGGCCTGATCCCAGGAGTACGTGTAGATGCATTTTGCTGGAATGCATCGTCATGGCGACTGTGTTGACGTGGCATCTGGTTTTGCTGGTGTTGCTGCAGCAGCGATTTGAGTCTGTCGACAGCACCTTGGTGATCCCTCCTGGTCAGTCGCAGCGATTCACGGCTGGACCGAGGGGTAGTTGACTGATGCCTGGGGCTGGTAGACAGGGGCGGCTTCAGAGACTGCGGTCCCGGGAAAGGAGTGGTGAAAGTGTGCTTGAGTTCCTGCAGAGATTCATTTGCTCGCCCTAAAATAAATTTTTGAGAATATTAAAACAAAAGAAAATTTGACAGAAAAGTATTTCTGGCCTTCTTGTTGGGCAAAATTCAGCTCCATTGCCAGTTTATTTGTAAGCCACAATAAAAATAACTTCGGGTTAACATATGAATAACAGGGTTTACTTCAAAAGACAGGAAATTTGTGAATTTCTCTACATGTACGTTATAAATTTCCATGTCACGCGCATTTGGGCTGGAGTTGCTCAAGCAAGTTTGAACCAAGTCTGAGAAACAATGTCTTACAAAAATTACATTCACTTTTTTAACATTTGAATATGATTGCCTGACCACGTCCACTACCTCAGAATGTCTTAGAACTACATGTGTACATGTATGTCTTACTGCTCTGTCTCTTCAACATGTCCTAGAATGAAAAGGCAAAATGACATGTATCACGGACCAAACATGCCAAAGGCCCGTTTCAGATTGATCCAGATCTCAGTAATTTATTGTCTGCTCCTGCTTTGATACAGGGCAAACATCCACAGGAGGGTTACAAACACACAGGCATATTGCTGGCAGCAAGAAAAATTACTTTGGAGGGTGAGCGTGGCTTAAGAGGTCCTTTATATCCTTGGTTAAAGCTCTATGGTTAACATGCCCAATTTGAAAGTGTCATTGACATCAGATCCTGTCCAATGAAGCAAACCACTACCAGCACTGTGACCAATGATTGAGATCAAGATCATGGATGTGAGCTGGAGAAACAAACAAGCCCTTTCATCTTGGTAGCAGGCGTAGGCCTATTTTTGAGGTAAATATATGTATATTTTATTGCACATTTTGGAAAAAGTTCCATCCCTGGACATCTATTGATTGTTGATGCCCTGAACACTATTAAACCCTAGGGAAAGAGTTCTACATATGAATGTCACTTGACAACCCATGCACAGCCCTATGAAACTGGTCTGAAAAATTCTACAAGTGTTTTCTCAGTAAACGACTTGGTATTTTCCTTCCTAAACTGAACATTTCTGGACAAGATTTGCTCTCTGATGGCTAATAATATCGCTGTAGGGAATAATTACTGGCATCTGTATATGGAACTCTTCCCAACCCCTAGTAGTAGCAAGAGACTGATATATGAAAAAATTCTAGGCCTAAATCATGAAATAGACTCTTCATTTTTTTCCCTGCTAAGGCCAATTAAAATTAATTCCTTGTTTATCATCACCACCTAACCGGATTTTCCCAACCGCCCCGACTTTTTTGAAATGTGATATTTCCAACTTTTTAACAAATTTCCAGCCTTTTTCAACCTTGCAGATGTGTTTGCACCACAAAAATTGCCTTGTGTTTTTTTAATCCTCTAGTCTTGCCCTCAACCATGACCGATTGGTCTGATCATGCTGTTATGATATATGGAACACTCAAGTATTAAAATACCGTACAAGAAAGGTGTTTTTAGACTATCTGAAAAGTCTGGAAAATACTAACTTAAAATATCAAATGTCCTCCTGGCCCAAAAATATAACTTTGAGTGATGATAAACATGGAATTGATTTTAATCGGCCTAAACAAAATAGGCCTAATGTTAGGCTTCAAAATAGGCAGTAGGCTCCAGCTGTGGCATTTTAGGACACTCATTCTCGCAGTTACATGTAGGATGATGTCACTGAGTCTTGATTCTTCTCTCTGATTGGTTAATTGGTGGCTATTACATATTTCACACTCAAAACTCAACGGGGCAAAAATAGTGTTGTAGTCTATGGGGAAAATCCAAATTACTGGCTTAGGCCTATAAATTCTTAATCTTTGTCATGCCTAACTATAGCATCTGTGACAGTCCCAACTGTAGTGCTGCAGTTGGGCTGACCCAACTATTGTTGACCAGTCTCTGTAGAAAATTTCTCAACCTTCTCCAACTTTATGCAGTTCACTCCTGACATAATTCATCTAGGCCTAATTTATGGCACTTAACCTGTTGATGTAAACAACGGAACATGCACACACTGAACTTGTCATTCTGGGCTATAGTTGGGCCGGCCCAACTGTAGTTGGGACTGATGCTATTAGTACTTGTTGGGGCATACAGGCTTTGGACCTGCATCAAATGTGCCTGAAATTTCACAATTTATGCGCTAGGCCTATGAATATTTCCCACAATGTACCGAAAAGGTTTCAGTTATTTTGTATCATAGTGCAGCAAAGAAGGAGGAAAACATGGAAGTCCCTGTAATAGGCTGCTAGCCGCTGTGACTGGAGAGTTGCCCCTTTGGCTTTGCCCAGACGTGAGTGCAATGGAACAACCTGCGTCCGACCGCGAGAACAACACAACATTATTCAGTAAGCCTACTGCCAAACGTTTCCTCATACGTCATAAATTAATGCAAGGAAAAAGTGTTAGGCCTATGTCTCAATATTATGATGGAATTCTTAGTTTTACGTACTGACAAATGACATTGCTAACACAGCAGTCAGTGATGATGTCTGGTACAGTGTAGGCTAGTGAGTAGTGCAGGATTTGGGAGAAGAAAAAAAAAGAGATCATGGAAATGGGAACATTTCGATGTTGGCGCCTTTCAAACGGAACTTTCACGTCTCCATACCTCTCACAGTCTCTTGGTAACTCGAAAACGTCCCCTCCCCCAAGTCAGAAAGATCTAATGGCTCCATTCTCGCCATTACATCACGCATTCAAAGTACGAATGAAAGCAGACGACATGAGTAGATCGTAGTAGTATTGTGGGGCTTTGACCCGTGACAGCGTCATTTTGGTATGCGACGGGAACTTCGACAACCGTTCGTCATTTGTGTCTTGTCAATTTTTGTCCAATCAAAATGCAGCATTTTGGGTAAAAACACTAGGGGGCGCTGCAAACTGTGTCATTTGGGGTCAGACAGGGAATGGGGAAGTACCGAAATTTTCCTCCATTTCAACACGATCTTGTTTTTCGTTTAAAAAGTACAACGGACTCGTTTCGTCACACCGGCCAGTGATCATTGATTTCACAAAGATAGAGACCCTCAATCTGGTCTTCAGTATGACGGATAGAAGGGGTAGGTGAATGGTTTCGATTTGGCGATTGTGCTGTGACGTGGAAATTGGTACTGTTGGCGTGGACGTACGTGCGAGTTGTTTGAATTGAGTGTGCGCTCGCGTTCCTCCACTTCGGTTTTGTACTTGACCGCCCAAATCGAGACTTGTAAATATTTCTGTTTTATTTTTCACCGTGAGTGGCTGAACAAAGCGTAAGTACTGAGTAAGTAGGCTGACTTTGCGGTTGAGGTTGATTATTACCATTACTTGGCGACATTTGGCGGATTATTGATTTTTTCATTACATGCAAAAATACTGGATTTTTTACCCTGGAGACCTGCATGACCAGTGACAAATTGACTCATTGACAGTGTAACAGTAGTCTGAAGTGCGTGTTTTTTTTTCTTTCTTACCTTTCCTCATGGTGGACATAATTTGTTTTTACCTCTGTATCACCATAGAGCTACTGCATCACAGAGGAACAGGCTCTCCCTACGCACATGGTCTAGGCCTACTGTGTGCTTGTACATGTTTGATGTACATGTATATGCAATTTTTGGGCAGACATTAATGCTTCATGCTATTTCATCGGGTCTCAGGATCTATTCTGTACCTGACTCCGGCCTAGTTTCAAATGCTCCAAAGTGAGGAAAAGTATGTTTTTTCTGGGGGGAGGGGTGGGGGTTTACTCTTTTTTTTTCATCTGTTGGTCTGATGTTTTGTTTGGTTGTTTTGTTTTTAGTACTTTTTGTTTTTGCTTTTTTTAGGGTGGAGATAGTGGATATTTGACATGTTCACAGTCTAATACTTTTGCTTGATTCTCACTAAGCTGCTGAGCATGAATCACTGAAACAAAACTGCATCATCCTGCAAATTAAGTTGGGATTTGATGTAAAGCATTTATTCCATGAAAGGAAATATTGTGACTTTTGAGAAACATAGCAAGCTACAACGTTTGTATGCATCTATCCAGCAGTACATGCAATGACGGGATAAAATCCAATATGAGAAGAATTCAGACATCATGAGCCTTATTACCCATGTTTTTTGCTGTTTATCAAGGTCAGATAACCAAAGAATCATCAACTTTTGTTTGGAAAAAAAAGTACATGTATATGGTTGGAAAATGCCCTGTGTTTGATGGCACATGATTTCTACTGGGATGCATTAGATTACACAATTGACACTGTTTTTAACAAGAGTAGTGTACATTGTAAATTCCTTAGTTTAGTTTCTTCAAGATATACCAATTTGCAAAGTTTGTGTTTTGAAGTAAAAGGATGCTGAATCTCACTGACACTGCAGAACTAGTTGAATGTTCATTATGTTCAAAGATCTCCTTTTGACTTCTTGTGATCACATGGGCATCCATTTTTAACTGTGTATGTATGGATCTCATGTATCATTTTGGCTTTTTTTGGCCAGACATACAAAAGTGAAAGTAAGAATAAGGCATGAAATTCCATCAGCATTTATTTCCTTTGTCTTTTGCTTTTAAATGGAACCTAGTCAACAAACAATGTGCATTTCTCTTTCAGAATTTTTCAAGTACTGATACCTTGTGGATCATGTCAGTATGATACCATCTCATTCCTGAAGATGTTCTGGATAAAGAACGAAATATTGAATTGCTAGTCTAAATTTATTGTTTTCAAGCTCATGTCAAAGAAAAACCTTATGAGTGATGTCTTTTACTTTGCTTTCCTGAATTATTCATCCATCTGAAGGAGATCCTTATTCAATTATTGTTTCTCCACCAGAAGAGATACACGAAGATTATTTAAATTTATGTATTGCAAACTGTAGTTTCTTGTTATTCCTTCATTAGTTCCATTTCTTGTAGCAGTCTTGTCAACATGCATGGGTTTTTGTCAAGTACTTGTCGTGTAATGTTTTTTTACCACCTTACATGTACATGTATATTGAGCATTTTGCTGCAAATACAGCAAGAAAGCTTTGACAGTAGGCAACAATGAAGCCAGTGGTAGAAGAAAAAATATACTTTTCATGACAGGCTTCTTTTTTTTCCTTGAACATTGGGACCTCGGGAAGGTACTTAGAGAGTACTTTTGTGAAGGTTTTGTCGTCAAAAGCCTAGTTCAAACTAAACCACTTCCATATCTTGCAGTAAATATGACACTGATACCTAGAAAGTACTTGAGTATAACTCAGTAACATACCCTACATTTAAGCCTTAATCTCTCCGTATCCCTTCCAAATGTTATCAGAATGAAACCCATTCTCTGAAAAGACCCCTGCTTGTTGTTCACAAAGAGTGGTACTCGTAATAACCCGTTCAGCTTGGTAGAATTTGGTAATGTAGTTTTGTACGTACATGTGCACAGGTGGAAATTGTGACTCGGAGAAGGTTGCTGTATAAAATTGAAGCAGTAGGGATATTACATGTGAATGTACCAGTAGATATGTACCAGGACGTGGGATTCCAAAAGTGTCATGTAGTCCAAAGGGTCCAGGACGTTACACTTTACCCACACATGTACAGTTATCGTGGCATGTGCATGTTGATAATGTGTAAAATGTTCAAGCAGTACATGTAATTGCAGTACCTGCTATTTTCAGCTGGAGGATCTCTGGCTCAAACTAAGGCTGCACCAATCCTTTGATGATTCCATTTGATTTTCCTTGCACTTTGTCATTTGAGGCAGTGCGCCAAATTGGTACTGTATTTGTTTTATTTGGTTACGGCTGTTTACTGTAGTACAAACGTACATCAGTCGTAGCCACATTTGTAGAATAACCAACAAGGACATACATGTAGCCTGGCCTCTCTCATTCATTACTGAACACATGCATTGTGTACGGTACATGTGCATGCTATCTATAGCTTGGGCCATAAACATAATGCATGCATACCGGTACTTAGCACATGAAGTGCAAAGGTCTTGCATTGTGAAATGAATCAATTGTTACTAATCCAAACTGGAACTTGTTCAGGGAGGGAAAAATCAAGAGGTAAGATTCGTCCCGTGCCGGATACCCAACAAGGCCTTGAAGGATTATATTATGTAGTAAATATTGTCCAGAGGTATTGCTAGGGTTGATTGATATATTTTTCTCTCCCATCCCATGCTTTCTGGTACCTGTAGCTAAAATGACATGTATCAGTGTGATCAGCGCCACCTACTGGTGCGCGTGTCCAGGGTTTCATCTGTGGCTGCATCCGAATCTCTTGTCTAGAGCTAGGTCTAGGTCTTCATTCCATTAGAAATACGTGGAGACGCGTAGCCAACAGACCTACATGTAGCCGTAGCTCTGGAAGCCCGTTTCGGGCACGGCGTAATATTGAAATGTCTGCCTGTCCCCTCCCAGCCAAGGTTAACAATTGTCTGTCCTCTCCTGAAAGACTTTCTGAAACTGACCTTTGTGCCATCTGTGGCCATATATTCCACGGCACGCAGTATTTTGGAAGGAAATGTGAAAACTTGTTCAGCATTGTTACAGATTTATGCCAAAATTCAGGGCTTGTAAATTTTGAACGAGCCAAACTCGCACGTCCAAATTTGTTTCTGCTTCACTGTCCTCAGGACAGGTGCCCACACATGAGGGTAGATCTCAGGACAGGTGCCTACACATGAGGGTAGATGAGACGCTGCATGTAAGGACGTGTCCCCTACTGGTAGATGTTCTCCATGTTGTCCAGTCCCATTTACATGTACTTTGCACCCCACCCAGGGGCATCATTTAACTCTTCCTGTCCCCTCGCATTTTTTTGATCTCCAGTGGTGGGCAAAGTTCAGGGGAAACATTTTAGTCCGTGTGGTTCCCTGTCTGTGACTGTTGGTACATTTGTGGTCACGCCCTTTCTACAGTACATGTACATGTACAGTTGTAGTTGGTGTAGCTAGCACTGTAGCAGTGCCCACAGTATTGATCTTGAAACCTGAGAAACAGCATTGCCATTGATACCAGGTCTACCAATTTTTATATACGTGTACATGTACGATATACATGTACATGTAGCAATCTTTGCTTTTCACATACATGTACTGCACATACACGTAGTAGTACTGGTAACATGTATGCGAATGACTGCGTCATTCAAAGACATAAGAAATGTGATGTGCGCACTATAACCACCAGTTCTAGTGCTCAATGTGCTAAGCTCAGTAATGCTCTCAGGGCCAGTAAATATTCTTAACAACCACCTCATCAGCTCTGGGGAGAACAAAGCTTGATGCCGTCATTTCAGGAGCAGTCTGCTAACAAACAGAACAACTGGCTCTGCTCCATAAATATATCCGTTTTATGCTCCTTGGTCATCACATGAGGCAAGGAGGGGATAAAGTGACTTGCCCAAGGTCGCAATGTATTCTCGTGCTGGATTGTTTGGACAAAATGTTGTATTCTACCAGTATTGGAAGATCTATCCAAATATGTGCATAAGGGGCCCTGTTTTATTGTCTCCAAATAATGAACTACATGAATAATTTCATGAGATGACAGATTGAATGTTGTATTCATTACTCAATTTGTCACCCAATGAAATTATTGTTTTTATTGTACGAATTCACAGGAACCATTTTTATTTGTCTATAGAGTGCCTGTGTACACGTAAATCCTCTGTGTTCAAGTCGCCATTTGATTGCTCAGTTTGGTGAGTCAGCAGGATACAAAGATTTCATGTTCTGAGCTGGAACTGAAATGTTGGTCCACGTGGAGAGTTGTGACTGTACCCTTCTTTACACACTTTTGGTTCACACACCCAGTCCGAAATTTGTATCCTTGTGGAGACATGGCTTTGTTCTCCAGTTTTGAAATATGAAGGTGCCTTGTGGGGACCCAGGAGAATGGGTTGAATACATGTTGGTCTCCACAAGGAATTTCTAAATGTTTATGCATGTAGGCCTCCACAAGGATTTCGCGGAACTGATATTTGGAAATCTCTCAAAAAGAAGTAATTTTGAATAAGTAAGAATTTGTCGAAAATTGATGTGTTTTATATACAATGTAAGGGATATTCAGTCAAAATTTCAGTCCAGGAGAGTGATTCAGGTTGAAATGGGAGCATTTTGAAAATATCGTTTCACATGCGACCGTATTATCTGTATGATCAAGAGCCACTGTTGTGCCCTCCATACACACACATGTACACCCAATTCAAAAGTACTGTGTACACTGATATAATTAGAGTGTATTTAACAATTGGTCATTAACAATTAATCAGTGACATGTAAGCATGAACCAACCAATCAGATGACAGATATTCATTCAGATGTTTTGTGTAAATTTACACGTTATGTGTGTGTGTACACGTTTTCTTCCACTGATCAATACAACACCACCATTCATTTCAAAAAATGAACTGAAGACAAAGTCAATTATGTGTTCAGACACTGCACATACTTGTATGTACATGTTGATGCAGTTAAGCGAATCAAGCCGTTACAATCTCCATGGAAGTAGGCAATTTATTAATGAAGGCTTGAATAATAACATTTGTCTGCCATAATCAACCGCATTATCATAAAGAGTGCGTCACGGTCGTTTGTATCAGTGCATGACACCAACGGCTGTACACGCATGAACATGTACACTGGACAAGAAGACATTATACTGATGCCAATTTCACACAATGCACAATTTTATCATAGTTTTCTGGATTCGCCAGGTCCAAAAGAGCAGTACATTTGGAATCGTATCTCTGGTTAAGGAAATGCACAAAATCCTCATTTGGGTATACTGTGCGCCTGAACACGTACACACACACTGTACATTTGTACACGCACGTCCATGTTCATGTAGCTTCAAAATGGTTTGCCAGTACGTGATAATTTCCATCAAAGACATTTTTTCCGACTGTTGCATACATATGTACATCCACCTGTAACACTTGACATGCACTGAAAATGTTTTTGCATTTTTACAGTCAGGGATTTCAAGTCCTCACCGCAGGGCCCAATTTTATGGCACTTTGTAATATCCAATTATTTCACAGAGAATGTTAAGCAGTAAGCATAGTAAAAGCAAGCTTAACCCTTAGGATAAAGATGATTAAATTAGTGACCTAACAATACAGTCTCTATGTGTACGCAACTAGTAGCGCATCCTTGCCATGAAAGAGTGCTTAAGTGACTGCTAAGCAATACCATTGAATTGGGCCTTGGGCTGGGCCAGCTTAAGGATAAGTATTCTAATACTCAATCCCCCCCCCCAAAAAAAATTCCTTCAGTACTTAACTCATGCTGGGCGAACAAAGGAGTAATAATTATAATATCAAAGCATTTATATGGGGCACAGTATCCTAAATCCCTTGGCACCAATATTATCATTGGCACTGCTTATTGGGCTCTCAACAACTGACCATTCCTGAAACAATCTCAGCTCCCCGGGGAGTATACTAGCCTGATGCTGCCATGTCAGGCACAAAAATGGTATGACACAGCCATGTCTACCCTTATAGGTAGGTATAATTCTGGTTGGAGAGGGGCATGTAGGGGTAGAGTGACTTGCCCAAGATCACAACATGCTGCCACCAGCTGGATTCGAACCTCTGACCCTATGATCAGAAACTACCGGTACAAACCCTAACCACTAGGCCACAATGCCTCCACAGTATACAGGTACATTGTTCTTGTCTGTTGTAAAGTGGGTGAACCTTCCTATGCCGAGATCTCTTGTTAACCATTCCACCGTGGACCAGTGGACCACTGACATCGCTGGAGATCCACTTGCTGTAGTGAAGCTACACTGTACGCGGTGTTCTTCTCAGGTGTGGCCGTTCATTTCTCTTACCAGTACAGGCATTTCACTTGTTTAAGGCATCGATCTTTCAGCTTGACTACGGCATGAACTGTTGGGCATGGGTGAAATACTGTATCCGTACCAATACAATTCTTCATTGCCTTTGCCTGTCAAGCTCTGCTACCGGTGAAGTCAGTCTATCAATACCCCATGTACAATTGGCTGTCCTATCCAGGCTGCCTTCCTCGGCTAATGGCGCAACCCCGAATCCTACTTTCTTATGTTCACCGGCCTTCATATTTCCATAAGAATCCACCAGGTTTCTTAATGAAGTTATTATTGCATAAATTTGTACATCTTTATTTAGTTTGATTTAGTTTATGGCAGTATGTGTAGCATAGCCATGTTACTCGTACCATGTTACTCGCTTGTACTCATGTGGATGTACACGTATGTTTATGTTCATGCAATGCTCTGCGTCATGACATTTGCCCTTTGTGGGATGTACACCAGTACACGTATATTCTGCACAATGTCAGAGGCACACAAAGTTGTTGGTGGCAGATGCCTGTTACCATTGTCTGTTAGAGACTTTCATGTATACATAAATGTACAGTGCACGAATACACTTTATGTCCGTGCCGGTACATGTATGTGTCGTAGTGAATGTTCATGATTCAGGGGTTTCGTGTCTGAAAAGCAACACCATGTAGGGAGTTCATGACCTACGGTAAGACCACTCAACCTTGCACAAACGTACATGTGCATGTAGTACTGTGCAAATGTATACATGTCCATGTACATGGCCCAGCCTGGTTTGTGTTGTACATTGACAGTGTAATGCACATACATTTACTAGTACATGTATACATGTACCTGCACCTATGTACCCGCACCTATGTACCTGCACCTATATCTGTATATGGTGTACAATTTATGTGTTTGTAGAAGTTAACTGTGTTACATAACACTGTTGTCTACTAAAATGGAGGAGAAAAAAAGAAGAAAACAAAGTAGAAAAAAACTTACATTTGAAGAATACCAACATTGAAAAATGTAAAATAACAAACACATTGCTTGAAAAGCCTTACGGCCAACTTGCCATAAAAATTTGTTACTATGGTAACTGTAGTTTTGGGAAGGAGTGATAAACATGCTTCTGAGAAGGGAGATGTTTATCATTTCAGTTAGCGGGAAGTCGTATGTAATAAGATGTATTGAGTGTTGATTGCTGTAATAGGCAGCTGCATGAAGGATGGTTGGATAGGTTTGAATCTTGTATGAGAATAGAGATTTACATGTACACGCAAGTTGTGTCCTGGTATACATGTATGTTTGTACTTCAGAGAGACAATACTTGTGTTTTACTCAACAGGTTTAATTCAACACTTGTATTTAATCATGCAAGTAACGGTAGACAGAGATTCAGTTTTTCTCTCTTTTAGAGTCAATTATTACTATAACATTACAAACTACCACTGACAAGATACAATAACCACAGTCCCTTACAAAGTTGGACTTTACAAATGCTGAGTGCTGACCTTGGGTGGTCATTTGCCTATGATTTGTTCAACTTCACCTTCTGGACTGTTCTTTTTTTGGGAAATCTGGGACAACGTTGCTGAGCGATAATTACGACAACACCCATCCATGGTCCACAGTGGCTTAAAGGCTCTTTGCACATGCTCAACCTCCATGACTCGTTTGAGCCTCTGTGTGTGTACAGACTCAGTGGGAATCACTCACATATGGGAACAAGTACAAGTATACTCATCACAGAAATTTGCATGAATGGATTCAAACATCCTTCATGTTAGACACAGAAATCCCTGTGTACAGTAGCAGCATGCCATCTGGCTTAAAGTGGTTAATTTCAAAGTGAATGCTGGCCCAACTTACGTTTATATTTGCCCAATCAATCTCCTGGACGGTCGCTTTGACTCGTACACTACCGTATCTGTATGTACCTGTACATGTACATGTAGGTTAAAGTAATCTTTATGTAAATTCTGTTTCTCCTCAGCTCAATTACAAGAAGACGAATCTATGCAGAGCACTGGGAGCTCAGGTGCTAGTTTAAGTTTAGAACACATAGAGCCCGGCTTACTGAGGGCAGCTGCTCCCAGCTCTGAATCTAGCAAGCCTAGCACCAGTACCAAAGGAGGTCTCGACATGAACTTTCTGGGTAAGTTTTTCACCCGATCTGACTACCCGACGTAGTTAACAAACAAAGCTTTTAAAATGCACCTGTCAGGAACGGGGCAGATTTACGGTATTAACTGCATTAGGTAACCACTTCAGCATCATTATGTGGGGTCGTGGGGACAAAAGAAGGAAGAACAGATCATTGGAGCTGGCTTACGTACATGTAGCGTTGTGGGTAAGGAAAAGGATTAGTGTTGTGGTGTTCTGGGTTTGAAGGCAGAGGGGATTTGTTGTTTCGGGATCTTTCCTATTTGAAAAGGTCAATTTTGAGAGGCTGTTGTACATGCATTTACTGCCCAACTTTGTAGCCTTGAAGTATATTTTACATGTAAAGTACTTAAGGACTAACGCTCACTAAGATGTGTTCTTGATCAGCTGATATAATACATATGTACTTTGGCCCGGTTCTGAACAGGGTCATTTCTCTTTAAAAGGCTCCTTTCTTACTAGTGGTACCGATAGGTAGTGGGATTGGCTGAGTTTCCAGGGAAGGGGGGGGGACAGGATCCTGTTAAACCTGCACTTATCAAACAATCATTGTGCACTGTGGCTATTGCTACCTACCAACCTCATTATACCAACTAAACATGAAAAGCCAAGTAAAGGGCGGAAATATCTTGTCCCAGGCCTCGTCATAGTTTTCCTTCTTTTGACCCCCCTTCTTTGGTACTTCCAACAACTCAAACCAAATAATTCAATGCCAACCCAAAATTATCTTCAACCATTTACGTCAAAGTTATTGTACAGTAACTGTCAGGTGTACATGTAAGTTAGGAATTTCTTTCATTGTTCCCTGAAAAGTCAAAGTTCAACTCATACATGAAGCATTGGTTAGATCAGAATGTATTCAACATACATAATACATGTATGTGTATTGGTGTAACTGGCTCATAATACATGTACCGGTAAGCCTCAGAGACGTGTATTCCATTTTGTAGCCTGTACAATACATGTACTTTACAGTTTTGTTCCTACGTTTAAGAGAATCTTTATTTTTCAGTATCGTGAAAATTCAAATTTTTGGTCAGTTGCACTGAAATTAGCCCGTGGGCTTTGTTCCCATTGTCATAAGCTTCACGCTGTGTATGAACTTCTTCAGGTACATGTACTGGGTACATGCAGCTGAATCTGTAGCATAACAGGTGCATTTTTGTCTACTAGCTGCTACCCAATTGTATACCGGTACGTGAATGTAGCCCTAATCATTCCAGTGTGAAGCTTCTGTAAGTCATTGGTGGTTCTGTGTTTTATGCATTAGTGGAAGATTTGCAAAGTCAAATAAAAAATGCTATCTTGCATGGGTATGTATAGGACCTGCACCTTTGTGTAGAAGTGTGGTAAATTGACTCGGCAACATACATGTAAACCACCATTGTCAATAAATCATGTACAGTACAGGCACATGTACTTTGTACATGCAAGTATCCACATGTAAATATTATTCCAAAGCAAATATTCATTCTTATGTGAATCAGTATTCAATAACCCTAACAGTCCCCAGTCCTCCAACAGGTGAAGGATTGAGGACTGTTAGGGATAATGATAATACAGTAGTGTGAATGATTTACTCTAAGCTTTCTTTTGTGCCAAATTTATGTTTCTGTGAAATACCTTGAACTCTGGACTTTCAATGTCATTGTCTGATGTGGTCCTTGTACACATGCACATGTAGGTTGACAGTACATGTACAGTACATGTACATGTATGTTGCAAAGCTGGGGCTAAGGCATTGTTCGTACAAATCCAGGAGTACTACATGTACATGTATGTACATGTAGTATCATTTCTTTCATGTTGCCGTTAGTGTACCAAGCCTCCCATAAACTCTAGACTAGCACACCTCTTGTTGGTCCAGATGATGTGATTTAGATCATGGTTTGCATTTGACCTTGAATACAGCCTGAAAAGAAAAAAAAAATCAAAATTTCTTTTGTATACATGCACATATCAATGATTGCAGAGCATGTTCATGTCTTGCGTATTAATTTTACACGTACCAACAGTGTTGTGACCTTTCAACTCGGCCAAATTCAGAAAGCATGGACATCTTCCACTCATGACTTGACTGAGTTTACACGTACTGTACATGCAGATCTTATCTTGTGGACTGTTGAGGGTTTAGTTTCACGTTGGTTTCCTTTCCCAAGCACTTTTTGAAAACATAATCATTTCCTCCCTTAAAAGAGCTTGATAAGGGGTAAATTGTAAGTCAGCAGGGTTCATTTGTAACATTGAGAGTACACGGACATGTACATGTACAGTGTGCGTGTGTATGCACATACAATGGGAATGAAGTTCTGTGGATTACTTTGAGGTACACATACCTGGTACATGTACAGGTATGCATGGTTGAATAGTCGCACAGGTTCGGTAGCTGGTAGAATTCCTGGAACAGCGTACGCTTGTTTCCCCCCCCCCCCACCTGGGTCAGTCAGGTGCTTTAAAAAGAAAGGGTTCTTTAAAGAAAGGAAACAGCGTGCATTAATTATGCCTTTAAAGTTCATTCACGTACATGTACAATTGCCTTCGTTTCCTGAGTTGTTGAAATCACAGTTGGTCAGGAACATGAGAAGTTACCATGAATTTGAGCTGTTGTTTGTTTTTGCTCTTTGACATGTTGGAGGAATTGCCATTGCCGTTGCATGGATGTACATGTACATGTACATGTAATGTAGTTTTCAAAGTTTGAAAACATTGAGTAAAGTTTAGGTGTATAACATGCTTTTTTTCTGTTATGAGTTGAATTGTATTTGAAACAGTCACAGTCATTTTGTTTCATTTTTGGAGGGTATTTTATGAATAAGATTTTTATTTTGCTTGTATTTAGTGGGTAACATCAAAACATGTAGTTTTTACTTGTCGGTTTTTCATGTAACATGAGTTTCTTAGCCAGAGGGGAAAGTTAGAGGAAGCAGAATTGTTTTCTTCCTCACATAGTGGGAAAGAAAAGAATGGAAGTGTTTTACGAATACATGTAAGCATGCATAGAAGGGAACTAAAAACCAGATCATCAACAAATGGATGTACATTATTTTTCTTGGTGAAAATAGACTCGATTTTGATCACGGGGAGTAACGACTTCTCTACTGAGCCAGTTCTGGAGATTACCGAGCAGCCCAAACAGAAAGATCTGCGATTCCGCTATGAGTGCGAGGGACGGTCAGCCGGTAGTTTGCTGGGGGTCAAGTCGAACAGCGACCGCAAGACATACCCGACTGTCAAGGTTGGATAACATAATCTGATTTGGTCAGAGCCCAATTTCATGGCGCTGCTTACCGCAGAATTCCGCGCTTACGATCTCCATTCTGCACTGACTGCACAAGCAGAAAAATTCTGTGCTAACCCTTTAAGCACAGAATCCTCAGTTACGGGATGTACACATGCCCACAAGCCAAAATTCCTCGCTAAGCCGTGAAATTGCTTACGGTAAGCAGCGCCATGAAATTGGGCCAAGTGCGTGAGAGGCTGACCGGTGACTTTGCTATTCCAAGAACCCTTTGCCACCCATGACCTTG